AATTTACAATCCAGTGCTTGTTTTGTACTTAGAAGGTCGCTTTGCCTGCATTGTATGTTGAGGTTATTTTAATTTTCTGATGTTTTAATTGTTAAATAGAACTGTACATAGATTACGATCACATATAATCATCTCCTTGCTCTTTCTGGAGCGTTTTGTGACTGTAGGTGTTTTTGAGGGAAGTTTCCTCAGCTATACGGGAGAACACAGAGATCTGTATACTGTGCTCATACGATAAAGAGTCGGTTTTTGTCGTAACAATGCACACCTTAATACATAACCACACAATTATGATTCTAGGTAGACACAGAGAAGACGGACGGAGGTGATAAAGATAACCAACCAACCAAACAACGGCAATAACAACCAGAGCCAATCACCATCAACGGGAAAGATTTGACAGAGGTTATTTCCTTCACACATCCAGCCAGGAAGCACGGTTTCAACCACAGATCGGTGTGTGGTGAGAGATGGTCGCTAGCCAAATTGGTTGACAGTAATTGAGGTCAAAGGTCAAGATGGACAGGCGGATATAGTTAACATATAGATGAACTGACACAGCCACAAGAGATGCAAGGTTAACTTTGTGTGAGAAACAACCAATCAACAGACTGTATTTTCTACTTACATTAACCTACAATAATGTACATAAAAATATATAAATACGTGTTGATTTTCCGTAATAAACGTTCTGTTGCCTGGCCTTGTCTTCTGTTGTTACAGGTGGAACGCATGAAGGTGTCGAAGCCAACCAGGCAGCCAGCCGGAATCAGAAAAGCCAGATACGCCTTTATCAACCTGAATCTTCCCCACTGCACTCACTCAGCCAACATAAAGAACAAAATTTGGATTCTGTTCAACACCAATGTGAAGCCAGTCAGCCACTTAGTGCTTCTATACGGGCCAGAAACGTACACTCTGCGAATGTCACGAAAAGGAGACTTATAAACAGCTACCCGCCCTTCTGGCTCTATACTGAAGATCAGATATCCAACTGGCCAGAAAGAATTAGCAACAAGAAACTCTGGCTAGGAACAATCCAACAGGTGAGAGCCGGCTGTTCAACAAATATGTAGGAGAAAATGGAGATGGATTGATCTGGTAGATGTTGAGGAAGCCATCGAGTGACATCGCACGCCAACCATGCCAGTGCCAGAGTGACGAGAGGGTTGTCAATGTAAGGGTGACATGGAGAGGATGGTTTGAAGAGGAGGAGATGAGAGATTATGGGCAAGTGCGGGGTTAGCCAGGTGAAGAGGACAGCACCAAGTCTAGCAGTGTAGATATGTGTTATTGATGGCGTATATTGTACTCGGAACTCGAGGGAATTATAATGTTATATATATAGTAATATGGGTAGATTCGAAGAAAGACTTACCACTGAGTTTATTTTCATCTACTGAATATCCAGTGATATGCAAAGAAATTTTGCAAGCTAAACTTAAACAAATGGTATCAATAAACCTTAAAAATCCATCTCAGAAATATTCCAACTGTAAATATTGCTAATTCCTCGGAATAATTTGAGCATTGTTTCAGATAAAATCTCCATTCATTTACTTAAAATAATCTCAGCTTATTAAGAAGATCAATACAAAATTTTTCTGAAGACGGTTCGCTAAACAAATTATGATATATACGCTACAAAAACTATCCATTAATTATACCATATTATAACTATTGTATGCTTTAGTTCCTAGAGGAACATAAGGCTTTGGCCGAATCTCTCCGGTTCTCCGTCAACGTTATCACCTGACTCCACGTCTGCACGCATGCTTTCATCTCCTCTTCGCATAACCTCCTGCATGTCACCCTCAGATACAGGCCCAACAGGTTGTCTCCTATTCGAGTCCCACTGGAGCTATGGTCTGGCGTGTGATGTCACTTGATGGTTTCCTCAGAGTATGTCGAATCCATCTTTATTTCTTCCAACTTATTTGTTGCACAATTCGTTCGAAGAGATCCCTGTTGCTGATCTTTTCTGGCCGGCCATTTGATCTTGAGTAGTATTGTGCGAAGACAGCTGTTGATGAAGATGTGTAGTTTTTTCGAAGTGGCCTTCGTGACGCTCAGTGCAAGTCTCTGATCCGTACAGTAGCACTGACTTCACATTGGAGTTGAAAATCCGAACCTTGTTTTTTTCCACATGGAAAATCCCAGTGATAGTCTATTTGATCCGTCTGCAAGCATGTGTGATAGAGAATGCATTAAGCGTGAAACTTACAAATTACTATGTAGTTAGCAAAATCGATGCGTCTTTTATCTTCTCCTATTTGTAATTTATGGTGACAATACCCTGTTTCAATGATCTTATTATTTTAGTGATTCACATTAATATTATCACCACTTTACACCTTTGTACGTTTTTGACTTCATTGTCATTGCTGATACCAAATGTAGTTATTGCCAAATTTGGTTACCTATACCATGTAATGATTTTATTCGCCTTTACTCAGTAAATGAGATGCAATGTTATACAGAAAATTCTTCTAATGCCCCGCTGTATCATAAGTACTGTTTTAAAATAAGACAAATCATTATGTTTTATCACTGAAGTACCAAAATAGTACCCAAGCCGCACCATTGTAAACTTTAGAATTCATTCAAACGGTTCACTGCACATGTATAAAGCACACAGCAGTCTGTCTAAATTAAATAGAATCAATTTTCGAGTATTCGGCTGTTGCGAACCGATTAATTTCAAGGTATCAACTAATGTCTCGCATTTAATCCTTCCTTTGGTACAGATCGAATTCGATCAGCCAAGTTCGTGATGTAGCCTAAACCACACAATTGATATGACTATGAACAATAAATTTTGTTCGAAACGTCATCCAGTAAATAATACTGTTTCACTGTATGATATACCTAATAAACAAACTAATATGGAATTACTTAGTACCACAGTGCCCAAGTTTTACATATATACCAAGTGACTTGAGTTTGAGTCTAAGAAGGAGGAAAATGAGTCCCCTCAAGAAATTTAAGACACATCTTGCTGTTCATTAAAATAAAGGTTTCTGTATTTCCCAATGAATGAAAAACAAATCATCACAGACATTAAGTATGGCTGAAAACGCATTCCGAAAACATGGACATCAACAGTCGTCATTCCATATAGAGCAGAGACGTCAGATGATATCAGACGAGTACTCAGTAGCTCGACATTACAGTTTTCTTTAAAACACCAGACACACTACGAAACAACCTTGTCCATATATAAGACCAGATCCCTAAAGATTCTCTATCTAATTGTGTCTATAAAATAAAATGCTTGGAATTTGATGCGATATACATTGGACAAACATCTCGCGAAATCAAAACCAGAAGAAATGAACACCGTAGAGCATCTCTTCGACCACCGAGAAATCCTGTTAAACTAAAAAGACTTGAAAAATCATCAGCCATAGGTCTACATGCTATAGAATCAGGCCACAAAATTGATTTTGACAACATTGAAATAATCCAGAAAAAGCACTTCAGAAATCAAAAATAACGTCTAATATCAGAAGCACTTCATATCAAGTGGAATCCAAATTGTCTGAATAGGACTGATAGACTAAAACAGAATCTGACCTGATTAAAACACCTCCCTCCCCCATGAAGTGACAAAATCAACACGAATGTGATAAGTAGGTTCACTATGTAAACACATACGGCTTTTATAATTTTACACACTGATCAAATCCAACAATCTACACTTGATTTTGTTATCTTTACCAAATGACCAACTTGACAACGAAAAATGACCCCAGACTGACGAACGATGAACAAGTTAGTAAACTTTATTTTGATATCATAACAGATGTACTATTTGGTTTTGTGATCTTCAATTTTATTTTGACTTTCAATATGTCCTTTTAACTTGACTTAAGTCTATTTTCTCAACTCTTAACTCTTTGTCATACATTTGCTGAGATTTTGTATATTCCGGTTTATTAATATTTTGATAAAGCTATTAGCAGCAGCATTAAATAGCGAAACGTCAGTAAAAACAATATCGTTCTGTTTTTCATTCATTGGGAAATACGAAAACCTTTATTATAATGAATATTATATACCCAATGCCCAAATTTTTTAAACTGTTAAAAGTGAACTTGGTTTGGACGTATACACGTCTTACTGGTTGATGAATGCCAGCAAGCACAAAACCTTAGTCTCAGTATTTCTGATGACCGCCTCCAACTGTCCAGCAATGATTTCAAGAAAATATTCCGTCACAAATGTACCTCTAGCAGACGGACGCTGCACACTGATGAAGAGACACTGACTGGACTGAAAGCTACCGTTTTCAATGGTTCTCTAACTGATTTCGCTCCCTGATAAAATTCATAACTGATCACATAACTTAGAAGTTAACTGGTGGACGATGAATAGCAAAGTAATCCAGGATAAAGCATATTTCGTCCTTTTTTGGGCTCATCAGCCACTGGGTATACTCGGATTCCGCAGTGAGTGATGATGTTCCCAACACCGAGGCTTGAACCCAGTGCCCATAGTTTCAAGCACCAAAGCTTTATGCACTAGACCACTTGGGCCACGAGAGCCACACCTTGTTCAACGTGTTATATTAATTATTTAATTGAATTTTAGATTTTCCCGTCGATTAACTGGTGCGAAGTGCTCGGTGTCTCAAGTGTCTAAACCTCAGCTCCCAAAAACACCAGAAGAAGAAGAAGGTTGAAATACTTTGATACAATAAATAATATTTATGCTTCACTTATCATGTGAATCTGAAAGGAATTGTTAGGCGATAATATCAAGCGTAAAAGTAAAATACAATACGACAACAATAGTAGTAATAACAACAAAAATAGATCACAACATCGAGAGAGTGAGAGCGAAGGACAGAATAGAAATCGAAGGAAACAGGAAAGCCAGGAAATGGAATCTCAAGTGACTTCAACAGGTTGTACCAATCAGTAAACCATTTATCCAGTGTGTTCATCTGTTACTCATATTCGCATATATATTTATATGTATTTGTATGATAATTTCAATTAAATGTCTTTTTGTAGCAAACGATTTTCTTTTTTATTCACATTACTACTCATAATACTACCAGTAGTATTAGTATTAGTAATATTATCACTACTTCTGTCCACTTCATCATTCGTATATTCATCAATAGTAACACTGAGTAAATTACTCGATCTCGGCTGATTCTGTTGGTTATACTGTTGTTGTTGCTGATGATGATGATGCAATTGATGAGGCCGACGTGAGATAACCGCCGCTGCACCTGAACGTCTTTTACTACTAGCCAACGAGGTCATCATCATTTTCGACTGATTTGTATGTGATCTCAATGATTTCTTTTTAGGACTATTCATCGGGGAGACAACAGTCTCTAAATCAGTTGCAGTATTACACTGAACAAGAACTGGCAGTTGTTGTTGTTGGGAATGTAAACGTGACTGTTGCTGTTGGTGGTGTTGATGTTTTTGAGATTGTGGTTGATGGTGATGATGTTGGTGTTGTTGTTGGTGGTGGTGTGATGTTGTCTGTTGGACATTTGGATACAGTTGACTGCGCCACCATTTTTTCACTTCATCACATGAATCATTTATATGCTTACTTAAATCGACAATTTCATTATGGTATTTGTAATTAGGCTTACGTATTAGCCTTGCTGTTGTTGTTGTTGGTATTGTTGTTGAAGGTGAAATGCTGAGCTTTTCTGTTGGAGGTAAAATATCGACTGCTTCCTCAGCTTCTTCTGCTTCTGACTCACCTTCTCTGCCTCCTTCTTCTTCCTCTCCCTCTTCAACCTCCGCCTCCTCTTCTTCTTCTTCTTGTAATCCTGAAGTAAGATAATTGAATGATGGAACAACGTCAACCTGTCTACCTTGACTGTTTTTACTACTCTTATTACTGTCATTCTGTTCATTGTCATTATCGGCAATAACACTACCACCAGTCAATTCATTCGACCATAACTCATTCTCAAATTCTCTAGCATTCTTATCCAATCTCTTTTTGAAACTATTCCCTCCAACTTTACTCGGCAGTTTTTTATCTGGACGTGACGTCAATGTCGCATTGCCTGAACAACTATATACCATTAAATGTTTATCCCCCGGTTCATCAGTATCTTCGACAACATCCGGTAATTTCGACAGTTTATTAATAAGACTTTGTCTCGGTTTACTGTGTAATGCTGTCGCCTTAAGTGATGTAACAATTGTCGGTTTAATACGTGAAGATGATGAGGATGATGAATTTGTCGACTGAGGCGGAGGTCGTGGAATCTGTTGATGTGCTTGTGGTTGATCACTGTCCTCTAATCCCATTGGATTTTCAATAATTGTAAATTCGTATGGTTCAATTATTTTAGTCGACTTCTTGCCTTCAATTAATACCAAGGGGGATTCAATGTCACTTTTACTACGATAAGATTTAGTGGCATTTTCATTGATTAAACATGTGTCAATGAATGTTGTACCTCCAATTAGCTTACTGTGATTATTATTATTACTATTATTAGTTGTTATTCTATCCAGGCTACATTTACCTGAGAGTAACTTTTTGCCTAATTGAGTAGGATGATCGATTGAGTTGCACAACTTCTTTTCGCCTCGATCATCTGGTCGAAGTAAAGGTACCGTATGATCAGAATTATCACAAGTGTAGCTGTATTCATCAAAATCAACCAAGGCCTTATTATTACTACTATCTTTCCTATTATCAGTAGTCGTCACTGTAGTAGCATGATTGTTTCCGTCACTTTCATTGATGAATACGCTTGCCGAGTTATCACCTGTACGCTGATGGAACGATAGTTTTTTACCTTTACGAGTTGTATTACTCTGAGTGTCCGTGTTGGATTTTTTCGCCGGTGGAACAGGATGCACTAAAGCAGTAGATGCTGGAGAATTAAGCGGGTTAACTGTTACAGAAGATTTTGCAATCATGTTAGGAGTTGTGAGAGAAGAAGCCACATCTGGCGTTGTTGTCGGGATGAGTTTTACTGACGGTATCTTCACTTGTGGTGCACAAATCATGCTGGCTCTTTCATTACTTGCCTCCAACGGGATTTCCATTATCTTTCCGGTATGATCTTTAGGTGAAAAGAGTGTTATGGCAGAGGATGTGGATGATTTATGCGTTATTGACGGTTGACTTTTGATGCGTACACTTTTCGATGGTAGAAAATCACTCCGTTTGCTTAATTCATCGGATTCATCCAGTGTAGTGCTTATCTGACGTTCAATATTTGAATGCATCTTAAATTTTAACTGTCCGTGTTTCTAAATCATAAACAAAAAGAGTAAGAATGAAAATAAAAGAAATGGTTGTGTGTAACGATAACCATTACAATTTAATACATTCAACCGTTGAAATTACCCTACAAGATATGCAAACTTTGGATACTAAAATCAAAATAACATTGAATAAACTGACGAAATCAGAACATTTTAACTGATTCAAAATGCCCATTAAAACTTTTCAAAAGAATGGTTACTGAAGAATGAGTACTCTTTTCGATAACCTGCCCTTCATCAGGCTCTACAGTTATATATACACATTATAGTTAATGAATGAATTAGTGTTATGAACAACATTAATGTTGTTTAAATAACATCGAATCAATAATAATACCAATAGATTACAGCTCAATAGATTCAACATAAAATAAGCTGAATGTCAGAAGAATTAGGAAAGATAATATTACAAATTCATGAGTTTATAGTTTCTACTGAGGGCCAGGGCAGTAGTAGTGGCTGGCTGGAGTTGTTTCTTTTGAACACAGAGCACTGGTTATTTGAGGCGAATTGCAATAGCCTCTGCTGTTTGGAGCATGTGGTACCTTGATGATTTTGGTAATTTGTTAGGCATCCGGTATATGATAGAGAAGGATTCTTCTACGCTGGCTTTGTGGCTTGTTTGGAACAGATGGCCTAATATCGATCTGTTAATGGTTTTCACTACACCTTTACTTGGCCATAGTGGGATATGTTCTTGAGCACGAAAAATCAAGTTCCTAGAGCAACGGCCGATATAACTCGCCGTTGCGAGTTGCAGAGGCTATTGCGATTCGCTTCAGACAACCAGTGCTCTGTGTTCAAAAGAAACAAGTCCATCCCCTCTACTGCCCTGGCCCTCAGTAGAAACTATAAACTCATGAATTTGTACCATTATCTTTCCTAATTCGTCTGACATTCAGCTTATTTTATGTTGATGCTAGTGAGTTGTAATCTATCAATATTATTGATTCGATGTTATTCAAACATCATTAATGTTATTCATAACACTAATTCATTCATTCATTCACTATGATGTATATATAACTGTAGAACCTGATGATGAATTTATCGAAAAGAGTACTATTTGTTCAGTATCCATTCTTTTGAAATCAGAACAAATTGCAAAACAAGATCAATGACGAATGAAATCTAACGGACCTGTTTTACCTCGATTTTACACAAACTAACTGAACATTCCCTTACGATAAATCGTTTTGCTCCTAGGAACACCAACATACAATCTATCTAAAGAACTTTTCAGAAAATTTTAAAAAAAGGACCTGACAGAATTATGAGACAATTCAAGCAATTCACCAAACCATTTTATAGAGAAAATTAGAAATATTCAACTGGTGGACGACAATGAAACAACGGTGTCCTTGTATGGTGTCACAGCATTGTACACTTGAATTGGTCCTGAACTACAATAAAAAACTGTGCGACAACTACCCTCTCATGATCAGCACACGAAAACGAAATGTTCAACCTGGATGGAACTCATAGAATTATGTCTTACAACTTATTTCCCATTCAATAATCACATGTGCCAAGGGATGAAAGGAATAACAATGGGATCGTCCATACCAGGGTTAATAGCTGAAGGCACAGCAAAGACTAAAATTGATAACTCTGCCCATAATCAAAGCAAAAATCTGAGTACGTTATGCTGATGAGACACTTGTAATAACTGATAGAATACAGTCAGCACCAAAGATAGGACTAGACACGTAACACTAGTTACTGACTAGTCTCCAACCAAAAATATCTAATACAGTCAGTCCTACAGGAGGCCAATCGCGAGCCTTAATAGCTCAGTGGTGGCGTCTCTGACTGCAGCACTGCACTGGGTGACGCGGGTTCGAATATCAGAGGAAGGGACAAGAGTTCCTTCAAGGTGACTTATGAGTGCCAACTAGCACGAAACTTATATGTGTTCAAGGCTTCCTGTGACCGACTGCCTCCAACTATCTAATACCAACAATTCACAGTGCACCGTAATGGTGAGCCACCTAGTGGTATGGTGGCCATATTGCAAGCTTGACTGATAGAATTCAGTCTGCACCGAATAGATAGGACTAGACACACATTACACTAGTAGTTACTGACTAGTGTCCAATCAAAGATATGGATTTAGACGACGATTTATGTTTAACTCTAGTACAAACATGAAGACTGACAGGCAAGACCAGCAAGTTGACAGAAAGGGCTGGTAACAGAGACTGGACTTCAAAAGAACACAGAGAAGACAGAGGTGATGAAGATAACTAATCAATCAATCAGTCAACCAATCAACAACAAACAGCACCAATCACAATCAATAGGGGGAATTTAAAAAAGGTCAATTCCTTCACTTATCTGCGCAGCATTGTTTCAACTACAGGCAGCCGTCATGGATGAGGGTATCATAGCCAGAAAAAGAAAGGCAAGACACACTTTCGTCATTCTCAAATCAGCTTAGAAGACTTCTGAGTTTGGAGTAAACAACAACATCAATATGGCAAAAATATTCATTCAGACATCTATAAAACACAAAATAATTGAGCAAAGAATATCCCTTTCGATAAATTCCTCGTCCAGCTCTACAATTATATATTATGTATGTTTATCTACATAGAATATTCTAGATTAGCAGTCAGTAACAACATTAGTGTTTTTTAAATAATATCAATTTGTAAAGTAAGATCGTAATGGAATTACAGTTCATTAAAGATGCCTAAATTATAATAATAAAAAAGATATAACAGCAAATAGAATATCAACTAAAATTAGGGAAATTCCCCGAAAATTGTGGATTATTCAAACCTGGATGGCCAAGGGAACGATGTCTGAATGTCTGAACTAACTTCTTTTGGATGCATAAATTAGGCTTGTTAATATGGATTCCCACAGCCTCAGCAATATTTAGTAGTCGAACTCTTAAGGTGAAATTGAGATTCGTAGGTATGCGGTAAATGACCCTGAAATCATGGTTAACGTCAATCTGTGTTCTACCTCCACAAGATGAGACATAATAGCAGGGTGATGTAATTGCATTGATCATACTTTACAAATGGATATTATTTAGGAAACACTAATATTGTTATTAACTACTAATCTAGAATATTCTGTGTATATAAACATATATATAATTGTAGAGCCGGAAGAGGAATTTATCGAAAACAACATCAATGTCAAATCAGACCTTCTATATGTATCGGCGCGTCACTAGAAGCATTTTTAGCAGACTACTGCAGACCTTTATCGACAACTACTTTCTCTGGTTCCATAATGAAGATCAAATGGCCATAAGAAGCTCTGGCGGCAAATGAATCAAGGACCTATTACTTAACAAATATGCTTAAGAAAGTAGAGATGGATTGGACTAGGGTTGGGAAATCATAGGAGACATCAGTTCACTCAAGATTTCAGATACACGTTGCTGATGAATGTCAGTGAGCACAAGGAAATGGGTTCAAGGTCCCGCTAACTGTTTCCAAACATTCACCAACAGAGTTAGAGACTCCACACATTTTGTTGATCCTGGAATCGGAACACGTACTAATTCCACCAAAGGTTTCTGGTGAAGATTGGGAAATGGAATACTTGCAGTAAATGGGTCACAATGTGGCGTTTCCTGCAGTCAAATCGATGAATACAAGTACAGAATGTTATTTGGCTTCAGCATTAACACTCTTAATTGCGACTAGCACGTATTTTTAACTCGTTTAAAGGGGGAAGTATCCAGTATGATGTTTTTCATTATTATTTTTCCGGTAAATAAAAATAAATTTTTACCTCAGGAAACCTGATGCTTTTTGATCGATCGACTGAAGGTGGCTCACAGCTTCCTAATAGATGCAACAGTATACCTAATGGAAAGAATAGTTGACCGAAATTTCTTAACTAAACTAGCCTATTGAAACCATGAAGATCAATAATCATGCAACTGTAGACTATTCATTTTCGTAGGATAGTTTAACACAAAGTATTGTGACATCATTCTCCAAGGAGAACTAATACACGTACCAGTTATTCACTAATCATTCAGACTTACGCATTATTATTTATTATTACTGTTTCCTTTGGTTCCTAGAGGGAAACAGAGCTTCAGCCACACGTCCCGATTGCGTTCGGTTCTCTGCCAACATTTTCACCTGGCTCCACGTCTGCTTACCTACTTTCATCTCTTCTCCACACCATTTCCTCCATGTCACCCTCGCACTGACGACCAGCTCGCCTCTTCCCGTTCGGGTTCCACTCGAGCGATGGCCTGGTGTATGATGTCACTTGATGGTTTTCTCAGAGTATGGCCAATCTACCTACCTCCGTTTCTTCCTGCAGATTTGTTGCACAATCGGTTCCTTCTGGGTTGGTGTTTTCACTGCCAGACATCCTTGTTGCCGATCTTTTCTGGCCGGCCATCTGATCTTGAGTGAAGTACTGAGCGAAGAGAGCTGTTGATAAATGTCTGTAGTCTGTTTGAAGTGCTCTCAATGACGCGCCAAATCTCTGATCCGTATAGTAAGTAGCACCGACTTCACATAGGAGTTGGGAATCGGCATCTTGTTTCTCATAATGAGTGCTGTTGATTTCCACACAGACTTGAGAGAAATGAAAGCTTGCCTTGCTTTCCCGACCAATTCTGGCTTTGATATCCTCATCAGATCCGTTCGCCTGGTAGGTAGGTTAAGGAGGCTGCTTTTTTTCAGATTTCTCCCATTTATGCTGATTGTTGTTGCCATTGATGTTGCTGTTGGCTATCACCTGGCTTCATCACCTCTGTTTTCTCTGTGTTCACCTGAAGGAATTCCTATCTTCTCTGGATGCTTCTTCTACCGCCAACTTGTTGCTTTTCGCTTGCATATCTTCCAGTTAGTGGGAAATCAGACATATATCATCGGCGAAGTACAGATCTTCCAAGCTTTTTGTGTGGTTCCATTTTATGCCTGTTTCCTCGCCGCGCGCCGCTGTCTGTCTGTCGCATTACCTAGTCTACCGTAGTCAGGAAAATCATTGGAGGTAGTAGGCAGCCAACCAGCCGGCCTTGTCTTACTCCCGTCTTCACTTCTTCGAAGGATTCCGTGAGTTCCCTATTGTAGATCACTTGGCATGCAGCATTATCGTACAACTGTTGGATGAGATGTATAATTGTTGGCGGCATCCCTAGGTAGTAGCGAAGTAGCTGCCAAATCATCTCTCAATCAACGCTGCGCTATCGAAGGCCTTTTCGAAGTCAATGAATTTGAGATAGAGGTCTGACACACATTACAACATAAAACTAATATTAAAACCATTTACTTATCATACAACTTTTCACAATGATACTCACCTGACGATTTCTAAATATACAACGTTCAATCCATGCAGCAATAGTCTGTCTGGCAACCTCCTCTTCAATTGCATATTCCAATTCTTCTCGAGCTATTAGTTCTTCCAGTTGTAGAGTTTTTGTAATATCAACAGTTCGATAAGCTAAAACCCTAGAAACGAAGTAGCCAACACAAAGAAAAACAGCGATAGAAATACACCAAATCATTCAATGAAGTCTTGGTCATTATTGGTACAAATTCTAGTAACTTTATTTGCTGATGAACATAAAGCTTTTATTCACCAGAAACAATATTATCACGGTTCAATAACCGACGTGTGATTGATCTATTGAGGATACATTGTTGAGTACCTGAAATCCATTTGCGATAGTATTCAGCAAAAATGAACAGGCGGATATCTTATTGGATATAATAAGTCATAAAGAGTGAATGCATCTGTGCCAGCCACTGTCAACGATTTTGAGCCATATCATCGATTATCTCCAGCCATCATTGGTTATAACCATCCCTAGGACCCCACCCAGTTAGGTAGTCTACACCTCCCAACGGGAATTAAACGAACTGTTTTGGATTTGATTGACTGATGTAGCCATGTTTTCGTTTGACCACCACTAGCTCTTTTGCAACGCGATCCATCTTATATCAGCTAACACTGGCCATCTAGGAAGGCGATAGCTAGGAATGCATGCGTAACGCACGTCCTAGCTATCTCAATCTGTGTAACTTCACAAACTCTTCAATCGGTTTTCCCTCCTTACCTAACATTCAACGCTTTAAATGAACAGTATTTACCCTGTTATACCACCTAACATGTGACGTGGTATTCAGACACCTATAATCAAAGACAGATAACATTTTCATTTCTTTCACTTCCAAACACCATGTTTCTCAGCCACAAAGAAGCAAAGAGTGAACCAATTTGAAGTACACACGTTCGTTGACCGACACCTGTATGTCACGTAATTTGGAAAATGTCACATGAACGTTTTGTATAAATGATGAAATTTCGTCAGTGAGCAGTCCATCAGAACTGATACATCTTCCCAAATAAAGGAAGCAGTCAACACGTTCTGCCAATTCACTGCATATCTTTGAGCATGGAGTTGATGCAGTCAAGTAGTGTAAAGTCTTCTGACAGGAGCGAATCGTATGCTGAACATTCAAATATTTCTACTCAAGGTATTCAGAATATTCTACATTTCATCAGCGTCTTCACTTTACAACCTTGTCGACTGATTTCTCACTCTTACCTAGCGCTCGACCAATGCCTAACCTCAATATTGCTCACCTTATTATACCACTTAAAATGGGAGATAGCAGGCTCCTATGATCAAAGACACCCAGCTAGGCTTTTCATATCTTCCACTTTCAATGGCCATGTCTCACAGTCGTAAAGGAGGACACAGCGAACTGGCTGACAGCCAGTCGGATATCACGTCTAACCAGAGATGGAGCAAGCTGGCTTATGCCAAACGAGCCTTCTGTATCCATGCTGAGATTTTGGCAGCTACCAACCCGTTGAGGCTGATGCAGGTCCCCATGAATCTCAACTTCTATCAAATCATGATTTTCGTGAGAGAGGCAGTGGGTGCATACTGCCAACGAGTCTCAAACTAGGACGAAATGGATATTCAATAATCCCTGGCTTTCTGTGGTATTTGTTAAGGTTGACACAAATTACACCTCTACAGAACTAACTCTTGAAATATAAACTGATGCACGTTAGTGACTGACTACAGGATCAAGTTTTCTATTGTTCAAGTGAGAAGTCATGACCAGTGAGGTCCAATTAGATGTCACGTGTGAGGATGGATGTCCCACCAACGACAATAGTTGGGGTCGCGCTAAAATCACGAATGGGTAGAAGTTAGAATTCATGAGCCATTGAATCGGGTCCCAGTGGCTGAATGGTATACTAGCTTGCTTTGTATCAGGAGGGTCCTGTGTTCGAATCCCAGTGGGTGCGTACTGCCGATGATTCCCAAACTAGGAATTATTAATAATATTAATAAAAATAATCTAACTCATTTGTAAAAAATTATATTTGTAAAATCTCAGCGAAAGTGAGATGATTAATTTCAACATTTCATTCGGAAATCTGGTCCGAACTTCTTCAGCGAAATTAATCGAAATAAACATAACAGAGGTTTATGTATAAAAGGACATCTCTTGTTTTAAAACCTTGTCCAGTCATATGAGTCATGAAACAGGTATCAACATGTAAAATAAACAAAATTGTATGAACTGTGATCAAAATCTGACCTCAGACTTTCAAAATTAGTCCAGAACACTTTAAAGAGAGTGTACTTTTAATTGAATTTTAGATTCTAGATTCAAAGAGTGTACTTTTCATCAGATTACGTTAAACTAAAAGTTCATGGTCGTAGATAACTGAATGGGAAAATATATATGTGCATGTGCAGTATACAACGGTGTGTTGTATGTGTGTGGGTAAACAGTTGTAAAACATTTGTTAGCCTCTCCATAAGAAGATATAGACAATCGGGAATTTTTTTGACCAAGTATTAATAATTAGTGATACATATCTATTTTTATTTATTAATCTGGATTTGCCATGCACCAGCTAACATCACACCTTCACGTCTGTTCAAACTGTCAGGTACCACCCATACATCAAGGACTTCCTCAGTTAGTCTTTCTTCATACGGACCAAAACCTTTCCGTAGAACCTTAGTTTTATCAAAGTCGATTTTGTGTCCAGTTTCTATCGAATGCAGTGCAATCGCTGAGTTGTTTTCTAGCTTCTTTAAGTCTGCAGAGGTCTTTGGAACCACCTTTAGACATTGTTTATGCTCTTCCACTCTTATATTTACCTGTCTGGAAGTTCCTCCTACATATACGGCGTCACAGTCTCAGGTCAAGTTTTGATCACAGTTCATACAATTTTGTTTATTTTACATGTTTCATGACTCATATGATTAGACAAAATTTTTAAAACACAAAAGATGTCATTTTTTCCATATATAAGCTTCTGTTATGTTAATTTGGATTAATTTTGCTGAAGAAGTTCGGACCACATTGCTGAACACAGGAAACGTTGGGATTAATCATTTCATTTTCGCTGAGATTTTACTAATATAATTTTTGTTTACAAATGTCTACTTCTCACTCGGCACCCAATTATTTTGGAACTATTCGGTCAAATCCTGATCACAGTTCATATAATCTAACTCATGATAAGAGAAATCACTCACTGACTAACTTACCTGAGACCTCTATTTTCAAAACAGCATAAACATTACATACACCTCACCGCTCTACTTCTATTCAAGGCAATATTCTTCCCATGATTTCGTTTAATTTTTATTGTTTTGCTATTTCCTCTACATAAATTACTTAATTTATTTATCTATGAATACCTTCGCATTTAATTGAAACACTTCACCCGCGTCTTGACTCATTATGTAAACACTTGAATTGATTAGGCCATTTTTTTTCAAAATATACCTCTCGAGTAAATTGGATATTCTCTGATCAAAGTAAGCATAATACAATTGAGAATGTCAGTACTTAATTCAAACATTACACTTTGAGAACTCTTCTACACATAAAATTGGACAAAACTTCATTTGTTTTTCTCTTTTCCGTAAATATTAAATTAGGGGTAATATTAGTTTTTATTTCGGGGTGATGAAATGCGAAGAAATGGTCATCTTCATTATAACACTCCCCCACCCAAACCGTAGAATCGGACATAATGAGATGTATTCGTACACAAGAGTAAATGTCTTGGAATTAAATGAGGTGTTATTTTTAATGTCCTGTCACTATAAGCATCATAATCATCGTTGGAGTTGTTATTAGATTTCATTTCAGGTACCACTCCTCCTTTATCCTAATTCCACGCTTCATTTACTCTTTATGTAGTCCCAATTCACGCGCACAAACACACGCAAACCCACATTCCCTCGCTGTTAAGTAACACCGGTCCTCTTGATTATTATTCTCCCCTTCCTCCATAATCTACTACGCAGACTAGGTTAATAAAACAATTTTCTCTCTTCAGATAATGAAAGCAAAATGGCGGGGAAGGAAGAAAGAAATGGTTAAAAATAAAGCAAAAACAATCATTTAAGTAGTATTTTAAGATTGTGTTACGCCGCTTGATTTATGCATTCAAGCCTTTGAGTGAATACATAAATAAATTGGCTATGCATTTGTTCCTGTCATCTTTGGCGTTATTATTATTATTTTCATTATTTTGTTTTTATGTTGGCTTTTGTTTTCACTCTCTGCCTAGCTCTTGTCTTTCGTCAAGTAGACTACTGATAAAGTTGATAAATTAACTAGGATTAACACTATCAGAGGGGATTGAAGCTACTTAGTAGTTAGTGTATTTAGTCGGTGAAGTGTTTTCCTTTTTGAGGTATTAATGAAGCACTTCGTTTTTTTTATCAAAATAGTATTAGGAATCGAAAATGCCAAGAAAACAAAAATACTTGAGATTTATTAGCGTTTGATTGCATGGAGGATTTCATCATGAGCTGACATCAGTAAGAGAACCACTGGAAAACCTGGGAGTACTGGACAGCTGTTTCGTCCTTGTTTGGGAAGCACCCACCGGGGTTCGAATCCAGGACCTTCTGGTTACAAGGCGAGTCACTAAGACCCGACCCAATGGTCCTTGAATTCTAACTTCTGCCAATTCACAGACGACACAGTGCGACCATTTCGCAATGTCTTCTTCGATGAGTTACTGCCTCATCTTCAACCTGCTGTACCCTACTGGTCACGGCTTCCCAGTAGAATATCAGGTCACTAACTGAATAGGGCCAGTCGCTAGCAAGCATTGGGAGAATTGGCAGAGGTTAGTATTCATGGGTCGTTGGAATGGGTCCCAGTTGTATAGCGGTCTACGAGCTAGCTCACCTTGTAACCAGAAGGTCTTAGTTCCAAACAATCATTATTATTATTGTTTCCTTTAATTCCTAGAGGAACATAGGGCTTCAGCCATGCGTCTCCATTGCGTTCGGTTCTCTGCTAGAGTCTTCACCTGGCTCCAAGTCTGCTCACACGTTTTCATCTCCTCTTCACATGACCTCCTCCAAGTCACCCCTGCACTGATGACCAACTCGCCGCTTCCCTTTCCGGTTCCACTCGAGCAATGGCTTGTCTAGTGATGTCACTTGATGGTTTCCTCAGAGTGTGGCCAGCCAATCCATCTCCATTTCTTCCTGACTATTTGTTGCACAATCGGTTCCTGCTGGGTTGGTTCGCTCCCAGAGATCTCCGAACCATCATAGTGGGTGCGTACTGTGAAGAGTCCCAAACTAGGACGAAACAGTTGTCCGGTACTCCCTGGTGGTTTTCCAATGTTTCTATAACTGATGTCAGCTCATGATGAAATCCTCCATGCAATCAAACAGGATCCCTACAAAAGCAATACTTGGAAATTTATTAGATGGTTGGAGGCAAACGAAGCGAGAAAACCCTGCCTGGACCTAGTTTTCGTGATTGTTGACAGTCACTAGTCTTAGCAAAGTGTGCGTGCCTGCAATCTTGGAGGAACATATGTCACTCAGTGCTGCAGCGGCCAGAGATGTTACCCCTGAGCTATTTGGGCTGTTTATTGACCTCTAGTAGGACTATACTGGATACTTTCGATTGGACACTAAGTAATTAATGACTAGTATCTTCGGTGCAGACTGAATTCCAATCAGTCAAGAATTTCATAAGGAACATGAATTCCTTCTTGATGCGTGCTAAGAAGCATGAATTCCAGGTTCAAAGCTTCATGCCAGTTGCCTCCAACTATGTAATACTAACAGCAATTCAGACTGCCCTGTGATGGCGAATCATCTAGCTTGTTGGTGGCCACAGTGCAAACTTGACTGTTAGAATTCAGTCTGCGCTAAACAGCAGCGGCTAGACGTGTGACCTTAGTTACTCACTACACCTAATGCTCAATGAAAAATGTATAAGTGTCATTCGAATTACTACTACTAGTACTGAGATAACGTTATTGTGAAAGATTAAATTCTGTCTTCTGTGAAAGCCAGCTGAGCATTCTGACTTATGATTTTAGAAAAATAGTCAGGAACACGTTGTCCCACAAATCTAGAAATTGCACAAGTGATTTCGAATCGCACATTGACAGATAGTTAGAATTCGTGTGCCACTGGACTCCATCACAGTAGTTGAATCGTAAGTGAGTACACCTCGTAACCTGAAAGTTCTAGGTTCGATCCCTGGGTACTAGCTGTTGAAGAGTTCTGGTGGTTTTCAACAGCTCTCAACCGATTTTCATCCGCGATCAAGCTTGAAACAAGTGACTGTGTTGGATAGAACCCAGGGAAATGCTGATGAGACTGTTTTTTTTCAGGACGCCTTGTAACACTTAACAAGATAACAAACATGACAGTTTGTCAATAATATTTTACTCGTTTTCGTGATAGGCCGCTTAAAATTTCATTGATAACGCATAGTCTACTAAGACTGTTGAAAAATATAGTGTCTGGCAGATGTACTGATGGGACATTATTTTTTAGGAAAGCCATTTAAAATCATCAAAGTATTACGTGCCCATTTGAGTAGTATACAAGATAGGTATCAAAAGATGATGTATACAAGTGGACGGTGAACAAATGGTACAAATTAATAATGATATATTCGAGATTTGCGAAACAAAAAGATATTTTATCACAACCGAAGGAGTATCATTTAGGCCTACAATCAGCAGGTTTTATTTATTGAACCAAGTGAAAATACATGTAGCAGGAATGATTCGACACTTGTCCAGTCGGACATCCGGAAAATAAGAAAGGATAAAGAAAACTATAAAACGGAGGTTTCAAAGTTGTGTGAATATAACTTATGTGATTAGAAAGAACAGATAAATTGTGTTCGAAACTTGGTCATCTAGTAAATAATACGATTTCAATGTCCCACAAATTAACAAGGAATTACATATTACCACAGTGACTAACGTTCACATATATATTAAGAGATCAATGAAGTACTGGATAGCTGTCTTGCCCTACTTTGAGACCGTTCAACAATACGCACCCACAACTTGAACAGAGGTCGTAATTGGGACCTGCCAGTTATGAAACCAAAATCTTTCATTATTCAGCCACTTGGGCTGGAACTGAATGGCCTGTAAATTCTAACTCTTTTCATTTCGAGATATAATATTAATGTTGGAACAATGCCTTCACTAGGTATCCACTTTACGTTGACGTGCTGGCCCCCACTGGGGATGAATTTGTGCTGCAACTTCGGGAAATACATCCAGTATCCATCATTGCCTTGTAGGTTGGTGTTTAGATAATGAGATGCTGTAGGGATTTAGATCAATTTGTAGTGTATATTGACTCAGCGATTTTTACTGGCATCAAATTCCTCCCACAAGTCATACAATTACGTCTGTGGCACTTGCAAATGAAGCTGCTGAGTAGAAATATTTCTTCATTAATAAATCATAATAAATGAGTGATATTTTATGATATGAAGAATAAAAATAGAAATAATAGTAATAATAATAATAATCATTTTGAGCATTACTCACATGAGTACATCATGAAAACTGACTTCTTTATCACGACCACCACGTAGCATTTCAACTTCATAACACATTTCTTTAAATAGTTGTTGATCTTTCTTTTTAGCTAAATCAAAGCCTACTCGTTCTCGAGGAATAAGACGTAACAAAAATCGTACATAGTAGGCTTTGACTACACCCTTGAAAACGAGAGAAATAAAAGATAAGAAGGTTAATAAGTTTGTGAAAATATAAATTAAAGAATGATGAGTTAATGAACTGTTAGAATAAGGACTTGATTATGCGTCAGACTGAGCACGGGAAGCGAGATGGCAGGAATACGAAGCACTGACCGATAAGTAGATTCTAGAAGATCTGGATTTCGCGTGTGAGCGATTTAAGTTTAATGTTACACAAACTGAAAGACTTGCAGGCAGGCGAAAACCAACAAACAAGCTGAAGAGGCAGGCAGCGAAGACAGGATTTCAAGTGAATATAGAGAAGACGCAGGTGATAAAGATAACCAGCCAAAAGCAGCAGCAACAACAGCCACCAACATCAACAGGTGTTACTTCCTTCACCTATCCAGCCAGAAACCACGCTTTCAACTACAGGCGACAACACGAATGAGGATGTCAGAGCCAGCCAGTCAGAACCGGAAAGGCAAGATACGCACGCCCTCATCAACCTGAAATCAGCTTGGAAATCGTCTGCACTGCACTCAGCCTCAGCATAACGAAAAAGATTCGGACACTGTTCCACACAAATATGAAGCCAGTCAGACCTTTTATGCAGGTCAAAATCTTGTACTGCGTGTCACAAAAAGGGATTTCCAGCAAGTTACAGGCTTGTATTAACAGCTGCCCTATTGGTTGGCTCCATACTACAAATCAAATGGCCAGCTGATCAACCAACAGGTGAGAGCCGATTGCTCGACAGATGTGTGGGAAAAAATCAAGGTGGATCTTTGAGTAGGTCATCGAATAATATGGCGCTCACTGCTCACCGAATGAGGAGCGAGAAGTGGGGCGTGGGACAGAGAGTGACATGGAGGAGATTGTTTGGATAGTAAAAGATGAGAGATTATGGGCAATTGTGGTGCTAGTCAGCTGAAGAGGACGTCAGAAAAGAGAAGACAGTGAAGATGTGATGCTGAAGCCCTATGTCCAACTCAGAACCCACGGGAATGATAATAATAATAATAAGGGTATGTATGCACACGAAAATATCTTTACTTCAGAAAGAACAGAATGTCAGTACTGGCCTCAGTTCAACAGCAAAGTAATTCGGAAAATACTTCAACACCACAACGTGAAGTGCTTCAAATCTCTAGCAACCTCATTTAACAGCTATAGGAAAATGCCATGTATCAGGAGATCGACAACGGAAAACTCAGCGAAACCTTTGAAGTGAAGATGGTATGAGGTTAATTAAATAAGGTTGACTACTTTCACTGATGATATTACCAATTGTAGTGCACTCAATTATTCGTGAAACTTTAAGTGGAAGCGATAAGACAGCAATACTTTGGACTGACTACAAGTCTGTAGAAGATCTAAACTTCACAGACGAATTACATCTAGTGTCACAATAAACCGAAGACTTACAGGTGGGAATCAGTGAATTCGTATAATAAGTAGCCAAAGAAGAGAGGACTTCAAGCAAACATAAAGAAGACGGAGGTAATAAATATAACCAACAACAACAACAACAGGAAGCATCAGTCACTATCAACGGAGGAATTTCTAAAGAAGTCACTTCTTCCACTGATCTAGGAAGCATCGTTTCAACTGCAACTACAGGCCAATCGGATAAAGATGTGAAAAGTTGCCGGAGTTGGGCAGACAAGGCAAACATTCGTCGACCCGAAATCACTTCGAAAATCTTCTAGACTCAGCGTAAACAACAAAATTCGAACTTTCAGCATCAGGGTGAAGTCACTGATTATGTGTGGTTCGGCAAATCAGCACTTCACGATACGCATTTCTAACAAGCATAAAATTTTCACCACCGTCTGTGTTCACAAGCTTGATATTGAACATCAGATGGCCAGCCAGGAAGAGTCAGCAACAGGAAACTCTGGTAGCGAAACTACTAAGAACACACTGCTCAACAAATATTCAGAAAAAAATGGAGGTGGATAGGACATACGCTGAAGATACCATTGGATGGCATCTGGCTTCACACCATCACTGGAATGGGAAACGACCAGTTGATCATTAGTCAAAGAGTAACATGGAGAAAATCGCGTGAGGCGGAGATGACAGCCTACTGACAATTCTGCAACTATCCGGAGATGACTGCACGGAATACGATAAAAAGAAGATTTGCTGTTAAAGCCCTGTATTCCACTCGGAGCTCAAGTAAATAGCAATAATAATAACAACCTATGAAGTAGTATCTGTTGTCGACTTTCTTCATTTTCTTTTTTCTGACGCAACACCCATCATGGAAAGAGACATAAAGATGATTTGACTGATGTAGAAGAGATTTCCATAGGTTGAGAGGCAGAAAAATCGTCACAGCATCTTTGGAATTAAAATATCTTAGTTTATTAGGGAATACTTATCTCTTATGATTACCCCCTTTCAAATGTGCAAACTACTTCAAAATTTCGAAAGATAATGCCAAACTACTCATAAGTAACATACTTCAAAATAATGAAAGGTAAATAATTCCTCATGGCTTATTCGTGCAAGGAATCAATAGGCATTTGTCATCGGTAACTTATTTTCTTTCTTAAGAACGCTGTTCAGCTGAATGATAGCGTTGTGTTTAGGGAATAAGATTGATGAGGAACTCATTATTATCGAAAATAATCTAGCAGATACTTGATATGATGATATTAGATGGTCGGAGGCAATCTGCACGAGGAAGCCTTGCTTGACATAGGTTTCGTGCTAGTTGGCACTCATCAGTCAGCAAGGCGTATCTGCATTCTTGAAGGAATTCATATCCTTTTAGATTCCAGCCAGCGTCACCCAGATACGTTACCACTGAGCTATTTGGCCTCGTGATTGACCTACTTCCTGTAGGACTGTATTGGATATTTTTGACTGGACACTAGTAACTAGTGTAATGTGTCTAGTCCTATCTTCGGTGCAGAGTGAATTCTATCAGTGAAGTTTGAAATGTGGGCACCATTCTAGGTAGCTCGCCGTCACAGTGCAAAGTGATTTGATGATATTAGGTGGCTGGAGGCAATCGGCATTCTGCACCAAAGAAAGGACTTGACACATGACACTAGTTACTAGTGTCCAATCAAAAATACTTGAAATCGGAGTAAATTCCTATTGAGATACCAAAGAGAAGAGACGTCCAGACCGATAATTGTGTCAGTTGATAAGGAACTAGTTTTTAATTGCCTAGCCTACAAAGCATAAAAAACAGTAACATTAGTTGAAAAGAGACTAAAAAACGCATTGAAAAAGATACTTTTTGCCGCTGGACTGATTCCTACCTTTAACACGAAAGGCTCATTAAGGCAGTCCAAAGTAGATAAGTATCCTATTCATGTCAATTACTACTGTATTCACCTTTACCCATATATATGCGACAGCAAATCAATAGAAAGGACTTAGATGATAGCATCAGTGGTTAGGACTGTCGCCAAACATGCACTTGGTCCGGGGTTCGATCCCCTGCCGACGCACACCTGATATTAATTGTAGGCCTGCAAAATTTGGGGTACCGATATCTATGCTGAAAATTCTATACTAGTACCAAAAATACGGTGTAGAATTAAGCTGTAAGCAAAAATAAAACAAAAACTAATCTTCTGATAGATTTTTTGGGCAACTCCCCAAAAATCTCCATGTGAAAATTAAGAAAGTCTTTCAAAGTGGAATCGCGGCCAATTAAATATACGCGCCAATTCGTACAGTAATCATCTGATATTATTGCATGATTGAAACAATAAGAAATACTGAAGAGGGCAGGCAATTTGATGGATGGAATTCTCCGGTCGCCCAGTAATTTAGGCAGGCAGCCGATAATTAATATTACACTAACCTGGCGGCCTGCTTTAAACTTGGCCTACTAAAAACTTCCATCTCTCTCTATTGCACATATCTTCTCTCACTTGTTTCGTTTTGATAGATGAGGGTTGGCCTCTTACAATGTTATCTGCTCTTGCGTGTATATTTAAAATGTTTACAAGCTTTCGATTCGCAAGTTCCTACTAAAACTTGAGGAGACGCTTGATTGTGGCGGTGTTCCAATACATGAGATAACTGTTCTTCAGTTATGTCCTTGCGTCTCAAAATGTATTTCTCTACATGTTACAATTGGCTTTCAACTAGATATCGTGGATTTCTTCAAGGAAGGAGACAAAGCAGATATATATATCATAATGTAATGAATGGTTTGTGCTTCAGCTTAGAGACCATTGTGTCTGTCACGGGATATACTGTCAATTAATATTTTACCTGTAGAATATTCTACGAAGGGAAAATATTATTCAATAAACTCATCTGAAAATTCTGTACATCTTATAAATACTGTCTAAAATAGAGATGTTATAATTATTAGGAATACAATAAACCTAATTCTCAAGGTGCGATTCAAACCGGTCACCTCATGGTCACTAGAATGACTACCTATCAGCTGATCTACACGAAACAATGGCTTACCAGGTTAGCACTCCACTCCAGCCACAATCTTCATCACTTTCAATCACTAACAATCGCGTCAGTAAACGTTTACCAACTGCAGTCTGTCTTGGATAGGCTCTCTACGAATTGGAAGTCTCTACTTCTGTCATGCTCATGGACAGAAGAAGGCATCGCTGAACAATTAATGTGGTGATTCACAGACAGTTGCACATCATGCATTCACATGCCATCTAGGTGTTGCTCGTGGTGACTTCAGTGAAATGACAACTTATTCCGTCGTTGGGTCTCACAGTTCAGGCGGCACACCTCTTGGTTACTGATTTGGAGGTTAGTTACTATTCTGCATCCTGATGGGACCAACACTGTCATTTCACCCTCACTAATCGCATATTAAATTACTCGTCAAACCACATATTTAAACCGCAGGCGACAAATCATTTGGCCTCGAGATTTTACCTTGATTTTTGGCAGTACAGTAATGAAGGCATCAAGAACACACATAACTGAAAAGCTTACTTTTCTATTCACATCGATAATATTCCAAGCCAGTTGGAAATTACGTATATCATTATAACTCATAATTGCGTCTTCATCGTTTGAATAGAACAGGGAGAAATTCTCCATAATAATAGCTAGATTGGTAAAAATTAAGAGGCAGGAAAAGAATTACGTGATGTAGGTTAGAGATACCTGTATGACTATGTCATGTCAGCATAAATAAAATACTTGTCAGAAGGTTAAAAATTAGTTAATCTAATGTTGTTTAATTTTTGCGGTTGGAGGGTTTCATCATGAGCTGATATCAGTAAGAGAACCATTGGAAAAGGTGGGAGTACTGAACAGCTGATGATGATGAAATCCTCCAGCCAACCAATCAAACAAAATTCCCTACAGAACCAAAATTTGAAAATTAGTCCTATTCAGGCAGTAAACTTGGAGTTCTAGTAGGAAGCCGTGACAAGTACGGTGCAGCAGGTTGAAGGTGAGTGAGTGACTCATTAAAGAAGACATTGTGAAGTGATCGCGCTTTGCCATGAATTGGCAGAAGTTAGAATTCATGGGCTAGCCATTGGATAAGTTAGATCCCAGTGGCTTAATAGTCTACGAGCTAGCTCGTCTTGTGACCAGAAGGTCCCAGGTTCTAACTTTGGTGGTGGGTATGTGCCACAGCATAATCCCAAGATACTAGGACGAAACAGCTGTCCAGTACTCCCAGGTTTTCCGGTGGTTCCCTAACTGAAATCAGCGTATGATGAAGTCCTCCACCCCATCAAACACATTCTCTACAAAATCAATTCTTGGAAAATTAATTTTTTTGAACCATTATTATTATTGTTCCCTTGGGTTCTGAGTGGAAAAAAAGGGCTTCAACAATTCATCTCTACTTTTTTCTATTTTCTGCTTTCCTCTTCAACTGGGTCCATGGTTGCCCATAATATCTCGTCTCCTCTAACTCACACGATCTCCTTCGCGTCACTCTCGCACTGACGACTCCCTCGTCGCCACTTCCCATTTGGACTTCATTCGAGCGATGGCCTGCATTGCGCGTGATGTCATTCGACGATTTCTTCAATGTATACCCGATCCACCTCCATTTCCTCTTACATATTTGTTGAGAGATCGGCTCTTGGTTGGTATGTCACAGGATTTCATCATGAGCTGACATTGGTTAGAGAACCATTGGAAAACCACCAGGAAGTACTGGACAGCTGCTTCGTCCTAGTTTGAGATTCTTCACAGTACGCACCCACCGGGATTCGAACCCAGGAACTTCTGGTTACAAGGCGAGCTCGTATACCATTAAGCTACTGGGACCCGATCCAATGGCCCACGAATTCTAACTTCTGCCAAATCACGATATAGCGCGACCCCTAGCTAATGTCTTCGGCGAGTATTTGTCCTCACACCCGACCTGCTGCACCCTACTGGTCACGACTTCTCACTAGAACCCCAGGTAACTATCTGCCTGAATAGGGCAAGTCGCTAGTGAGCATCTCATTGATATTCAAGTGTTGGTTTGTGAATTGGCAGAAGTTAGAATTCATAGGCCATTGGATCGTGTCCCAGTAGCTGGCCTTGTAACCAGAAGGTCCTGGGTTCGAATCCCGGTGGGTGCGTACTGATGAAGAATCCCAAACTAGGACGAAGCAGCTGTCCAGTACTCCCGGTGGCCGGTTTCCAATGGTTCTCTAACCATTGTCAGCTCATGATGAAAATCCTGTAACCAATCAAATCCCTACAAACCAACACTTGAATATCTTGGTTGGTCTGTTGTTCTGATTAGGTGAGCTCTTCGAGATCTTGAAAAATAAATGCCCACTTATACCTAAGAATTCATGAACAGTGTCGGCGACTATGATTTGGATATTCTGTCTCTAAAATGCATTTAGATACTAACTGCTTATGATGTGCTGTCTTGTAGTGCCCTTAAATAACATGAAATGAAATAGCTTATGCGTAGCTTTGTGTTAATCTAACTGCCGTATTGGTCAGCACCTTGGTAGAAATTTCACATGAATTATTTGAAAGTGTGCATAAATTATCGTTTGTAAGTGATAGCAAAACCTGCCGACTCTCCTGAAGGTCTTACATAATTGCAGTGAAAACAATTACCCTAAAAATTTCATCATTAAAAGCATATGGTCAAGAAAGTAGCAAAGAACTCTTCTGTGTCTGTTATCAAGAAGACTCTATATGTGAATGACTACAACTCAAAAGAAGATATACCAAGTGCAATAATGACCAATCAGTTAAGAAAATCGATTTCAAGGATGTTTAGTGTTAGTAAGCTGAAGCTTATATTTCTCACTCAACATGTTGTGATGCCTTAATTAGAAGATGAAGTGCCTAGGCTAGTTGACCACCTGTCATTGTATCAATCAATTCAACTGCTCCTGTGGAGACAGTTATATTTCCCATCACTCTAGGAATCTAACTGCTCTTGCTAGGGTAAGCCTACCACTATGGTTAAATAAAAGTACTGTTAAAACCGCCAACGATTCTATGTACAAACAGGCCACAAAACTGGCACTGAAGAGTCCTTATTTATCATCTGGCGTCTAGATACTGGACACTCCAAACAGTATAGACCAGTGCTAAATATGCTAAAATCAACCGAAGCCCTGTATGCAAAAGAAAGAGGTCCCGCCACTACTATTACCCTATCTTGCTGTGGAGCCTATGAATTCATAAATTCTATGTTGCTTCCTTTAACTTATCAGATATTCAGCCAGTTAAGTGTTATAATAACGCAAATTATCTCTCTCGCTTACTGATGTATTTGAAATGTAATCTGTCGACGGCACAGATTTAATTTAATTTAAAACAGCATTAATGTTGCGCCAATAACAATATTTTAAAAAAATTATTACTGTTATATAAATGTCGAGTGTCGGTTTGCAGGGATTCGATTTGTTTCGATATTATCTATAGATTCATACTAGTTAGAGAACCATTGGAAAACCAGCAAGGAGTACTAGACGGCTGTTTCGTCCCAGCCTCGTATTCTTCAACAGTAGGCACCCACCACAGGGTTTCAAACCTCAGACTTTCCGCTTACAAGGCCAGTTCGTAGACCATTCAGGAATTAGGACCTGTATCGATGGCCACTATCTCATGAATTCGAACTTCTACCCAATTCGTGATGTACATAGCGCGACCGCCAGCAAATGTCATAGAAGAGAAACAATTCTCTTACCTGACCTGGTGAACCCCGCTTGTTGTGACTTCTTACTAAAACTCCAGGTACCTTCAGGTCTCGGGTCCCGGTGGCTAAATGATCTACGAGCTTGGCTTGTAGTCGGAAGACCCTAAGTTTGAACCCCTGTGGTGGGTGAGTACTGATGAAGAACCACAAACTAGGACGAAACGGTTGTCCAATACTCCCACGTTTTCTAATACTTCTCTAAGTGCTGCCGACTCTTGATGAGACCCGTAATATGAATGTAGAAGCTGACGACGAATCTACTCAATGAAAAGCTTTTGTTCATTAATCGATTTTCTAAATTTTTGAAAGGCATCTCCAATGAATTTAATTGAATTTTAGATTTTCCCGTCGATTGAAGCGCTCGGTCGGCTTCTTGTGCAGATGCTTCGACGATGTCTGGGCATTTAATCAGTATTTAACTGGTGGATGGTGACTAGCAGTAGACTCCAGGACGCGCATTTCGTCCTATTCGGGACTCGTCATCCAGTGGATGTACCTGCATTTCCCAGTGAGTGATGATATTCCCACTGAGGCTCGAACCCACTGTCGGTGGTTCGAAACATCAACTAGACCACTTGGGCCACGAGAGGCACCTCTTGTGCAACGGTTCATATTGATTTAATTAAGACCGAGCACTTCGGTCTAATCAATCGACGGGAAAATCTCAAATTAAATTAATATGACCCATTGCACAAGAGGTGGCTCTAGTGGTCCAAGTGGTCTAGTGGATAACGCTTCGGCGTTTGAAACTGTGGGCACTGGGTTCGAGCCTCGGTGGGAACATCATCACTCCCTTGGAAATGCGGGTACATCCACTGGCTGACGAGCCCCAAATAGGACGAAATGCGCATCCTGGATTCCACTGCTAGTCACCTTTCACCAATTAAATACTCCAATGAATTAACTGGACCTCATTCAGTAATAATATTAATAATACTAACAGCAAATGGTGTGCAGCCTTAAACAGGAGAATTCAAAGGTTTCATTAAGAAAATGACACATATATACTAACTACGAGGATTCGAATTAACACATTTAATGATGTTGAGAGAAGCGGGCGAAACAAAAACTTATGGAAGTATTACTTACCTACAAGTACATTCAGCATAACATAAGTAATGATAACATAGAATGAACAAAAGTAGATTAATGCAGCTCTGAAATTTCCACAATCTGTCTCCCAAAAATTAGTACGCATACGACAAAATGGCGGTTGTATCATACAATCATGCATAATTTTATTCCAATCTTCTCCTACATTAGTTGGTTGGTTGTTTGTTGGTTTTTTTGGAAATAAACGAAAAAAATATATTGTAGAAGAAATAAGTGGTGAGTTAAAGTATTTCAGAAAAAAACAACTACTGTATACTTATAGTTGACTTTTCAACACCGTTTGAAAAATCTTGCAAAGTTTGCTTTCAACAACTGCCATCCTTCATTTGGTGGATGGTGACTAGCAGAGAAATCCAGGATAACGCACATTTCGTCCTATTTGGGGCTGGTAAAGTAGTTGGTTGTACCTGCACTCCCCAGTGAGTGATGATATTCCCACCGAGGCTCGAACTCAGTGCCCACAGTTTCAAACGCCACTAGACCACTAGGGCCACGAGAGCCACCTCTTGTGCAACGGGTCATATTAATTATTTAATTGAATTTTAGATTCTCCTGGATTCCACTGGTAGTCACCATCCACCAATTAACTTCCAATCACATGCCCAGACATCGTCGAAGCATCTGCACAAGAAGCCGATATATCAACCTGAGACTGAGCATTTCGGCCCAATCAATCGATGGGAAAATCTAAAATTCAATTATATAACTGCTACCCTTCTTTACATTTCACCACAGAAAAGGAATTTGAACTAACTATTCTGTTTCTTGATGTGTGCCTTAGTAGACGTGATGAAGGATCTCTGAAAAGATCCATCCATCGGAAACGTACGTGGAACGGACAACTAACTAATTTTTATAGTTAGGTGCCTATCTCTAGGAAAAGGAACCTAATTCATTCAATCGCTCTGCTTTAGGATAAGAAACATTTGCAGTTCTCATTGCGCTAACTCAGAACTTGACTTCCTAAAAGCCACGCTTGCAGAAAACGGTTACCCTAACTAATTAATTGACAGTAACATGAAAGATAAGCAGTCTAGACTGGTCAACGACTCAGATCCAAAGAAAACCTTATTCATGAACTTGGAATTCAAAGGTGATAATGCTTCAGATATGCACAAAAATCTTCTCTCTAAAGCAGTCAGTAAGACACTAGCAGTACCCACCGACAGCTTCATTTCAGCCAATGTCACCAGCGGGTATTTGTCCTCATTTCGTAATATCTTAGACAGCTTCCTCTTCTGAATAAAACGTAAAATGTTGAATATTTACTTTCTTCACACTATTAGTGTGTTGCTTAATAGTATACTAATTTCGTTTGTGGTATATATAGTGATAATCTCGAAATAATCTTCGTGATTTTAGACAGAGCATATGAAAACACTGGACAGAAAACCTGAGACTATGACAGCCTGTGAAAACCCCCTATTTATTGACGTACAATTTAATGATGACATGTCAAGTGAGGCTATATTCCAGAGACTTTCCAGGAGTATACGAAGAATTTTTTTACGCAGCAAACCCATATTTGTCATTCTCTAGACGACGAGTGACTGGGACTCAAACGAATGATGGATAGTTAGGTAGTTTTGCCACATCATCTATATGTCTTTATCAATTCAACTGCTCCTGTGGTGACATCTAAACGTTGGGCATATTAAAAGATAACTTAACCAACATATCACTACTGGAAATCTCCCGTGTTGGTTTGACAAAGTACATACAAAAACAGTCTGTAGCTCCATTTTGTCACATTTAGTTGATAGTGGTCATTTAGTGGGGAAAACCAAAGCATTCAAGATGAGATTCATCGCATTCCACCGAATCTCTCCAATCAGCTTCGTATTCGCCTACTGCACACAACAAAGGCGATAGGTATTCGAACTATTAAACCTAAACTATGTATTCAAAAAAAGTTGGTACAGCCATTATCCCACTCTTGGCCTATTAAGACATAACCGACCCGTGACTTCTACACCACTTCTTACTTATATTTTCAACCCCTCCCTTATCATCCCTTAATTTCATCACATATTCATTAAAAAAAGTATTTAACATAGTTCTAAACGCTATAGAATCAGACCACAAAATTGATTTTGACAATATTGAAATCATCATCCAGAAAAAGCATTTCAGAAATCACAACAAACGTCTCATTTCATCAGAAGCACTTCATATCAAATGGAATCCAAATTGTCGGAATATGAATGATGGACTAAAACAGAATTTGACCTGGTTACAACACCCGCCTGCCTCACTCCATCAAATGACAAAAGTCAACAAGAATGTGATAGGCAATTTCATTATGTAAACACGCACTACTTTTATAATCTTACACACTTATCAAATCCAACATTGGCCACTTTGACAACACAAAAATGCCTTCATGCTGAGGAACGATGATTAAGTTGTTATATAAGCTGAGGAGATTTTGTAAATTCTGGTTTAATGTTACTACTTTGATAACGCTATTAGCAGCATTAAATAGCGAAACGTCAGTAAAAACAATATCGTTTTTTTTTTCATTCATTGAATGGGAAATACAAGAAAATCTTTATTATAATGAATTATATTCACTATCTTATTATCCTATAGACAAAACGCCATGATTGGTTTATATTTGAATTTTTATTTGTAAAGTTATGTAGGTGTATTAGAGTTAAGCCTGATGAGATCTAATTGAAAGCACAATATCACTGTTCGCTTAAATGTGTTGTTCTACATTTGTTTGTTTAATCATGCTGTTTTCCCTTATTCTTGTTATCACAGATCGCTCCACTTTTTCATCTTTGTTACTGATAGAATCATTACCATTATCAGTATTATTATTACTATAACTGATTGCACAATTAATATACATATTCTTATCATCCTATTGTGAATTTATGCGTATTAGAGTCAAACCTGATGAGATCTAATTGAAAACAATATCAATATGGGTTAAATGTGTAGTTACAGACGGATAGACATGGTGCACGCACACACATAGAGACAATTAAACAGCTTAACTTACCAGTAACAATTCTCGTCAGCAAAGCGGTGGCTCGAAATGTATTATGAAAATTAGCATGTCGACCAAGATTATCACCGTATTTCACTGAACCAAATAGTGTAACACCAGCTAGTGCATAAACCATCATTAGTAGAAACATACTCATTATGATAAATAATGACTTGTACATTGACATAACTACAGTTAACATTAACATTTTCAATGTCACCTATAATGAAGGTGAAGAACAGCAAAAAAGGAAAGTCAAAAATGCTAAAAAGTAAAAATCTTTTAGTTATAGGATTTCATCATGAGCTGACATTGGTTATAGAACCATTGGAAAACCAGCCACCGGGAATACTGGAAGCTTGGCATTCCAGTGAATCATCAAGACACATCGAGATTGACAAAATTTATCAACCGATATGAAAGAAACCTCAAACACAAAGGGCCAAAGTTCAAGTCAAAGAAACAATCAGTTCCAATACAATTAGCCTAGAAGGTGTGAAAACACACAAAAACAACCAAAGAGTCACTTTCAAGGTCGCCAGGAGAGATGATTAATAAACTCGTGGAGAAATCTAAAAGCTCACTTCAAATTGAAGTATGCACGCTGAAGATATTACCTAGTAGGGCGATGAAAGCTTCGCAAATTAACTATGCAGCTCAGAGAACACAACCACATCAAAATACCAGGGGATTTCTGTGCGCCGGTTGCACAGTGGTTAGGACTCTCGCAGACCATGCACATGGTTCGGGGTTCGATCCCCTGCCGACGCACACACGATATCTATGGTCGGCCTGCAAAATTTGGGCTACCGATATCCATGCTGAAAATTCCACACTTGTACTGAAAATACGGTGTGGAATCAAGCTGTAAATCAAAATAAAAAAAATAATAAATAAATAATATCTGTCTGGAAACTACGCAATAGTTAATGGTTATGCATTGAGTCTTTCTATATCACAAAAACTTGAAGACTTACAGGTGACACCAAACAAGTTGTCAGAATTTACGCCTAAAACAGGACTTCAATGAAGATGGAGGTGATGAACAACAACTGGCCACTATCAATAGGATAAATTTGGAAGAAGTCACTTTCTTCATATGGCTAGGCAGCATCATTTTTAACTACAGGCAGTCGGCACGGTTGAGGATGTCGACAGCATATAATCGGAAAGGTATAAGACAAACCATTATCATTCTGAAATCAATCGACAACTCAACATAAAGAAAAAGATTCAGATTTTCAGACCATTGTTAGGTCAGTCAACGCTTCTAAATGGATCGGGAACTTGGCGCCAACATCAATCAAAGCATTTCCAACTGGGTACAGCAGACTTTTATCAACACTTGCCATCACTGGCTCCATACTAACGATGAGATGATCGGCCGGAAACCTTAAGAACAAACCAATCAAGTCGAATCAGAACACCAACAAAGAACCATCATCAAACACCATAAGAAAATCCATCCTACCATAAATGAGAAATATCTCTGAAATAACAGAAAGAATACTGAAACCGTTTGATATAGATATAGCACACAAGCCAGCCAAATCGCTTAATTCGATATTATGCAAACCGAAAGATCAAAAAGAAAAAGGAGATAAAATTGATACCATTTACAAAATAAATTGTATGAACTGCAACATGCATTACATCGGTCAAAGTGGGCGTCCCCTTCGAATTAGAATCCAAGAACACAAATCAGCCGTGAAAAACACGATATGTATTCTTTAGTATCAATGCATATAGACAATTATGGTCATCAATTTGATTGGGATAATATCAAAATCTTAGACAGAGGAAACACCAAAAGTGCAGTCAAGGAATTCCTAGAAGCCTGGTACTCAAACGAAAATGCAATTAACAAACACGTTAATATAGACGAAATATACCAACTAATAAAAAGTAGATCAGGTGACCAGAAAGTTTAAAATCCAAGTCAATAGAAAATGGTCAATACATATGTGAAGATAGTAACCAGGAGACGCAATTGCATCACTCATGACGAAATTTAAATCATTTCAGTTTTTACTAAATATTGCGCTGAATGTGGATGTTGTCCAGAAGGACGACGAAATCTCCGCAACTAAACCAACCAGTTCAGAGAACACTAATAATTGCAAACCAATCAAGAGCCTACTACTCAACATACATTCTGAAAGAAATGGAGATGGATTGAACGCACACTAGGCAGACTGTTGAGTGATATCTCACGCCTGCTCTCGAGTAAAATCCCGAAGGGATGTCATAGGGGGCGATCATATGAGATGTAGGTGAAAGCCAATTGACAATCGTGGGGTCAGCTGAAGAGGGCTGCAGAGAACAACACAAAGTAGAAATATTCTGTTAGAGTCATATTTTCCATTTGGAACCTGGGGGAATAATAATACAATAATAGTAATCTAGTCAGAACAAAAACAGTTGGAGCAAACAATTGTGGTTTCAATAAATCTGTCTTCTTCAGGCTCTACAATTATAAATCCATTAATTTAAGCATACAATAGCCAGTAAAGGCAAATTAGAATCATATCAGAAATGTGTATTGTGGAACAAGTATAAGTCAGATGGGATGGAACAATAGTCAGATAGTTTTTTTAATATGCACGGTCAATGAGAACATGAGATACAATAAGATGAAGTAATTTAATTTAATGATGTGTGTGTACATATATATAAATATAGTCAACAGAAAATACAGGTTTCGAGAGTGTGTGTAATCAGGTTGTGTGAGACAATATGAAAATAAACCAACGAATGGGGCAGACTAGACATAAGTTCAAGGTTGAAAATAACGACAGTAAGAATGATTGCAAAATAATAACGATGATATGGTGTAAAATTACAAGTACTATAGGTGAATGTTTGTCAAATAATAATAATGAATATAATGAAGTGGAATGAACAGGATTTTGTAAATACGATAGCAAGTTAGAAAAGCACTATTTAAACCTAAGGTAATAAAATCATAAGAAAGGTCATGAAATCATAAAATCATAAAAGTCGAAAATGAACGTTTGTCAATGAAACAGAGGAATAGAAGAAGAAGGAAAGAATAGAAAATTGTGAAAGGAATTTATGGTGTTAATGGAGGATTTGTTGGCTTTATGGTAGGCCATGGTAAACATAGAGGTTGAAGACACTTCTTCTGTATTGTCGTTATTTTCAACCTTGAATTTATGTCTAGACAGCCCCATCCGTTAGTTTATTATTCTCTTACACCGCCCCATTCGTTGGTTTATTATTTTCTTATTGTCTCTCACACCCTGATTACACACACTCTCGAAACCTGTATTTTCTGTTGACTATATTTATATATATGCACACATCATTAAATTAAATTACTTCATCTCATTTTGGCCCATGTTCTCATTGACCATGCATAGTAAAAAACTATCCGACTATTGTTCCATCCCATCTGACTTACACTTGTTCCACAATACACTTTCTGATATGATTCTAATCTGCCTTTACTGGCTATTGTATGTTTAAATTAATGGATTTATAATTGTAGAGCCTGAAGAAGAATTTATTGAAAACAATTGTTCGCTCTAAATATTTTGTTCCAAATAAATAATCTAGTTCTTTGTTTGACACAGACTAAATTTTATAGGTCATCAAAATAACCTCTGGAAATGGAAATCAACAAATAAATGGAAATATGGAGCAGTTATACAAATTATCAAAGAGTACCCCTCTCTCCTTTCCTTTTACTTTTGTTTTAATGATGCATTTTCTAAGGAAGTCAGTTAATCTGGAAGTTTAACATTCACTCGTCAATGAATAAATAAACTAAAAATAATTATTTATCCTTTACTTGCTGTGTGAGTACTGGTTTAGTTGAGAAGTTGAGTACCAGTTTAGCTGGCAAAGCTTGAAAACCGTCCACTTAAAGACACGATTAAAGGGTTTGACTATTATTGTCGATACGTAGATGATACCTTTATCGTGTTTGATATAAATCTTAATAAACAAGAGCTTCTAAATACTGTTAATAGTGTTCACCCAACTATTCAGTTTACATGTGAAGAAGAAGACGATAACAGTTTACTTTTCCTAGACGTCCTCCTTACCATGAAGACAGACGGATATCTACAAAGGAAACTATTTAGAAAGAAAACTTTCCATAGCTTCGCACCTATTCAGTACAAAAAAACTTAGTTAAGTGTCTAAGCTATACAATAAAACGTATATGTTCAGAGGAATGCATTAAGGAAGAAATGCATAAACTGAAACTCACACTACAAGAAAGTGGATATCCACAGAGCTTCCTAAAAAAGTATATGTCAATACCTACAGACAAGGTAAAGGTGGATACTGTAGAAAAGAAACCTTTGTATCTTAAGTTAAGTTACAAAGGGGAAATTACAGCTGACATTCTAAAATGTTGACTTAATAGAGCAGTAGATAGAACATTTCCTGCAGCTAAACTGGTACTCAACTTCTCAACTAAACCAGTACTCACACAGCAAGTAAAGGATAAATTACCAAAGATGGCCTCATCAATGTGCATCTATGAATTCAACTGCTCATGTGGAGCTAGTTACATTGGCCGTACTCAGAGGGCTTTATCCATGCGCGCACGTGAACATGTACCTATATGGTTGAGTAAAGGAGTAACCAAATGTGTAAATAGTGCAGTCTTAGCCCACTTGGTAGATACTGGACACCAGATAAAACTTGACCAGGCGTTCTCACTTATTTACCACGTTCCTAGTAATTTATCTAGAGGAGCTCGACTGCGTCTTCTATCAGTAGCTGAAGCGGTGGCAATTAATACCAGAAGACCATCTCTTTGCATACAGAAGAAGTATGTTCAACCACTAAAAATAATAACAAATTAACTTACATGTCTTCCAGCTATTGTGAAAAATCTCAGCATTAGAACAAACCAACCAAAATTATTACTGATCATGTGTTTCTCCTAGGGGGTAACAAACAAAAACGATAATGTTTAATTCAGTAATTATAATCATAAAATATATATACTTTGTGTATATATGTCAGTAAAAAGTTTGAGCAGTGTGGAATAGATCAAATAAAGTATAATTGCATTTCAATAGTTTACACAAAATGATAAGTTTCTTTTTGTGTTTTCGTATTATTTCGAGCAAAATTACCGCCCGTGATCACGCCAATTGTTGGAATTGTTTTGTTTTTTAATTCACACATTTACGATTTGTACTCATATAGACAGTTCATTTTTTGTTCATTCATTTTTGTGTATTCAGAATTATACTCCAGGTTGTTGACAGTTGTGCTACTGAGTCACCGTTGTTACATCTATCCAGCGTGTGACCTTAATGAATATAGATTCTGTTATAAGTCTCCCTTTCCATTTGTTCATATTAGTTCATATTTACAGTTTGAGTGGGGAACACTAAAACACATTGGGAAATATAGGTACATCCAGAGGACTAGTCCCAAGTGGAACAAGATACAAATCTTGGATTCCGCTTCTAGTCACCATCCACCAAACAACAGTACTTTGTTAAATCATGTTTTTGGTGTTTCCGTGTTCACCCAGCTAAAGGTTTTTGTATGTGTTTCCATTGTTCCCATTGTCCTTCTAGAGAACATCAGAAGTACTAAAAATACTTGGGAATTCCTAGAATACTTGTATTCAGACCAATCTGCACTCAACAGACGTGCTGAAAAACATTTTTTTAAAATCAAATTTATCAATCAACAAAAGTCAAGACCTACTGTACAAAAGGTCTGCCTACATCAATACAAATTAATATAACGACAAGTAAATCTTTGAAGACAATTTGTCGCAATCATGATCGTCATGAGACACAGAATTCCGAATGTATATTTCACACAGAAGATAAGAATACATTTGTAAAAAAAATTATATTTGTAAAGTTTCAGCGAAATTGAAATGATTAATTCCAACGTTTCGTTCGGAAATCTGGTCCGAACTTCTTCAGGGAAATTAATCGAAATTAACGTAACAGAGGTTTATATATTTAATACTAGGAATATCTCTTGTTTTTGAAACTTTGTCCAATCACGAGTCATGAAACAGGTATTAACATGTATTATTATTATTGTTCCCTTGGGTTCCTAGTGGAACATAGGGCTTCAACTGCACGCCTCCACTTGCTTCTGTCTTGTGCTGTACTTTTCACTTGCGTCCATGTTATTCCATACTATTAACATGTATAATAAACAGAAATTGTATGAACTGTGATCAAAATTCGATCTCAGAACTTGACAAAAGTGGACTAATTTTGAAAGTCTGCGGTCAAATTTAGATCACAGTTCATACAATTTTTGTTTATTATACATGTTATGGAGAGGCTAACAAATGTTTCATAACTGTTCATCCACGCACGCATACACACATACACACCATCGTATACTGCATATACGCATATATTTTAACAAATGTAGACTAATTTTGAAAATCTGAGGTCAAATTCTGATCACAGATCATAAAATTTTAGAATTCAATTTGTGGATGATGACTAGCAGTGGAATCAAGGATGCGCATTTCGTCCTAATTGGGACTCGTCACTGGATGTACCTGCATTTCTTAGTGAGTAATGATGTTCCCACCGAGGCTCGAACCCAGTGCCCATAGTTTCAAACGCCAAAGCGTTATCCACTAGACCGCTTGGGCGACGAGAGCCACTTCTTGTGCAACGGGTTATATTAATTATTCAATTTTGTTTATTATACATGTTGATACCTGTTTCATGACTGATAATTGGACGAAGTTTCAAAAACAAGAGATGTTCCTCTTATATATATTTATTTATGTTTCTTTTTCCTTCACGTTCCCAGTGGAACATAGGGCTTCAAGCTAGAGGCTTGAAGTTTCTGTAGCAGTGGTGTTTAATTTTGCGGGATGAAGTTACTAGCCTCATGCCCAACCTTTCCTCTTTACCAGCATTATTTTTGGCTTGGCGAGGTAAATGAGTGCGTCGGCCGGGGATCGAACCCCGGAACATGTGCATGGTCGGCGAGCATCCTAACCGCTGTGCCACCGACGCTTTCTGTTATGATAATTTCGATTAATTTCGCTGTAGAAGTTTGGACCAGATTTCCGAACGAAACGTTGAAATGAATCATTTCAATTTCGATGAGATTTTACAAATATAATTTTGGTTACAAATGTCTACTTCTCACTCGACGCAGAATTATTTTGGAACTATTCGGTGAAATGTTGATCACAGTTCACATGGAGATAAGAATAATTTATCCATTCCTGATGATTAGATTATGAAACCAGACGTCAATTTACTTCAGTTCCCTGTGAAATTCTACTTTAACAATGAGACATTATCTGACTGTCTCTTCTCAACACAGAACTTTGCACCGATGTGCAGCAGTTGAACACTTCACTCAGCACACAAAGCCGGAGAAGAAAGTTTAAAAAATGCAAACTAGAGACAATAAACAGAGATATGAGACGAAAGGAATAGTAATAACAGAGAGCAATACAGTTTCATTGGAAAGTACAAGTCACAAGGAATGAATGCATCTACGCCAGCCGCTGCGGACGATTTTGAGCCATATCACCAATTGTCTCCAGACTTCATTGGTGTTTACCGTCCCGATGACCCCAACCAGGATGTCTACACCTTCCTACGTGTCTAGCTTAAACTATCTGTTGTGGATTTGATTGACTGATGAAGTCCCGTTTTGGTTTGACCGCCGCTAGCTCTTTTCCAGCCTGACACTATGTCAGCTAACACTGCCCGTCAGTCGAGGAAGGCGATGACTATGCATACGGAACACATGTCCTAACCATCTCAGTCGATGTAGCTTCACAGCCTAGCACTTGACTGATGCCTAAACTCAGTACTGCTTATCCTACTATACCACTTCACAAGGGAGATAGAACGCAGGCACTTATGATCAAAGACAGCTAGCCTTTGATCACAGGTGCCTGCGACATTAGCTAATGAATAGTTCATCTTAAAGAAGAATGAAAGTTTAGAATATATCCAACAAACCTAAAATGTCACATTCATCATCATCACCATCTCTTCCAAAGAAAACTGTATAACTTACAGGTATCGGTCGAAGTATAAAGTGTAGAATAATCCATGTGACACCAAGTACCGCGACAAGCATATCAAAACGATTTCGTTTCGATTGCCAATAACCACCAAATTTCAATGCAATTATTTTCAATAAACATTCCAAACAAAAGAATAACGTGAATATTATACCCAACGAAACTTGAACTTGATATCTTGGTCTCACCCAACTAGATCTTTCCACTCCAAGTTCATTGAACTAATGAAATTAGGAGAGGAGGAAAAAAATTGAGGAAAATTATGCTTACACCATATATCAGACAATTTCTTTTTTCTCAAAAGAATGGATACTGAACAAAGAATACTGTTTTAGATAACCTGCTCTTCGTCAGGATCTACAGTTATATATACATTATAGTGAATGAATGAATTAGTGTGTTGAGCAACATTAATGCTGTTTAAATAACATCCAGAAGTCCGGCTTCCTGCCGATTGCCTCCAACCGTCTGATAACAAATATTCACAGTGTACAGTGATGGCTAGCCACCTAGCATGGTGGCCACATTGCAAACTTGACAGGCTGATAGAATTCGGTCTGCACCAGCACCTAGGACTAGACACACACTACACTAGTTACTGACTAGTGTTCAGTCAAGAAATTATTTATTATCTTCTGGTTTGACTCGTAATAACATCTTCCATATCTCTGATATTTTGCACTGAGTCACTCGTATTCCATGTGTCGGGTGTAGACGCGATGAACCAGGCAGGATTCAGTAATCAATCTCTCTCTCCACCTACATAAATTACTTCTTAGAATTTTAACCCTCTCCCACCATGCTATTGTGTGGTTGTGTGATAATGCATGCAGTGCAATCGCTGAGCTTTTCTCTAAATTACTTATCTTTGTGGGACCAATCATTCTAACCTTAGGTAAATTCTTATTTTCTGACCATCTGATTAGCTCCAACCTACTAGCTCGACCTATGTAGTTGACCTCGCTCACAGTCAGTGTGATGGATTTTGTAAATTGTATTGCTTGTATTGTAATGCTTTCATTCTTTTTTGGATGCGTCAATTTTATCTCTTCTCTACTACTAATCAAACATGAAAGTATGTTATTATCATTTATATAACCATTGTAATTTCAGGTAGTCTGCAGCTGATGAGAACCTGTGAAATAGAATGATATCATTTTATACTGCAAATTTCGTCTTCCTTTCTTTATCGAAATTTATCAAGGGAACCAGTTGTATAAATTGTATTATTTTGTCTAATTGGGTCAAACAACTGAGTCCTTTAACCTACAGAGCTTGTCCTACCTCAGTGAGTTTGTTGGTTTGAATGCCACTCTAATTTCTGTTTTATTAAGAATCCTGCATAGGGTCTCAGATGTCCCCTCCTTATATGGCAAAACTACCTCAGATGCCTTATATTCTCTCTTATTTATGTTATCATTATTAGATTCACCACTAAATTTATTTTACTTCTGACCCTTTTTGATCTTCCTAATGAATTTTATAGGATATTTATTCAACACCAACTCCTACTCCATCTGTTTCATCTCATCGTTTAGGTTTTTTGTTGTATTACTTAGTGCTATTGCTCGGTTTGTATGAGTACCTTGATATGAATATGAACAGCAATAATTTGTGCTCGAAACGTGGTCATCAGTTAATATTACTGTATAACAAGCACTGTGTGACTTATCAAAATAAAATGTTATCCATAATGGAGTTACAGGGTGCTAGTATCTACCAAAGTGATCAAATTCTATTCACACTTATTATTGCTTTGCGTTCCCAATGGAACATAGAGCTCCAGGCTTGAGCCTCAAAGTTTCATTAGCAGTGATATTGCTGCTTTTACGGCGTGTGGTTGCCAGCCTCACACTCAATATTCCCTTACCTACCGGAATTCTTTGTACTGCAGAAGCCCTCACCATATTCGTCGAGAAGCCGAAGGTTTGTGTCCCTGATATCCTAATGGGTATTCGCCAAGATGATTATATCAGTCGTTTAAAGGTTGTTGAATTCAGTTCATCAAAAATAAACGGCTTAAACAATGGCACAAATCAGGTTTTCCCCACTTTAAATTTCCCCCGTTACTTCAGCTTTACATTAGTGTAGAAAATATTAAGAATTAAATCATACAAGTGTTAGAACCTTGATTACTCCCTTCTATAAAATCTAAAACAATAGGAAAAAATTAAATCACTCACGGGAAAGAATAAGAGGAAACAATTAGCGACAACAAGTGTTGCTGATGCACGTTTGAATAAAATATGCTGTGTTATGTCGTAAATGAAACAGCGGAACTTTAAACTTTTCTTCTCTAGATTATTTGACATCGGGGTGACAATATTTCGTGTTTGACCAGGTTCTTGGTGTAATTCTATAGGGAAAAAAAGAGGTAACATACAAATGAGATGCAAAAAAGGATTTTGAAAGACAATACAGGTTGAAATACGTTAATTACTACAGTTAATCAATCGACGGGAAAATCTAAAAATTCACTTGAATAGATGAAGATGAACTTTCCAAAAGTTTTATCTTAGTGAAAAAGCCATTCCACGCCAAATAAAACATGAAAATATTTAAGAAAAAAATGAAATAACAAGTGGCTTACTTGGTCGTGGTGGAATTTGCAGTGGTTGTGTAAGTCTTATACGACCTTTTAAATCCAACCATCTACGTTGATCGACAGTGAGAAGCGCTGTTCCCTATGGAAAAGCGAAAAAAGAGCATTTAAATGATGAGTGAAGCTTGTTCTCAATCACTGTTATTATTATATTCTGATATCACCTGTCTTATATGGTGAATACTGTCAAACTTCATAAGTTTGAGAATAATGTAATATTTTACTGCTAGCCGGCATGAACAGTTAGTTATGCTCCATAAGTGATGTAAGTGGGTACAGATCTGACAATGGACTGCTTTTGACATTTTTGCTGTACATTGGGGGTAGTGACTAGTGTTACTTATCTATCTAATCCTTCGCTTGATTCTGACTAAAATTTTATCAGTCAAGTTTATCAGGGTCGCAGAGAAAAATAAGAAGAATCCCAAAGCAAAATTACCTTTTTGGACGTCCTATTAGACAGGAATAGCAGATGGTAGCATAAAAGTTACTTGAATCAGTCAATGTACGCATTTTCACAGCTTTTATTCTTCCCCGGTATAAAAGAAATATGGTGTGAACCCTCGTTTATACTGGGGTCTGAGGTATTTGTCCAGAGGATTCGATTGCTGACAAACCTAAGGTTGTCTACGACACGTTAACTTAAAACAGCTACCCTGAAAAGCTCATTACTAAACATTACTCATTACTCATCGTCAAGAAAGGTGCATCTATATAGACGACTACAATTCAAAGTTGATATATCAAATGAAATAATGACCAAAAAGTTGGGAGAATTGATTTAAAGAATATTTAATATTAAATAATAGCTTGACTCCACAAAGTATTTTGCTATGAGTATGGAATTTTCAGCATGTGATATCCGTAGCTCAAATTTTGCAGGCCGACCATTGATATCGGGTATGCGTTGGCAGGAGATTGAACCCTGAACCATGTGCATCATCGGCGAGAGCCCTCACCGCTGTACCGCTGACACCTACATGAACTCTAGTGGTTCCCCGACTGAAAGATGAAGTACCTTGGTTCGCCACCTCTAAGCGTATCTACCACTTCAAGTGCTCCTGTGGAGCTAGTCTTATCGACCGTAGTTCTAGGAACCTGGTGTTTTGTTCTAGGGAAACCTACTAGTGTGGTTAAATAAAGGTGTTGTTAAAACCATTAATACTTCTATATCAGATCGCCTTAAGCAAACAGGCCACAAATCTAGCACTGAAGAATCCTTCCTTATCATTTAACGCGTATCAAATAAATTACCAAATGAGTCTAGATACCAAAAACTCTAAACAGCAGAGGGGCATCGAGATTCACTTAACTCAAAGGGAGAATTGTGTGCAGACGGAGCAGGTCAAGAAACTGTCCCCAGCCTCACTTATTGTCGGACCTATAAATTCCATCTTACTTCCTTTGATTTATCTCATATTCAGTCAGTTTAGTGTTATGTTACTCCATATTAGGGCTAAGTGAAGTTTTCGAGAAAATGTGTCGTTTATTTCCCACCCCCCAAAACAGAAGTTTTCTTTCTTACCTTATTTTCACTATAGTTAGCAATGACAACGCCAACGAATAAAGTTAAGCCAATCAGGCATCCAATAAATACGAATAGATGTATATAGATCACATGTCGCTGTAAAAGAATCCACAAAAAATATCACTGTCATTTATATGACAAAATGATTATTCTTAAAAAAAAACGCAAGAAATAAAACAAATAAGGCTGTTTCCTTCTCCGCCTGTTTGGTTATTTGAGTTAGATCCAGGGGGAATTAGAGAGGGGTGACACTGTTAGTTGTCAACTTGGCCTTCTCATGGATGACTGTCTTGTGGTTAGCCTAGTAAACAATTTTCTCTCACCAAATATCAACCAGCTCCATCTCTACAAGAGATACATTTAGATGTCGGAAATCTTCTGCATACCTTCAGTCATTCCTAAACAAGTCTAGAACTTGATGTTGAAATGATAAGAAATGCTGATAACTCTCTGACGAGATCCAAATACAAAAAGCTCCACATGGATTGGACAGTTTATCAATTTTCAGAATTGTGTTCCTCTAAGACGAAAGAGAAACTTCATGTGCTTTCTCTCTTCAAGGATTTGGAAAATATGAACCGAGGAATCTCTTGATAAAGAAATACAAAATCTTCTAATAAACATCATGGAAAATGGTTTTACACACAGATTCACAAATGAGAATCTAAAACTAAAGAAAACCTCCGGAAGGGTTCAATTCGCCCCCAAGGAGATGCGGATACTTAATCTCGAATTTAAAAGCCGAGATCCTGCTTAAACGACTCTTGAAATCTCTCAATAAGACATACTCCGCTGCCAGTCTACAAGTGATATTTTCTTACAAAAACTTTTCGATTTATACATGATAGACAATCTATCACATTGGGTCACTTCAACATGCATATACTAGTTCACGTGATCTTGTGGCTTGGGATCACTATCCAGCCTGGCTGGCTAGCAAAAGGAGAATTCAACTGTGTGTATATAGTTCAGTAACAAAACATCTAGTGAACTAGGGGGGTTCAACTCCATTTGATCGGTTCCCGAAGTCATATAAAATATCGTATCAAACCTCTCAAAGGTGGTGTGGCTTCGAATCTCAGAAGGCAGATGAGTTCCCCGAAGACTAGAGACACACCTTGCATGAAATCTAGGTTGAAGGATTCCTCATACTGACTGCCTCCAACCATCTAACAGCAACACTGTCTGTTCATTTTGATATCACTATTATTAAACAAATTAAATCTGGCGTTAAAACGCATTAAGCCACATCTCCATATATTGACTGAATGATTAACTGACTTACCGGACCAATACGCTCCTTTATCACATCACGTATTTCGACCCAACCTTCTAGGGATAAAACTTCAAATAAAGCCAGTATTGCATTGCCAATGTTGTCAAAATTGAAATTTCTTGGATTAGCCCATACTCTTGGTACAAGTAGTTTCAATGGTTCACCTTTAACACTTTTCAGTTTAGTTGAGGCTAATTCACGCATAAATCTTCCAACACATTTTTCCTAAAGACAGTAAGAGTAATATAATCCCTTTACTCAACAAACAGTAATAATTATGCCAAATGGGGTTGTCAGCATTTCTATACCTGCTGCAACAATTCACCTTTCGTAAATATATAATAACATAAAATTTGCAAAATTAATTGTTATTATTATTATTGTTTCCTTTAATTCCTAGAGGAACATGGGGCTTCAGCCACACGTCTCCATTGCGTTCGGTTCTCTGCTACAGTCTTCACCTGGCTCCAAGTCTGCCCACACGCTTTCATCTAATCTTCACATGACCTCCTCCAAGTCACCCTTGCACTGACGACCAACTCACCGCTGCCCTTTTGAGTTCCACTCGAGCAATGGCTTGTCTTGTGATGTCACTTGATGGTTTCCTCAGAGTATGGCCAGCCAATCCATCTCCATTTCTTCCTGCCTATTTGTTTCACAATCGGTTCCTGCTGTGTTGGTTCGCTCAGTGCCAGAGATCCCTGTTGCTGATCTCTTCTGGCCAGCCATCTGATCTTGAGTATTGAGCGAAGACAACTGTCAATGAAGGTCTGTAGTTTGTTCGAGATGCTCTTTATGACGCGCCAAGTCTCTGATCCGTATAGTGAGTAGCACTGACTTCACATTGGAGTTGAAAATCCGGATCTCGATTCTCATGCTGAGTGCTGTTGACTTCCACACAGACTTGGGAGTAGTGAAAGCTTGTCTTGCTTTTCCGATTCTTGCTTTGATATCCTCGTCAGTTCGGCCTGTAGTTGAAACGATGCTTCACGGGTAGGTAAAAGAGGTTGTCTCTTTCAGGTTCCTCCCATTTATGGTGATTCTTGTCTGTTGTTGTTGTTCTTGTCCAGGAATTAAACCACAAAAAGTAAAATTTTGTGGAACGGAGGTGGCACGGAGGTAAAATGCTTGCCGACCACGCCTCATGTGGTTCGGGGTTCAATCCCCGGCCACCGACACACTCCTTTGCCTCGGTATGCCAGTAATAATTAAAGCTGGTAAAGAGGAAAGGTTGGACATTAGTTTAGCAACCCCATTTTTTAAAAATAAACACCACTTCTACAGAAACTTCAAGCCTCTAGCTTGAATCAGCCGTATGTTTGACTGGGAACGTGAAGGAATGAAAAGAAACGAATTATAAATAAATAATATAGTAAATAATTTTTTTACTAATAACAATCTTTGTTATACTTTGCAGTTCAGTTACTGATTTCAAAAGTTTATAATTTCTTTTCTGACATCTGACTCTCTCTTCACACAAAACCCCTGGGCTAAACATGCTGTGGTTGAGTTCTTATATTCAATAGTAGTATGAGCATAGCTTCTTATGGTGCTTCCTCTGGTTTCATCCTTGAGGAGATACAGGAAGAAAGTTGCGAATAAGTAGAGAGGATATGCGGTATCAGACAAGTTGACTTTAGCCAACTGTCTTGCAAGCGAATTTAAATGCCCAGCGACACAACAATGTCAGTTAGTTGATTCAAAGGCAGCACAGCACTAATCCTACTTACATCCTTCAAAGTCCTATGTAATATAACACGGACCCTTTTGAGTAACGCAAGGAAGAACAAGCGGGGAGACAATAAAGAAGAATGTGTAGAATACGTGAACTAATAAATTGTAAGAGAAGAGGTTGAGTTATGCCAGAATGTCTCAAAATCCTTATTTAATAAGTCAAATAGGAACTATTCTTAGAAATCAGCAAGTAATGAGATGACCAACAGAGGTTCGAAAAAAACCGATTTACTCTCCCTGTCACAATGCTGCAGGATTACAGAAGTCATGGGACTGAACCAGTCCACTGAAGCCTTGTTCGCATCTGAAGTTAAAATCAATAATATAACATTTAGATAGATTTAATTTAAAACCATTTGAGTAAGGTTATGTGAAGATTTAGTTGTAAATTGCTATTGATTTTTATTTAGACGAATGATAAATGTCAATATTGAAAGTGAACTACTTCAACTCATCTCTGAGCTGGATTACCGCTTGGCCAATAGAATTGAGATTAGGAAATAGGGACTGATTATCGTAGTACACCAAAATCTTTTAAACAATTAATGAATTGCGTTCCCAGTAGTTTTATAGAGGTGACCTTGACTGTAACACTGAGTTATATATAAGCTCACATCTCTTATAGGCTGTTAGATAGCCCTTGTTGATGAGCGCCTGCTAACACGGAATGTAGATTCACAGACTCCAGTTACTGATTTGCAGATGTAGCCCACTGATTTCAAATCTCATGGCTTAGTCACCTCTCAACAGGTACAAACCACTCTCCTCCTACTAATGTTAGAGGGTAGTCACTTCTTGCAATGATTTCTAGCATTGCTAAGTAGATGTAAATGGGAGGAAGTGTACACAATCTACTGACCAAATCATGCAGGCTTTACGTGCTACACTTTCGCAACTTTGTATACGTTTCACGGCTAAACAGTTAATATAAATGTTTAAGCTTGACAATCAAAGGGATAAATATTGTGTGATTTTGTTTTTTTAAATTACTATTATGAACTGAAAAATAATACCGCTATATAAACTGACTATAACCACTATCCGGTTGTGAGTTCGAGGGGATATGATGGATGCAGAGAACTGATTTCGGTTACGGAAGCATTGAAAACCATCGAGTACTGGACAGCTGTTTCTTCCTGACCTGTAGCTCTGCATCCGTATGCGGAGGTTAGGGTTCATAGACCATTAGAGTACGTCTCAGTGGGTGAATCGTTGGCCTACTCGCCTTGTAAATTAAAAGGTCCTGGACTCGATCCTCGGAGGGGTCGTGGGTACGTACTGCTCAAGAGTAACAAGCGTGGACTCCTTCGATTTCAGTGATTCTGTGACTGAAGATAGTCAGTGATTTATCTTATAATCACCATCCGTTTGAATACGTGCATTTTTTTAAACTTATGTTCTCTTTACTGTCGTGATCAACCTTAGCTAAGCATTGACTTCAACAGCCTGAATTACTGAAGTTAGTAGAATGGGCTCGTCTTTTCCCAAAGAACAATAGTGACCATTGACTTGGTGACACATATTTAGGTGGACACTTTGCATTTTATTACTCTACAATAGTCACCTTAAGTCATTCAGATGAACATAGGAATTAGAGAATACAGTTTTAGTTAGTACGTGTTTCTGCTAATATCTTATCAGAATACGCAATAAAATTATTAGGCAATGACTTTTGAAAAAAGACTGATTACTTAACAAAGATAACTTCTTCTCTCAGGTTCTACAGTTATATATCCGTAACAGTTAAAGAATTATTGTTATCGACAGCACTGACATGAAAATCCAAAAAGCTACATATAAAAGTAGATTGTTAATAGATTAAGGCCCAATAGAGGCTATTGCGTCGGTAGCATAGTGGTTAGGACGCTCGCCGACCATGCACGTGGTCCGGGGTTCGATCTCCGGCCGGCGCACTCCTTTACCTCGCTAAGCCAGAACTAAAAAGCTGGCAAAGAGGAAGGGTTGGGCATGAGGTTAGCAACCTCATCCTGTAAAAATAAAACACTGCAACAGAAACTTCAAGCCTCTAGCTTGAAGCCCTATGTTCCACTGGGAACGTGAAGGAATAAAAAAAAGAGGCTATTGCAAATTAGGCTGAAATAACCGGTGCACTGCAAGCGAAATAAAGAAGCCAAGATTTGACCGGTGCCCTGGCCAACTGTGCGTAAGATCTGTAAATTCATAAATACCGTATTACGTCAGCTTTTCAGGTATGACGCCATATTATTACGCTTGTATAACTGAAAATATCTCCTTACCGTAGCAAATTCAAGACAGGCAAAAATTGTGAAAAAAGTAGCATCTTTAAAATTCACAAAATGTGATAGTAGGACTCTGCAACTGAATACTCTACAAACAATTATTTAAACCTCATAAATTATTTAAAATCCCCCTAGTGTACATAAGAAAAAGTTAAAAAACAAGATTTTTCTGAACTATGTTCGAATTTGAATAACAAGAATGACTCAGTACAACTATCAACAACTCGGAATATAATTCTGAATACAAAAAACATGAATGAGCAAAAATAATGAACTTTATTTATATGAGTACAAATCATAAATGTGTGAATAAAACAATTCCAACAGTTGGGGTGTGAACACGGGCAGTAATTTTGCTCAAAATATTACCAATAACAAAACTTATCATTGTGTGTAAACTATTGAAATATAATTATACTTTACTTTTCTAACTTGTTATCATATTTACAAAATGCTATTCATTTCACTTCACTAAATTCATTATTATTATTATTTTATAATCATTCACCAATAGTACTTTCAAGTTTACACCACACCACCGTTATTATTTCACCATCATTGTGATTGTTATTTGTCACCCTTGAACTTATGTCTAGTCCACTCCATTTGTTTGTTTATTTTGTTGTGTAGTACTCTATATTGTCTCACACAGCACTGACTACACTGACCCTCGAAACCTTTACTTTTGTTTATTATATTACAGACACACACACACACATCTTTGAAATATTTCACCTCATTTTATCTCACGTTGTCATTGACCATGCATATTAGAAAAACTAACTGACTGTTGTTGCTTCCCTTCTTACAGTTGATCTACGATACACTTTCTGATACGATTCTAATTTGCCTTTACTGGCTGGCTGGCTATTGTATGCCTAAATTAATGGATTTATTGAAATCACAATTGTTCGCTCTAATTATTTCGTTCTGAATAAATTATGGAAATATTCAATGTACAAATATAAGTCTACTGTTTTTAAACACCTTTACGTCTTTACGAACTTTTAGGATTCACCCATATATGCAAAGCTTCTGAAGTCAGTATACCTTTATACGAACCAAAACCTTTCTGTAGAACCTTAGTCCTATCAAAGTCGATCTTGTGTCCCGTTTCTATCGAGTGCAGTGCAATCACCGTTTCTTCAAGTCTGCAGAGGTTTTCGGAACCACCTTTTGACAATTTTTATTCCCCTTCACTCTTATATTTACCTGTCTGGAAGTTTCTTCTAAATATACGGCTTCACAGCCCACACAATTCATCTGGTACACACAACTCAGTTGATTGTCTTCTTCTATTTTATCATTAACTTTCAACAGTGATGAGCGTAAGGTATCCATTGCATAAAAATACACTCTCATTACATTCCTTATGATTTTGATTATCTTAGGTCTAAATAGTGCATTTTTAACATTTTATCATATTTTTACAAAATCCTGTTCATTTCACTTCACTAAATTCATTATTATTAGTATTATTGTTATTATTATTATTTTACAATCATTCACCAATAGTACTTTCAAGTTTACACCACACCACCGTTAATTATTTCACCATCAATTTTAATGTTATTTGTCACACATGAATAACACACTTGAACAAAAACTCAGATTAAAATGTGAAGATTCAAGCTTGGTCTCTGAAGTTTCAGTGGCAGTAATGTTTCACGAGGTGAAGTCGCTTCCCTGACTTCTAATCTATTCTATTTACCACCAGGCTTACTACATGCTAAACAACGTTGAGAAATGTATCAGCCAGATCACTTGGGTGGTAGGCAGTCATTCTGCTTGCTAGTGAAGCGTTGATATACTGGACAGGTATTTCCTACTAGTTTGCGATTCTTCATAAGTATGCACTCAGAGATTAAACTTGAGACTTTCACGTCAGAGGACGAGGTTGATGATCATTCAGCCACCTTGATTATTATTTACTTATTCATACACATCCACTCTGATTCTATTAACCACAATGGTATCACCATGTCTAGTTAAATAAATATACGATATAATGAGTGGTAATTGATGGTATGACACAAATTTTGAGTCCTCGGAAGTTTTGAAGTAGTAATTTGAAGGTCAAATTTTCTTAATATACAACAAAAAAGGGGGATGAAAGAATTACTGTATAACTTACTTTAGTTGTTATATTTCTGTCATTACAAATAGCCAAACGTCCACCGAAGAGATGCACACCATAGACAGCAAACATAAACATGAATACAACCAGGAGAACAGAAACCTAGAATAGATAGACAGATAAACAGAAAAGTCTGAATGACTTAAAGTTTAGGGTAAAAAGAATATTTGTTACAGGACTTTCATCATGAGCTGATATTAGTTAGAGAACCATTGGAAAACCTGGGAGTACTGGACAGCTGTTTCGTCCTAGTTTGGGACTCTTTATCAGTACGCACCCACCGACAGGGTTTGAACGCAGGACCTTCTGGTTACAAGGCGAGCTGGTATACGATTAAGCCACTGGGACCCGATCCAATGGCCCATGAATTCTAACTTCTGCCAATTCACGACATAGCGCGACCCCTAGCCAATGTCTTCGGCGAGTATTTGTCCTCACGCCCGACCTGCTGCACCCTACTGGTCACGACTTCTCACTAGAACCCCAGGTGACTACCTACCTGAATAGGGTAAGTCGCCAGTGAGCATCTCATTGGTATTCAAATGTTGGTCTCTAGGGAATATTTGTGTTGTTACATAACTCTTTACATTATTGATGCAATTTTTGTTTCCTTGGATGCACTATAGACAGTTGTGCATAGATTCAAGTTCAAGTGGAGATGAATTTATTAATAAAATGGCTGGAACTGTATTTAAATTTTCGTTTCATCAAGTAAGTAGTTTCTGGCATGTCATCTTTTCATTAAGTTCAACTATCAAGTTGAACTGTAGCTCTGTTACACCCTATTTGCATGATTATCTGTTAGACCAGTAAATCAGATCACCGGGACATTAAAATCCAGCTAAGTGCAGAATTAAGAACATAATATTCAGCGAAGAGACTCTTTTCAACGAATTATTTTGGAACACCTGATCGACTTCGGTCACTCTGTCAACCTTGACCATGATTTCAAGATCCTTTACTGAATCCATGCTAACTTCCCGCGTTTTCTTCGTTACAGACTTCTAAAGACAGCTGAGGCCTTGGCAATTCATGACTTTAAGGCAGACCTTTGTGTACAAAAGAAGTATGTACAATCCCTACTTCTGTCTTGGCCGTAGAGGGATAGACATTTATTTATTTTGTTTATTTAGTTATTCAATGTACTTTTCCCTTATTACTACGATTATTATTATTATCATTATTATTACTATTCTCACTCTGAATCTTTTCCACTTGACCTACTTGACATTTTAAACCCAAAATTATTTACTTTTTATATTTTTATTTTTACAATATTAAATTCTATCTTATCAAATTTCACACCATGTTATGTAAAATTTTATATCCGTCTACTAATCTTATAATTATGTACCCCATTCCAAAATCCATACACCTTATGTATTATTCTATATACAACATTAATTATTGTGCCACTTGACATTAAACTATGATTATAATCACAAATATTTTAATTGCATTTCATACTATTATTATTTCATGTATTCACACCTTTGACCGAATTCCCTCACCGGATATAATTTTTATAAAATAACCATATATATACGATTGTACAGCTTGATGATAAATTCGTTGAAAAGAGTCTCTTTGCTGAATATTGTGTTCTTAATGCTACAATAAGTGCAGAATGTAAATAAGACGTTAAGAAGATAAATACTACGAGGTGAAATCATTTATCAGTTTACTTACGATCGCTTTACAACTAGCACGGTCGACACTTATCGATGGTTGGAGGCAACCAGCACAAGAAAGCCCTGGACACACCTAAGTTTCGTGCTAGTTGGCACTCACCAGTCAGGGCAAGGCGTACCTGCAATCTTGAAGTAACTCATTTTACTTCTGAGATTCGAGCCTATGTCACCCAGTGAGCGTTGTAGTCAGAGATATTACCACTGAGCTCTTCGGTCTCGCAACTGACCTCCTGTAGGACTGTATTGGATACTTTGACTGGACACTAGTTAGTTACCAGTGCAATGTGTCTAGTCGTTTGTTTGCTGTAGAGGTAATTCTGACAGTCAAGACTGCACGAAACATAGGTTCAAGGCTTCTTGACGATTGCCTCAAACTATCTAATATCAGCAATTCACAGTTCACCATGATGGCGAGGTAATTACCATGGTGGCTACACTGCAAACTTGACACGGGGGGAATTCAGTCCGCACTAAACAAAGGAGTAGACACATTGCACTAGTTATACTAGTGTCCTATCAAAGTGTGGTTGACACTGATAAAATAAAGTGTCTGACAATTACTCAATTGTATAAAAAATATACATACCAATAAACAATCATATTTTAGTAGGTCAAGTAATCCATGGTGGGCAAAGATTGAAGTTCACTGTTTTTTGTACATATAGTTTCAGATTATTATATTTATTATTGTTCCCTTGGGTTCCGAGTGGAACATAGGGCTTCAACTACACGCCTCCACTTGCTGCTTCTGTCTTCTGCTGTACTTTTCAACTGCATCCATGTTATTCCATACTGTTTCAATTCCTCTTCACACGATCTCCTCCATGTCACCCTTGCATTGACGTCCCACTCGCCGCTTCCCTTTCGGGTTCCACTCGAGCACTGGCCTGACGCTTGATGTCACCAAGGGTCCGCCTCAGCGAGTATACAATCCATCTCCACTTTCTCCTGCATATTTGTTGGGCAATTGGTTCTTGTTTTGTTCGTTCCCATAGTTTCTTGTCTTGTCTCTTCTTTCTTCCTAAAACCGTTGAACGCGTTTCGTTGAAAATCACCTTCAGAGAGTTCCAATGGTCTTCCACGGATGATTCCTCAGTGATGCCACGTAGTGTTTCCTGCTTTGCTCTGACAGTTGCAGTGAAAGTGTCCTATGTGGTTGTGTCCTTCAGTTTTTGAGTGTTGAACTTGCATTGTGGCCTATCCCCAGGTATCCTCGAGGCTTTCAGCTTCACCTTGAAAGTCCCTTGTACTAGATAGTGGTCTGAACCCACATCTGCTCTTCTCCTTGATCTTGTGTCCAGTAGGCTCCGTCTCCACTTCCTTGAGATTGAAATGAAGTCTATCTGGTTTTTGGTGTGTCCATCTGGTGAAATCCATGTCGCCTTGTGTATATCCTTGTGTTTGAACACACTGCCACCAATCACCAAATCATTGAAGGCGCAGAAGTCTGAGAAGAGTTCACCATTGTCGTTCATTTCAGATACATGTGATTAATCCAAAGTGCCTGCATCACCTCTAATAACCTTGGATTTAAGTGATGTTAAATAATTGCGAAACAGTCCATGATATTGCCTTTAGGATGAGACAATACTGAATGCAATGGATGATGCTGGATTTCAATTCAAATTAAGTGCGTTTAGATTTTCTGTGTGACTTAATAACTATTTAAAAAAATGTTTTTTTTTCAACGACATTGAGACATTCTATTGGTTTTTAACTATATATATATGTCATCACAACTACAGGTGAACTTGTACATACTGTGTGAAGTAGATTCTACAGAACTTTATCCCTTAACCCTTAAGCACAGAAATTGAAAATGTTCGAGATTTGAGGGAAAAGGATAGTGCGTAGAATAAGCATAGGATAGCTGACCGAAGCCTTTGACTAACCTTATATAGTAGTTTAATAAAGATAGCTTTCTTTAGTACAAAAGTCATCTTTTCAAATGGAAGTCTCTCTTTAATGTGACATACAATGAAATTTCGTCTATTAGCTAGCAAAACTGAATATATGCACTGTAACCCATCCAGTAATGTTTCACGATACATTAAACGATTGGTGAAATTATTTGAAATGTGTTCAGCAAATAAAATTACAAATTATTTCTTTTCAAGAGTCTGGTTTGTAAGGATTAGATTTGTTTATACGAGTTTGACCACGGATTGATATCAGTTGGAGAACCATTGAAAACAAGCAGGGAGTACTGCTAGACAGCTGTTTCATCCTAGTCTAGGATAGAGTTCCCACCGATGACATTGGTTGGTGCTAGTCGCGCTAAATCACGAATTGGTAGAATTCATGGGCAGGCCATTGAATTGGGTCCCAGTGGTCTGAATGGTATACGAGCTAGCGTGCCTTGTAACCGGAAGGTCCTGGGTTCGAACCCTGGTGGTGGGTGCGTACTGCCGATGGTTCTGAAACTAGGATGAAACAGCTGGGTGTCCAGTAATCCCTGCGGGTTTTCAGTGGTTCTCTAACTGATATTAATCTATGGCCAAACTCGGATATAACAGATTATTTCTTTCAATAAGGCATTAAGAAGACAAATTTCGCGAGATGACATCGTCATTTCGTAGTTTCAGTTCAATTGCTTTACAACTAACATGATTAACAATAATAAAATAAAGTTCGTGACAATTGCCCAGTTAAATAAAGCATACTAATGACCAATCATATTGATTTTGTGACCTGACATTAATAAGTGTTTTGCAGTGGATGATGCTGGATTTCTATTCTATTTCTATGATTTAGTAGCCATTTTGGAACATGTTCTTTTTGACGGGATTGGAACATTCTATTGGTTTTACCTATATAGGTGTCACTGCAGCTGCAGGTGAACTTGTAGATAGAGTTTGAGGTAGAGTCCACAGAATTTCGTCGTTCAATCGTAGGTACAGGGATCGAAAATTTTCGACAAGTGAGAAAAAGAGATGCTGCGTAGAATGTGCGTTGGATGGCTGACCGAAGTCTTTGAGCTGTCAACTGCATAATCTAGTCACTTTTGAATGGTGGGTTAATCAAGGTACATAGCTTTCTTTGGTACAGAAGCTGTCTTTTCGAGATATGGCCTTTCTTTACTGTGACAAGTGATAAAGCTTTCCGGGTAACCATTAGCTAATAAAACTGAATGTAAATGTCGAAACTCATCCATCAGTGTGCCACTGGTGCATATTTTTCGAGCCCTTGAGAACAAACATTTCACTAGGGAACGTTTATACTGGATAGGACAGCTTCTGTACCAAAGAGAGCTATCTTTATTAAACTACCATTCAAGGGTGACCAGATTATGCAGTTGACAGCTCAAAGACTTCGGTCAGCCATCCAACGCATATTCTACGCAGCATCTCTTTTTCTCACTTGTCGAAAATTTTTCGATCCCTGTACCTACGATTGAACGACGAAATTCTGTTGACTCTACTTCAAACTGTATCTACAAGTTCACCTGCAGCTGCAGTGACACCTACATAGGTAAAACCAATAGAATGTTCCAACGTCGTGGTCGAAAAGAACATATTCCAAAATGGTTACTAAATCATATAGAAAATCCCAATGCAATTAATCTGAATAGAAATCCAGCATCATCCATTGCAAAACACTTATTAATGTCAGGTCATAAAATCAATATTAATGACTGTTTCACGATTATTTCACATAACTCTAATTCGAGGTTGGTTACTGAAGGTGATGGAAGCACTTTGGATTAATCACATACAGCCTAAACTGTGCGTACAAACATACAATAGACTTCAATCTTCGCCTACCCTGGACTTCTTGACCTATCTAAATATGATTGGTCATTAGTATGTACTTTTGTTTTTATTTAACTGAGCAATTGTCATGAACTTTATTTTATTATTGTTAACCAGGTTAGTTGTAAAGCGGTTGTACAGAAACTACGAAATGATATCATCTCACGAAATTTGTCTTCTAAACGTCTTATTCAAATTCATCAAAGGGACTAATTGTTTTAAGATTATTTCTCGTCAAAATGTATCAAATGGAACCATTTGCTTTATGCTAATGTGTCTGTGTAATTGTTGGAACTAAGATTTTTAAAGGTTTTCTTGAACTTCTAATCACAGTTTATGTGTAGTTAATCAGTACAGATTGAGTTTTTCATTCAGCTCAAGGGTGGCATTAAGGCGATCATATGAGGAGAGAATGAAACTTTATGGGCGGTCGTGGAGTTAGCTTAAATGAGTCTCAGAGATTCAGCTGAAGTGAAGATATGCTTCTGAGGCTTTATATTTCATGCGGAACCCGAGGAGACACGATTACATCTTATAATGATGAATTTTATTGTTTTTTCGCTGTATTTATCTATTTCACTTCATCTGAAAAAGATTTCGAGAGAATATCTTGGAGAACTCACTCTAAAAGCAACTCCAAATTCGGGTACGCTATGTAGTGACTGCAGTGCCGCCGACAATTATACATCCCACCCAACAGTTGTACAACAATGCTGCATGCGAAGTAATCCACAACGGGAAACTTACGGAATCCTTCGAAGTGAGGACAGGAGTAAGACAAGCTGGCTGCCTACTATCGCCAATGATTTTCCTGATTGCGGTAGATTGGATAATGCGACAAACAGCGGGCAATGGGGAGACAGGCATAAAATGAACTCACACAAAAAACTTGGAGGATCTAGACTTCGTTGATGATATATGCCTGATTTCCCACAAACTGAAAGATATGCAAACGAAAAGCAACAAGTTGGCTGATGAAGCATCCAGAGAAGATAAGACTTCAGGTGAACACAGAGAAAACAGAGGTGATGAAGATTCCTGGGCAACACCACCAACAGCAACAACAACAACAGACAATAATCAGCATAAATGGAAGGAACCTGAAAGAAACAACCTCTTTTACCTACCTGGGAAGTGTTGTTTCAACTACAGGCGGAATTGACGAGAATATCAAAGCAAGAATCAGAAAAGCAAGACAAGGTTTCACTACTCTCAAGTCTGTGTGGAGGCCAACAGCAGTCAGCATCAGAAATAAGATCAACTCCAATGTGAAGTCAGTCAGTGCAACTATACGGATCAGAGACTTGCACTGCGCGTCATAAAGAGCATCTTAAACAAACTACAGACCTTCATTAACACTTGTCTTCGCTCAATACCACTCAAGATCAGATGGCCAGAAAAGATCAGCAACAGAGATCTCTGGGAGCGAACCAACTAGGAACCGATTGGGCAAAAAATCAGTGGAAAGAAATGGAAGTGGATTGGATTGGCCATACTCTGAGGAAACCATCAAGTGACATCGCTAGACAGACCATCGCTCGAGTGGAAGCCGAAATGGAAGCGGCGAGTTGGTCGTCAGTGCAAGGGTGACTTGGAGGAGGTCATGTGAAGAGGAGATGAAAACGTGTAGGCAGACTTGGAGCCAGGTGAAGACTCTAGCAGAGAACCAACCGCAATGGAGACATGCAGCTGAAGCTCTATGTTCCTTTAGGAACTAAAGGAAATAATAATTACAAATGTACTGATATGTATCCCTAATCATATTAAACTGACAGTCAGCCTAGTGGAAGGAAATTTACAAGAAACTTTGAGTTGATTCTAAAGGTAATCAAATTCGCAAGCTTATATCTTATAATCTAGACTTCATAGATTTGACTCTTAGCTATAATACAGGTGACAAAAAGACCTCATACTGCAAAAGAATAAGGGATGATCAAATCAAAACGTGGTATAAATCCATAAAGACTTTGACAGGTAGTTTTTTCCAGCCGCATAAAGAGGTGTAGACTGCCAGTTTCAGGTCCTCAGGATGTTAAGAATCAATGGCTTGGGACTGTTTGTAGTATAACTTAAATCTTTCTCAGTGTCACAATATCACACATTCACCCTGTAATATCCTGAATCCATCAAAGCGCTAATATTTTTCCATATCACCACTTTTTTACTGTCGTACACTTCCTCTCATTATAGTTCTATTGAATCCCCATTTTCTCTACCTTTGTGTACTATGTGGAGTGTAGCGACTTGAACTGCTGAACTTTTGAGCAAAGTTCTGTGTTGAAACTCAGTCAGTCTGCCGGTCAGATTTTCAAAATAAACTATGATGCATACAGATAAGAAGTACAAAACTAAAACAGTATCATTTCTAAAAAAAGTGTTTAAAAAGACACTGGGCTTTAACTTCAATGAAAGTTCCATTATGGATAAGATTTAATTTTGATAAATCACACAGTGTTTGTTGTATAGTAATATTAACTGACGATCACGTTTCGAGCACAAATTATTACTGTTCATAATCATATCAAGGTACTCATACAAACCGAGCAATAACACTAGGTAGTACAACAAAAAACCTAAACGATGAGATGAAACAGAAGAGGCGTTGGTGTTGAATAATTATTCTATAAAATTCATTAGAAAGATCAGAAAAGGTCAAAAGCAAAATAAGAACAATGGTGAAACCAATAATGATAACATAAATAGCAGAGAATATAAGACATCTACAGTTAAACCATATAAGGAGGGCACATCTGAGGCCCTACGTAGGATACTCAGTAAAGCAGGAATTAGGGTGGCATTCAAGCCTACAAACTCAATGAAGTAGGACAAGCTCTATAGGCTAAAGCACCCGAAGGATCCAATTAAACGAAATTATATAATTTACTAAATACCTTGCAATGACTATGATTTAGGTCAACTACATAGGTCAAACTAGTAGATCAGGAGTAGTGAGATTGTCTGTCAGAAGATAAGAATTCAGCTAAGATTAGAATGATTGATTCCACGAAGATAAGTAATGTAGAGAAAAACTCAGCAATTGCAGTGCATGCATGCATTGGACAGAGTCGAAATTCTAAAAAGTAACATAGATATGTACAGAGAGAGATTGACTACTGAATCCTGGTTCATTGAGTCTACACCCAACACATGTAACAGAAATGACTCAATGCAAATACCGCAGATATGCATGGAAGATATCATTACCACCAGTCAGTCAGTCAAATCAGAGGAGGATAATAAATAATGTTAAAATTGTATTTCAATTCACATACACCATAACATTCTAACAAGTTACTTATTATGACTATATAAACACTCGTCTTATTTCCCATCTGACTGTATTTGATCAGCAACACTCATATTATCATTGTTTCTGAATGTTCATTATCATCTTATATTGATTTTTATTTAAATGTCTAATCATGAATTTCACTCATGTATAAAAAAGAATTAAGAAAGTTGTATGAGTGACTTGATATTATTATGAGCAGCAGTAATTAGTTGTACTCGAAACGTGGTCATCAGTGAATATTACTGTATAACACCACTGTGTGATTTATCAAAATAAAATCTTATTCATAATAGAGTTATACTCTGGCAGCACATTGCCCATGTTTTATACTTATATCAATGAAAGTTCATTGAGAAAAAACAAAAACAAAACGCAGTTTATGCAAACTTACCATGAGAATTTCTTTAAATCCCCGGACTAATTCATAGACAACTCTACGCATTTGTGGTACAAGACAAAATATTCTCAATGGTCGTAGACATCGTAATACCATTAATAAATGTCCACCAGATGCTGGACCGATAACATCAACACGTATCATATAACTGACAAAAATTAGGCTAATCTATCACAAATACAAGATAAATATACAAATTCATCAATAATATCCATCCAAACATTAATGAAAAGTAAAACACGTAGTTGAGCGAAAAGTCTCTTTTCGGCGGCGAATTCATTCATTAAGCTTTACAGTAGCAATTATGTATTTTTTACGTAGTTTTATATATGTGGGTACAAAATTAGGTTTGTCCGATAAGAATAAAATTACTTCGGGCAATTGTTGTCATGACATTTCAAGAATGTGATGAGTAACCAAATTGTAACTAGGGCTGGAGTGAGTGAGTGAAGGTTGATAAGAGGGTAGTGGTGATGTGTTGTCGAGAAAACATAGTTATCAGTGTTAATCAACACATAAAACCACACTTTTATATGCATATATCAGTTCATCTGTTGTTGCTGTGGACGCGCATCCTGTCCAAAAAGGGTTCAAGAACACTATCCTGCATGGCTACAAAAAGGTTATAGTGGCTGTATAAGGAGTGCGAACATCTCATCGACACTGGTCACTTCAGCTCAACAAACTCCTCCTTCTTCAAAGTAACCCACAAAGTGAAGAACAATCTATCAAATGCAACAAATTTTCGTCTCTTTTGTACTGTTGAAGCCTCAGTCATTTAGTTGGAGCTAAGTATCCCAAAGAAAATCATCCGACCACTTCTACTATTACGGTAACAAACGCGTTGACTTCTACTGACTTGAATGTGGGCTCGCTTTTTTTCGAACTCGTTACAGCATTTGTGGTTTTTAGAACTCTTACATAATTCCATATTTTTCCTTGTTTCTATGTGTATGTTAATCACAACTCACTCATTAAACTATTCATTCCATTACATAAATGTCATTGTCTTCAAAACATCAGACACACTGCAAAACAACCTTGTCCATATAAAAGACCAGATCTCTAAAGATTCTATATCTAATTGTGTCTATAAAATAAAATGCCTGTTTCGAATGTGATGCGATATACATCGGACAAACATCGTCAGAGAGAAATCAAAACCAGAAGAAATGAACACCATAGAGCATCTATTCGACCACCAAGAAATCCAGTTAGTGAACTAGAGAAGCCTGAAAAATCATCAGGCATAAATCTGTCGACACGCTATAGAATCAGGCCACAAAACTGATTTTGACAATATTGAAATTACCATCCGGAAACGCATTTCAGAAATCACAAAGAACGTCTTACATCATCAAAAGCACTTCGTGCGTCGGTTGCACAGCGGTTAGGACTCTCGCCGATCATGCACATGTTGCGAGGTTCGATTCCCCGCCGACGCACACCTGATATCTATGGTCGGCCTGCTAAATTTGGGCTACCGATATCACACGCTGAATATTTCATACTTGTACGAAACTACTGTGTGGGATCAAGCTATAATAAAATATAAAATAATATATCAAGTGGAATCCAAATTGTCTGAATAGGAATGATAGACTAAAACAGAATCTGATCTGGTTCCAACATTCCCCTCCCCCATGAAATGACAAAATCAACACGAATGTGATAAACAATTTCGTTATGTAAACACACGCTGCTTTTATAATTTTAATCGTAGTTAAAGGTCAAATGGCAAAGCAAATTAATGTCATATATAGAATAATTCATAGGATGGATAGAACTTGAAAAAGGTGTGCAATTATAAGATTAGTAGACAAATCGAAAAAATAAAAACGTTACGTAATATTGTGTGAAATTTAATAGCATAGAATTTAATGTTGCAAAACAGAATTAATTTAGAATGACAAGTGGAACAAGTGAAATAATACCGGGGACAATTAAAAGTGAGAGTAGTAATAGTAACAATTGACTTAATAAGGAAGAGTATACAAATAGAATAGACAAAAATGAAAAATGGAGAGTTGGTAGAGCTAAAGTATGATTGGGGATTACCATACTTTAGCATAGAGGGATTAAGACCATGAAAGTTGGAGGGGTTGAACGAACTTCTTCTGTACACAGAGATCTGGCTTTTCTGTTTCGATAGCCAAAGCTTCAGCAATACAGATGAGTCAGGTACGTAGGGATTTCGGTAATTTACTCTTTGCCTTGTAGATGACTTTGAAGGCGGAGGCTATAGAGATAGGGTGATCATTATCGACCAGATGTTCAATGATCGCGCTTCTTATTGCTCCACTTCCACCTTTTCGTAACCATGCAAGATAGTGTTTTTGCACCCTCTTGGACAAAACTCGTGTCGAACGACCGATATACCTAGCTCCACAAGAGCAGGTGAATTGATAAACACACATAGAGTTGGTCAACAGCGGGATCTTGTCCTTCAGGTTATTGAACAATAATGGTCGACTAGAAAAGGCTATTCTCAGGGATGCAGCAGGGAATGTTCTTTTCAGGGATTGTGATATCCTCCGTTTCATGATATCGGAAGCTAAGTCCCCTTTGAATTCCAAGCTCATGTAAAGTGTCTTCTTGGGTACGGTTGATAACTCACGTTTTTTAGGATTTGAATGAATATTCTTATCTATAAAACGTGGTGGAAATCCATTTTCTATTAGGATTTTCCTCAAGATGTATAACTCATCTTCCACAGTATCAGGGCTACATATGCGCCGAATACGAGTGGCAAGCGACCGGATCAGGTTTCGTTTTCGACCAATGGGTACCCAACTGTAGAAATTTGTCAGTTGACCATTCCATGACAGCTTGCGATAAATCGATCTTTTCAGGGTTCCATCGGTCCTTCTTGATAAGTTCACATCGAGGAAATGCATGCTAGACTCGTTCTCCATTTCGAGTGTGAATTTTATCGCCGGATGGCAACCATTAAATACATCTAATATATTATTTAAGTTACAATCACTATTACAAATAATAAAGGTGTCATCTACGTACCTTTTATACATTTGAAAACTTTGGATTATAGGCTTCAGCTGATCATTTTCTAGACTGGATATAAAACAGTCTGCAAGGAGAGGACCCAAGGGAAAACCCATTGCAATACCATCCTTCTGTCTGTAGATTGCTTCATTAAAAGTAAACTGTACATTCAATGTACATCTCAGAAGTAGTTCTTTCAGATCTGTAGTGGGTATACCTATATTCAATTTGTTGTCTTCTATATATTTGCATATAAAACATATAGTTTCTGTCAGTGGAACGTTCGTAAATAGGGATTCTACGTCCAAAGACAACATATGTTTATTCGACGCATTTATATCCTGTATACATTCAACAAATTGGAAGGTGTCCCGGAGAGAATGATTAGATAGCTGTTCCCTGACAGGTTCAAGGATTTTAGCTAGCCATCCAGCTACTGGATGATAGGGCGATCCAGACATATCCAAGATAGGGCGGAGTGGAAGGCCAGCTTTGTGTATTTTCGGTAGACCATAAAGTCTTGGTATTAGAGATCCTATTGGTCTGATCTTTTCGTATAATTCTTCACGAATGAGATGATTGTTCTTCATTCTTTTTAAAGCTTCTGTAAGTTCTTTTTCAATTAATTCCGTCTTATTTTTCTCGTTCGGTTTCGAGAATTTACTGCTGTCTGAAAGTAGACCTGACATTTTGTCGATATAATCCTTACGATCCATAATAACAACACCTGCACCCTTGTCAGGGCGTGTTAGTAATATATCGTTGTTATGCGTCAAAAGTTTAAGTTCTTCTTTGTGCTGTTTGGTCAGAAGACTTTGCATTTTTGATCTTGCATTAAGGTATTGATTGCAAGAGTCAGTGATTGTAGATTTGAAGCATTGGAAGTCCTGTTCTGACGATGGTGTGAGATCATAAGTTTGACTGAGTAGATTCTCAAACTGGACATGTGTATTTAGCTTGTTGATATTGAGATTAACATCGCAAAACTTCGAACCCATTGACAAGGCTTCCATTTGCAATTTTGATAGGGATATGGAAAAGTGATTGAACACGTATCTCTCACAATTCTCAGGAAATTTTCGAAGACATTCGATAGATTTTAGGCTATTAGATAGCTTAGAATTAAAAGACATTGTTTGTTTGTTGGTGACCACGTTGACATATTCATTAAACGTTTGACGTTCTTCAATCGATAAGTCATATAGAGCAGAAGATCTTTGCGATATATTCCTTTCTAACTCAGGGATTCGTGAACTAATAGAGTCAATGTGATTTAATGTGTGTCTCTTGAGAGATTTTCCCAATGGCTGAATGCCAGCTTGCCTTGTACCCGGAAGGTTCGGGGTTCGAATCCCGGCGGTGGGTGCGTACTGCCGATGATTCCCAAACTAGCATGAAACAGCTGTCTGGCAGTATTCTCTGGTTTTCAGTGGTTCTCTAACTGATATCAGTTCGTGGTCAAACCCGTAAAAACGAATTGAATCCTTACAAACCAACTCCTGAAAACTATATGACTTATTAGAATTCTCACCCTCTCCCACCATACTGTGTGGTTGTGTATCAACGCATGCCGTACAGTTGCTGAGCCTTTTTCTAAATCACTTATCTTCTTGTGGTCAATCATTCTAACCTCAGTTAAATTCTTCTGTTCTCACAATCTGACCTATGCACACTAACGTTTATTAAAAGCCAACGCATTCTACTAGATATTTGGACTTTAATTCATCTCATCCGTTAACTGTTGAGGCTGGCTTAGTTAAGTCTCTAACAAACGGAGCAATAGCACTAAGTAGTACAAAAAAGACCTAAACGGTAACATGAAACAGATAGAAGAAGAAGCGTTGGTGTCAAATAACTATCCCATAAAATTCCTTAGGCAGATCAGCAGAGGTTCTATGCAAAATAAAATAATGGTGAAACTAATAATGGTAACATGAATAAGAAAGAATTCATTTTTACCATATAGGGAGGGGATATCTGAAACGCTAGGTAAGATTCCTAATGAGGCAGGCCTTAAGGTGGCATTTCAAGTTACAAACTCATTTAGAGACAAGCTCTGTAGGTTAAGGGACCCTGTTGGTTGACCCAATTACAAAAAAGAATGCAATTTACAAAATACCTTCCAATGACTGTGAGATCGACTACACAGGTTAAACTAGTAGAACGTGGGTAGTTAAACTGTCAGAATATGAGAATTCACTTAGGATTAGAATGATTGATCCCAAGAAGGTAAGTAATTTAGGAAAAAGCTTGGCAATTGTACTGCATGCGTTGACACACAATCACACAGTAGGGTGGGAGAGTGTTACAATTTTAAAAAGTAATATAGTTAGTTGGAGATAGTGAGAGTTTGATTACTGAATCCTTGATCATCGAGTCTACAGTCAACACGTGTAATGGGAATGACTCATCAGTCATACCAGAAATATGGAATGTACTAATACCAATCAGACGAAGCGATGAAAAATAGTGGAATTATATAAATGAAGTTAGAAATTTGTGTGTGAGTAGTGCCTTGATATGATGTCGATGAGCAGTAATCAGTTCTGCTCGAAATGTGGTCATCAGTGAATATTACTGTATAACACTGTGCTGTTATGGTCTTAGTATTCTAATAATATGGATGCTTCAACCTCCGTAGTATTCATATTATGATCAGTATTTTTACACGGGTCTTAAGAAAATTTCAAATGGAATTTTTAGAATTTATGAAGTTCAAAGGTACAACAGAATTACACGATTTATGGTGAATCATTCACCGATTATTATGCATCAGGACCTTTCGGTTAGAATGCATGGGCCATTGAATCGGGTCCCAGTGGTGGCTGAATGGTGTACGAGTCACCCTGCCTTGTAACCGGAAGGTCCTGGGTGAGAACCCTGGACCCTGGATGAAACAGCTGGCTAACCAGTACTCCCTGCTTGTTTTCAATGGTTCTCTAACTGATAACAGTCCGTGATCAACTCGTAAGAAATTATCTCAACTCAAATATATATATATATATTTATTTATTCGTAATTAAATTGATGTTACTTATCAAGATTAGAAAATTGGATGTAGGGAAGGTTGATTTGTTATGTCTATAAGGAGGTCTTTCCAAAAAAATCGGGAAGGAGTATTTACACACGCATTCACACGCGCACAAACGTGTACATAATCTCTCAGGTATACTCAACTCTTCTGGTAATTAGGTTAAATGTTGTAGAAATCACTGAATACTATTCGAAATCAACAACAATAACAATAACACCAATGCTAGTGGACAGTAGTAGCTTAAGCATTGAAGATAATCTTATTTTAAACTATATTTTTGGTTGATTAGCTTTCGAAAAGAAATGATTTTAAGACTCTGTCAACAGCAACAAAAACAACAACAAGAGTATTGAAGGAGTAAACAGGCAACTAAATAAATAGTAATGACAATGAATAGGAGGAGGGAGTATTCGAGATGATGGTGAGACACGGAGAGAGTGTGGAACCCAAGAAGGATAAAACTAAATTTATATATATATGAGCTACCGAAGGGAAGAAAATAAAAATAAACAATGTTTTGTCAACAAGAACAAGAAGTGGTTTCTCCACCCCGTTTTCCTTAATAATAATCACGCTCCATTTCTCTAAAGATTTCACAGTAATTAAAAGAGATTAAGGGATAAGTGATGCATCTTTTTAAAATCCCTGTATGTTCCCAGTGGGAACATCGGTGGGAAAATCACTCACTCACTGAGGCTTGCAGGTACTTCCAGCTACTTGACGAGTCCCAAATAGGACGAAATGCGCGTTATCCTGGATTTCATTGCTAGTCACGATCCACCAATTAAAAATCAAGTCAGTCACGGTTGTTACCATGATAGTAAGCATAACTTCACTTTCCCTATTTGAATGGTTAAGGTTTCAGTAAGACAGAGGAGACGGAAACACAACACTTTTGGTAGGTTATTCTTTACTTTGTAGATTACTTTGAAGAAAGAGGCGTTTGTTGAGATGGAATAATGACCAATGTTGACAAGGTGTTCGATTATCGAACTCCTTATAGAACTACTATATCTGTTCACCTGTTGCTTTGGAGACAAGTACACTCTGATTGTTCAATGTGTATCCTATCTAGAATGGTTCAAGAACAGGAAGGTAGTAGTGGGGATTATTACTATTATTATTTTGTTCCTTTACGTTCGCAGTGGAACACTGGGCTAATTCAAGCTAGAGGCTTGAGGTTTCGATAGCAGTGGTGTTTATTTTTACGGGATAGGGTTGCTATTACTGACCCAGCGAGGTAAAGTAGTGCGTCGGTCGGGAATCGAACCCGGAACCACGTGAGGTGTGGTTGACAAGCATTCTACCTCTATGCCATTCATACATGCATACGTTTATTCGCTTTGCAAATTCCATTAAAGCTAGAACAGCAGCAATTCGTGGAGAATAAGAGGATGCCATCACTTGTTTCGTCGCCTTCTCATCAGTTGTAGAGACTAGTAAATATTACGTCATGTCACTTAATAACAGTGTTCAAAAAATTGCACTTACAAAGCTTATAACTAGGGGACAGAAAGAAGACCACAACTTTGACTGTCTGAACACGAACCAACAAGCCTACAAATCAAGGGAATAAACGCTTACAGCAGTGCCACACCTGTTAGGGCGGTTAGGGCTCTCGCCGACCATGCACATGGTCCGGGGGCCGATCTCCTGCCGACGCACATCTGGTATCAATGGCTGGCCTGCGAAATTTGGGTTATCGATATCGCATGCTGAAAATGCCATATATGTACCAAAAATACTGTGTGGTTTCAAGCTATAACCCAAAAAATATCATTACGGATCACTTTACAAAATAGTTCAATTCACATCAAGTTTGCCGAAGCAGTCGCTATGAAACGACTGAAATCTGGATTTTTGTCTTCAGGTAGAAGCAGTCACCATCCGTCTTATTTATTGATTTTATTTATTTATTTTATTATAGCATGATTCCACACAATATTTTTGGTACAAGTATGGAATTTAAGCATGTGATATCGGTAGTTAAAACTTGACAGGCCAACCAATGATATCGGATGTGCGTCGGCGGGGATCGAAACCCAGACTGTGTACATGGTTGGCGAGCGTCCTAACCGCTGTATCACCGATGCACAGCGTGATAGCTAGATGCCTTTATTCTCTCTCTCTTTTTCTCTCTTAAGATCACATAATCTTAGGGTAACTTTGTTAAACTTGAACTCTCTGGATGAAATGCGTATAGGTGTAATTTTCTGAGCACTATTTATTAAGTTTGCTGTTTTAGTGTCGTTATCCGACATCATATCAAAACACTGACGAGTATTTTGAGATTCTTCTGTGCATAAACTTGGTAACAATGTGTATTGGCTGTCGGGAGCTGGTGAGAAGCCTGCGAAATAAATTCGGACACTATTCTATTCTATTCTATGCTCAACCTGTTGTTCTGGCTTCATCAAGCTACTTTCTTTCTTTTGTCCCTTTGGTTGAGAGTTAACGCAGGGCTTCAGGATTTGAAGTTACACTAGCACTTTGACGAGCTGAGGCATTTAGCCTCACAGCCAGACTACCATCTTTTCTGGACTAAATATCGGTCGATAAACCGGGCTGGAAATAGAATCCAGGATCTCTCACACGATTGAAAGCAATTCTGCCATTGACCTTTCGACACTAACGACTGCATATTGACTTCTGCTAGATGGGGTATACATCAGCTCACTCCTATATTATATAAATGGTAAGGCAGATTACTTCATAAATGAGTGTTAAATCTTCTGGTTCCTGAGGTGACTCAGATTTTACCAGGACTAATGCAACAACACAACGTTTAAGCATATCAGTAACCTTAACAGTCCTGACTTTCTATGAACTTCCTATGATAATACTGTTAATATTAATAGTTTAGTGCTGAAGTGTCTGATGTTAAAGTTTAGGAATTTCTATACCATTTTGGATCAATTTTATGTTTTGTAAACTTTCTCTCCTTTTCTTCTGCTTACTTTTTTAAATATAAGTAGTGTGTTTTATTTGCATTATTTTTTCAGCTTGGGAAAATAACATTTTAACTTACTATGTAGATAAATAAATCCAAAAATCCACCAAAATCTTTTAAAAGAGCATTTGGAGTGAATATTAATCCATTGGCAAATATTTTCAAAGTCATTTCCAGTGTCATTACAACAAAAAAGATGTATTCACATATCTATGGGAGAAAAAAATAGTAGATATATTATCAAAATTAGCAGAATATATATATTTTTTGTAAGAATACATATTAAAGAAATGTACTCATCAGTAAGGCTTGACTTTAACTTTTATATACAGCTGATATTACTTGTGTGAATACATGTTTTAGTTATAGGTGCAGTATGTGTAATCAGATCACTCTATATTGAGTTTTCAGAATATGTGAGAGGCAAGGGAGTTACGACAATCTGGTACCACTCACTCTATACTGTTAGAGTTTGTTAATTCTTGTACTCTGCCTATTATTTTTTATTTTATCCCTTGCTTAATCTACCATGGGCTAATTAAGAAAGGCCAGTGGCGGTCAAACCAAAATATGGCTTCATCAGTCAATGAAATCCACAACAGTTAGTTTAAGCTAGTCACGTAGGAAAATGTAGACTTGCTGACTGGTTGGGGTCCTCGGGACGGTAAACACCAGTGAAGGCTGGAGACAATTGGCGTGATATGGCTTAAAACCATTCTGATTGGTGGGCGCAGACGCATCCACTCCTTGTGACTTATAATAACCAATAAAACTATATTGTTCTTCGATATTACTATTCTTTTTGCCTCGTATCTCTGTTAACTGTCTCTATTTTGCGATTCTTTTTACCTTCTTCTTCTTCTTCTCTGGCTTTGTGTGCTGAGTGAAATGTGGCGACTCGAACCGCCGCATATCGGTGAAAAGTTTTACCTTGAAACCAGGTTAGTCAATTAAGAAAGGCTTTGTTATACTGCGAAGGGTACAACAAAAACTGTCAGTTAGGTAAGTTGCGTGTAACTCTTCCATACTCTTTTCTATCTCAATCCTACGCCAGATAATATTGCTTGTCAAGGAAAACGATGGCTCATCCTACATACCATATCTTCTAGGCATCTCAGATGATGGAGCTTCATAACCTCACTGATTGACTCCCCCTCCTCACGTAACACTCTACGTCTAACCGCAATATTGCTGAACAAAAAATATCACCTAATCTGTGAGAAATTGGACGGAAACGCCTACTGGCAGAGACGGATAAGCTCTTCTTATCTTCCAATGTCAGCAGTAATAAATCACAGTTGTAAAAAAAGTGTGAAAGGTTCATGAAACAATATGTATTGCTCAGAGATATGAAGTATCGTAAAATAAATTATTATTTTATATTTCGAGAAGATAGGGCTAAAAGCTGGAGCTCTGAAGTTTCATTTTTTATTATCATTTATGATATTCCTGTGCTTCGGTGGCATAGCGGTTGGGACGCTCGCCGACCATTGACATGGTCCACGTTTCGATCTCCAGCCGACGCACTCATTTACTTCACTAAGCCAGTAATAAAGCTGGTAAAGAGGGAAGGTTGGACATGAGGCTGGCTAGCAACCCAATCCTGTAAATATAATCACCACTGCTACAGAAACTTCAAGCCTCTAGCTTGAAGTAGCCCTATGTTTCACTGGGGAACAGGGAGGAAAAAAAATGATATTCCTAACTGTGGCGGACTAGACTATGAGTTAAACTGTGGAAGTGTGTGGGCTGCGAGAAGACGGAAACACACCGGACCGGTAGGAAGACTCGGAATGATCTAGACTTCCCGCAGGATTTATAATTAATATCACATAAGGTTTAAAAATTAAAGACAAAAATTAACCAACTGGCAGAAGAATCAGAAAAGACAGGAATTCAAGTGAACACATAGAAGACAGAGAAGATGATGATAACCACCCAACAACAACAATAAAAATAATATCATTTCAGTCACTAATGTGGCAAGGCAGCATCGTTGCAGCTGCAGGCGAAAGAATAGATGTGGATATTTAAGCTAGAATCCGAAAAGCAAGACAGATATGCATCACTCTGAAATCAGCGTGGACAAAATTCCGATTTTCAAAACCGATGCCAAGTCAGTGAGTTCTTCTGCGTGGGTCAGAAACCTGTGTCACGCTTTTCTTGACAAACATTTCGAAGACCAAGATGAAAACTTGTATCATCAACTGCCCTCATTCGATGACTTTATGACCGACCAGAAGTAATCAGCAACAAGAATCTCCGGGAACGAACAAACCGACCAACCAACCACCCAACAACCTATTTATTGCCCAACAAATATATAGGAGAAAATGGAGATGGATTGGGCACACCGTGAAGAGAATGATGAGTGACATCGCGCGTGTAGCCCTCGGGTGCGTGGAACCCGAATGAGAAACGATTAGTTTGGCCTTGGGTGGAGTGTGACATGGAGGAGATCGTGTCAAGAGGAGATGAAAGCTTGTGAGCAATCACAGGGCCATTAGAAGAAGACTTCAGGGAATTGAGAAAAGTGGAGCTGTATTTATGAAACCCTGTGTTTCACTGAGAACCCAATGGAACAATAATATAATAATGTTAATAATTTGAAGACCGAAGAAGCAGCAAAGACAGGACTCCAGGTGAACATAGACAAGACGGAGGTTATGAAAATAACCAACCAACAACAACAACAGCAGCAGCTACATCCAGCGCAAATCACCATCAACGATAGTGATTTGAAAGGGGTTACTTCTTTCACTTATCTAGGGAGCATTGCCTCAACTACAGGAGGAACGGACGAGGATGTCAAATCGAGAATTCGGAAGGCGCAAATACACATTCATCAACCTGAAACCAATCTGAAAATCTTCGTCACTCAGCATCAACAACAAAATTCGGATTTCCAATACAAACGTCAAGTCAGTTCTTCTATACGGATGGATCAGAAACTTGGCGGGTCACAAAGAATGTTTCCGACAGCCTGTTGCAGACCTTTATCAACAACTGTCTTCGTTCTATACTGAAGATTAGATGGCCGGGAAGAATCACCAACAAGAACCTATGGGAACAAACAAAACAAGAACCAATCGCTCAACAAACATGCAGGAGAAAGTGGAGATGGATTGGACACTCTCTGAGGAGGCCGCTGTGTGACATCGCACGTCAGGCCCTAGAGTGGAACCCGAAGGGGAAGCGGTGAGTGGGACGTGCAAGGGTGGCATGGAGGAGATAGTGTGAAGAGGAGTTGAAACAGTATGGATTGACATGGATGCAAGTGAAAAGTACAGCAGAAGACAGAAGCAAGTGGAGACATGCACTTGAAGCCCTATGTTCCACTAGGAATCCAAGAGAACAATAATAAATTGAAGATAAGGTTACATGAAAATTAATGCTAGTTAGAGGATGCTCTTACTGAAAGCAAATAGTTTCGTAAGGATGTCAATAGTTTCTTGTCAATCACCATCAAATATTGCTACTGTTTTTTAAATAATGAAATCCATTGGACATGTTCTGTTCATTTGTGAGCCGATGAATTTCATTGAATACTTCTCATAATAGTGAACTCCCATTTTGATTACTGAAAAACTTTGAGTGGACACTAGTAACTAGTGTGATGTGTTTAGTCCTTTCTTTGGTGCAGACTGAATATTAACAGTCACATTTGCAATGTGGCCACCATTCTAAGTAGCTCGCCATCTCGGTGCGTATTGATTTCATAATATTAGATGGTTGGAGGCAATCAGCAGGAAGCCCTGGACCTAAGTTTCGTGTTAGTTGGCACTAACCAATCAGCAAGGCGTATCTGCAACCTTCAAGGAACTCATGTCTTTTCTGAGATTCAAACTCACGTCATCCAGTGCTGCAGTCAGAGACGTTACCATACTTAGTTACCTAAATTATTAACATTGGCTTCCTTTTTTGTACTTTACTATATTCCTTCTATTGTGTATCCACTGGTTCCGACTCAATTAGCACTATGAATATTACAAAATTGTCCTGTCATTAACCATCATGTAATTATTAGTTTTGTGGTTTTTGTTTCTTATTTTCTATACTTTTCGGCAATATTAAACTGACAATCATTGGTTGTGAACGCCATAGTCACCACCTTAAAAATTTTTGTATTATTCAGGATTACTCACACTACCACTACAAACACTGCATTAGACCTGACAATAATAAACAAAACAACAACCCTGAAATGTTATTTTATGATTGTTTAGTGTTGTTCCAACCAAATTAACTGATCATCTTGGCGATAAACATTCTTAAATATCATTTCATAACTTCTTGTATGACTCCATTATGGGTAAATTTTTATTTTGATAGAGTCTCACAGTGTTATACAGTAATATTTACTGAAGAAAAGAACACAGCAAATGAAATTGATGTCAATGCTTCATCCTCTATCGACAAAACAAAGTGGGTGATCAACCTCTCATCAAGGGAACTAAGCTCCAGTGAGATAAAAGTATTGGAGAAAGGACTAAATTTCAACGTAACAGTTAATAAACTAAAACCAGAGGATGTCATTCCTAACATAGAAGTAGCACTAGGTTCAATAGATAAAACAACAGCAGAAGAGGTTAGAGCACAATGTGCATTAACCCTAAAAAATCAAAAGACGGCAAAATCAAACTTGACAAAATCGGAAAGAGAAGCTTTAATTAATCTAAAACAGGATAAAAAAAAATATTGTCATCGCAAAAGCTGACAAAGGAAACGCCACCGTAGTTCTGAATAAATCTGACTACATCAAGAAGGTCACTGAACATATTGAAATGGGTCCATATGAGGAAATCAAGAAACCCGTAGACACAATAATGAATAAGGTTAAAAAATCCACAGCGGAATTAGTACGCAGAATGAAGCCGTCACTGGGTGAGTCAAAATGGTTTAATTTAATGCCTAAAACTAATAAGGCTAGTAGGATGTATGGTACTATTAAAATACATAAGCCAGGTTATCCCATAAGACCAATAGTAGATTTTAGAAATACCCCTACATATGAATTATCAAAACATTTAGCTTTAATATTATGCCCCATTAGAGATCGTTCAAATTCTAGACTAACTAACTCATATGAGATGAAAAATAAACTAAATGACATACAACTAGATAATGATGAAACAATGGTTAGTTTTGATATAACCAGTCTTTACACTAATATACCAGTCAATATGGCCTTAGAAGCAGTTAGAAAAGAACTAACTGCGGATACTGAACTCAATCATAGGACAAAGCTGTCCATTGAGGAAATTATTTAAGGGATTCAGCTATGCCTCACATCTACTATATTTAAATTCCAAGGCAAAATATATAGACAAACTGAAGGTGTAGCAATGGGATCACCAATATCCCCTATCGTGGCAGATATATTTATGGATAGCTGGGAAAATATGGCACTTAATACATTTAATCCTACTCCAAAAATATGGTGGAGATATGTGGATGACACTTTCACTGTGTTAAAAACAGAACATATCTCTAGCTTCTTGACACACATAAACTCACTAGTGGAGGGAATAAAATTCACATTTGAAACCAAAAATGAGCAAGGAGAATTAGCTATGTTAGATTGTAAAATAAAACGAATAGAAGAAGGCAAACTACACACTAGTGTTTATAGAAAACCAACGCATTCTAATAGATATTTAGACTTTAATTCATCTCATCCTGTAACTGTTAAGGCAGGCTTAGTTAAATGTTTAACAAACCAAGCAATGGCACTAAGTAGCACAAAAAAAGACCTTAATGATGAAATAAAACAGATAGAAGAGGCGTTGGTTTTAAATAACTATCCTCTAAAATTCATTCGGAAGATTGAAAAACGCCAAAAGAAAAAGAAAAAGAATTGTGAAACTAGTAGTAATAAAATAAATAAGAGAGAATATAAGTCATCTACAGTTATACCATATAAAGAAGGGACATCTGAGACCCTACGTAGGATTCTAAATAAAGCAGGAATTAGGGTGGCATTTAAACCTACAAACTCACTCAGGGACAAGCTCTGTAGGTTAAAGGACCCAGTAGACCCAATTAGACAAAATAATATAATTTACAAAATACCCTGCAATGACTGTAAAGTCAACTACATAGGTCAAACTAGTAGGTCAGGGGTAGTCAGATTGTCAGAACATAAGAATTTAGCTAAGATAAGAATGGCTGACCCAGAGAAGATAAGTAATTTAGAAAAAAGCTCGGCAATCGCAATGCATGCATTAACACACAACCACACAATAGGGTGGGAGAGGGTTAAAATTCTAAAAAGTAATCTAGGTAGGTGGAGAGAGAGGTTGATTACTGAATCTTTGTTCATCGAATCTACACCCAACACATGCAACAGAAGTGACTCAATGCAAATACCAGAAATATGGAAGATATTATTGCCGCCAGTCAAATCAGAAGAAGATGATAAATAGTCTTAAAATTCTATTTCCATTCAAGCACATCATAACATTCTAACAATCAACTTATTATGACTGTAAAAAACACTCGTCGTATTTCCCATCTAATTGCAATGGATTAATAACACTCGTACTATTATTTCTGAATGTACATTATCTCATATTGAATTTTAATCCAATATCTAGTCGATTCCACACATGTATATAAATGAAGGAAAGAAGTTGTGTGAGTAACTTGATATGATTATGAGCAATAGTTTGTGCTCGAAACGTCATCAGTAAATATTACTGTATAACACTGTGAGACTCTATCAAAATAAAAATTTACCCATAATGGAATTACACTCTACCACAGTGCCCAAGTTTTATTCTTATATTCTTGTATGACTATAGCTTTACTTTCGCCATGCATAATCATATCATAGCTTCCACTACCCAATACTGAGTTATTATTATATGATGTTTATTTTCCTTTCTACTTCTTGGTACTTCTTCGCATTTATAATTATTTTTGTGTTTATCCTGTTTTTTTGCTGTTGGTGTCTTTAGATTTATTCTTGTTTTTGTTTGTTTAATACTCCTTTTAAATGTTTGTACAATTAGATCCGAATATTGTAGATATGTGCTGAAAATTCCACACTGTACCACTAGTACTGTTTCTGGAATAAAGCAAATTATTATTAATTTTATTATTAAAATACAAACTGTGCAAAAGAAAAGCACTAACAGAGTAACAATTTACCTGTACTTCAGGGGTATTCATTAGCCTGAAATGTGGTGTCTCTAAAGACATTGACGCACACGATAAAGTTGTCACAAATATAGCTATCCAATCCAAATAGGTAACTAGACCAAGAAATTTACTGAAAAATAAAGAGAAGAAAATACAAATAATCATTATACATCTAAATTATATGATTATGGAAGATTATGCAATGTCTTGTAAGTAGATTGCGCAGCGGTAGAGTGTTCACTAAACAGGCAGGTGGTCTGCGGTTCGATCCCCAGCCACGGACGCACCTCTTTACCTCGGTTAAGAAGGCAGGTTGGGTATGAGGCTAGCAACTTTTATCATGTAAAAAGAATCACCACTGCTACAGAAACTTCATGTCTGTAGTTTGAACCCCTTCGCTGTTCCACTGGGAACGTAAAGGAATGAAAAAATATATTGTCTTTATCAATGCTTTTCTTACAAATATGAGGGGATAAATAACCAATAGAATGAAACTCCATGTCTTGTGAGTTTGGCCGCCATTTCATTGTCAAAGACGAATCGTCACACTTGATAGGTGATGCTGTGTCATACTCCCTGATTACTCAGACGGCGATGCGAGTAGTACGGAGTGGATCTATTATGCAACAGATGACATGGGTTAACCACATATATATAATTATTAATGTTCGCTTGGGTTCTGAATGGAAAATGGGACCTCCGCAGAACATCTACATTTTATCCTATTCGCTGTGGTCATCTTCAGCGGGACATAGGATTGCCCAGAGGCTGCCATTTCATTCTCGCACGATCTCCTCCATGTCACACTTGGACCAAAGCCAGACTGGTTGTTTCTCATTCGGGTTCCACTCGACTGAGGGCTAGACGCGCGATGTTACTCACCATTCTACTCATGGTGCTCCATCTATCTGCGTTTTCTTCCGAATATTTGTTGCTGATTATTTCTGGTTGGCCATCTGATAGTCAGTGTGGAGTCATCGAATGGTTTAGTTATTGATAGGATTCTTCATCTTGGTCTTGGGAATGTTTTCCATGACATGCATGACACAGAGTCCTGACTCATATTGAAGAACTGACTGACTTGGCATTGGTATTGAAAATCGGAATTCTGTCGTTCATACTCCATAGGAGTGCTTGTGATTTCCAGGCAGATTTTAGACTGACGAATGTCTGTCTTGCTTTTCCGATTCCGTTTAGAAAATCCTCATCTGTCCTTTCACATGTAACTGAAACGATTCTGTAGTGCTGTATGTGGGCGTCCTACAACCGTCTTTAGCTGCATTTCCATAAATATAAGATTAAAATATTTCACAACAGCCAATAATCAAGCCCTTTCCGATTGTGCCAAGGGATCTTCAACTTGCCACGCAATTAAATTTATTGATAGCAGCTTATAGTACTAATTTGGATTAAAGTAGTATATATGTATGGCTAAGAAGAATTATGTTAAAATGGGATAAATGAGTAGAATTTCAAGCTACTAGTATTTTAACTCGATTAAATAAGAATCCGTGAAGTAGTACATTAATGGTAAATGATCACATGTTCTGAAATATTACAAGTACTCACTCCTAAAAATCTTTTAAGGCAGTGCAAATAATGAAACGCTTTAAGTGCATTACGATTTGTGACTGACGATCATGACAAATATGTACTCGAATTTTAAACCAGAAGTGGTCATTGCAGGCGGTGTTCACCAACTGAACTAACTGTGAGGCGTGTAATACGCGCGTATTATGTGTCAGCTTGAATTTAACACCCTTTGTTTACTTTTGTATCCAACTGGTGAAGCCATCGTAACCAACTAGTGCACGTTGCCCCACTCGACTTGGGTTCACTCATAAACTGAGAAGCTTAACTTTGTTTCTCCAAATCTTCACTGCCTCTCTTATATCTCCAATTAACTATATTTTTTGCTGCAACCCTTTTTTGGCTTGCTCCACGACTGCCCATAAATTTTCGTTTCCTCTTAACAAGATCTCCTCTCCATATCGTCCTTGGACGCCCAGCTGGTTCTTTCCCATCTGCATTCTAGTGGGCTGTCACTCACTCCATCTCCATCCTGTTCGCCATGTTTGTAGGGCAACAAATTCTGGATGGTTTGTTGTCTTTATCTTCAGTATAGAGGAAATTTAAATGCTGAAGACCTATAAATAGCTGCTTTTGCTCCATATTGAAGACCTGATGGCCAGTTAGAAAGAATCAGAAAGCAGAAGGTGGAGCTATGTGTTCAAAAGAAACTAGTCCAGCCTTTACAACTGAGTACAGTAGATTTACACATCAATTTGAGATTAATGAAGGTCCAAATAATTCTTTTGGTAATGACTTTGGCATCCTCGTATTATGAGAGATGTCTGCTAACCAAAATTGGTAGACAGCAATTTACGTCAATGTTTACGTCCCAAATGAGAATGAAGCAACAACACAAAAACAAAGACTAACTGAACAACCAATCACAGCAGACTTTGCGTGGGCGGATACGATTAGCAGACATATCAATGGACTGTTTAGGAAACGGCAACAAAGAGATGACAGAATAACCTTCAGCAGGAAAACAACCAATGAGAAGACGTTATCACACTCTGCTAACAATAATGAATAATAATGTACATAAAAATCTATAAATGTCTGTTGATTTTCTCAATAAACGATCTGTTATTTGACCTTTGTCTTCTGTCGTTACACTCGTCGTGGAAGAGGTAACTTGATGATGAGTGGCATCTGTTGTCATTGTTGTGGACGGTAGAGTATCCTCATTTCCTCTGTCTTCTTCACGTTCGTTTGACGTCCCATCTTTGCTACTTTTTCTGTAAAGTAGCTTGTAAATTCTCCAGTTTATGCGACATTAGACACAGACCTTCCAGAGTGATTTTGTCAGTGTCCACTAGCCCAAAATTTTAAGAGGAATTCAAAAACAGCTGTTATGCTCCGCTTTCTCAGTCACAAAAAGAAACAAGCATTCACTAAACAAAAACTGATTAGAAGAAACATCAATAAAAAATTAAGTAAGACTTACTGTATAAAACTTCCATTATCCGTTGAATCGATTGCATCATGAGCTTTGTGTCTAGCTTCAACAAGAATTAAACACAACTGACGAAAACGATTCTCCCGACCAAGAACAAATAACGGTCGATCAAAGAATGGATGATTCTCTCTCAGCTCAACTTCTTGTTGTGTTCTAAAGTAATGAAAATATTATTTTTTTTCTTTTATAGTATGAACATCAAATACAACAGTGACTGGTTAAAGTATTGTGAGATTCATAATTTCAGAACAATCATAGTAATCGTAATTCCCAGGTTTAAATATGCAACATCACCGTCCAATGTGTTATATAATTGGCATATTTTTATACGTTTCCAGTTTGATCACTGCTTAATTTCATTTAGAGGACCATTGAAAGCTGGTATGGAGTCCTGGATAGCTATTTCGCCCTGGCTAGGAGCTCTTCAGTAGTAGGCACACATCAACGGCGTTTGGATGCACGATGGACATTAGTCTGTGACCTAACCTGAGTTGTAATCTGAAATGATGACAGCCAGTGGTATCCGTTAGAGACGCTCACTGTCCCCATTTCTGTTTACTTTCATCATTGAGGTACTGATGACATTAACCCTAACTGACATCAGCAAATCAGGGGTTGGTATGATACCAGGGAATAATCTCGTTGACTTAGAATATGCCGAAGATATAATCCTTCATGACTGGTAAAGATGGTGGCTGTATAAAGAGTCTGATAATTGAACACCTTATCAACCCTGGTCATTCCATCTCAAAAAGCTGTCGCTTCAAAGAAATCTACAATGTGAGGAAAAACTTTTCACCTTTGTATTGTTGAAGGCGTTCAGATAGAGACACCGGAGTTCTGCATACAAATAAAAATAGTTCAATTACTTCTATTGTCATGGCAACAACCTTATTCTCTTGTACACACTTTAATTTTTGTACTATAAGCCTTTTATAACTCTTGTTTTTATTTTGAATTCCGACATAATACCACATTTTCTTTCGTTTGCATGTGTGCATCCTGAATATAACTCATTATGAAACTATGTTGTGTTCTTCTTTCCTTCACGTTCCCCAATGGAACATAGGGCTTCAAGCTAGAGTCTTGAAGTTTCTGTAGCAGTGTTTATTGTTTTTACAGGATGGGGTTGCTAGCCTCATGCGCAACCTTTCCTCTTCACCAGCATTATTTCTGGCTTAGTGAGGTAAAGGGGTGCGTAAGCCGGGGATCGAACCGGGGACCATGTGCATGGTCGGCGAGCGTCCTAACTACTATGCCACCGACGCACATTATGAAACTATATCACCTTTATTCAAATGTACTTATGTATTTGATTGGATGAAGGATTTCATCATGAGCTGACATTAATTAGATAACCACGGGAAAACCTTGGAGTACTGAGCACTGTTTCGTCCTATCTTGGGACTCTTTATCAGCACGCACCCACATGGGTTCGATCCCACGACCTTCTGGTTACAAGGCGACCTCGTAGACCATTGACCCACTGGGACCCGATCCAATGGCTAGCCCATAAATTCTAACTTCTCCCAATTCACGACATTGCGCGACCATTTCGCAATGTCTTGTTCGATGAGTTTTACTGCCTCATCTTCAATCTGCTGTACCCTAATGATCACGGGTATACTAATAACTGTAATTATCGCATACAACTCATCACTTTTGTCACTGCAGAGCTAGGAAAGAAAATGAGTTCACCGAATAAAGTCTCTTCACTGAACTACTTGTTTCTTTGTTTTCATTATTAGCTCCTGAATGGGGATTATTCATCAGAACACTTTTACCCCTATGTTTTCAATTCATGGATAATTCCCATTGTAACATTTTAGAAAATCAAAACAAATGATTCAGCGAAGAGACTCTTTTCAACAACGAATTTATTAGCAGGCTGTACAATCGTATATATATGGTTTTTAAGAAGTTATATCCGGTGAGGGAAGTGAAACATAGGTGTGAATGCATAAAAAATAATAATATTGATAATATGAAATGCAATTAAAATTAAAATGTTTGTGATTATAATCGCAGTTAAATGTCTAGTGGCAAAGCAAATTAATGTCATATATAGAATAATTCATAGGATGGATAGAAATTGAAAAAGGGTGTGCAATTATAGGACTAGTAGACAAATCGAATAAAATAAAAACGTTACGTAATATTGTGTGAAATTTAATAACATAGAATTTAATGTTGCATAAAGGAAATTGATTTAGAATGACAAGTGGAACAAGTGAAATAATACTGGGGACAATTAAAAGTGAGAGTAGTAATAGTAACAATTGACGTAATAAGGAAGAGTATACAAATTGAATAGACAAAAATGAAAAAAATGAAAAATTGGTAGAGCTAAAATATGATTGGGGAATACCATACTTTAGGCAGTTGACAATTAACTACGATTATAATCACAAACACCTTAGTTTTAATTGCATTTCATACTATTATTATTATTATTTTATTCATTCACGCCTTTAATGTAATTCCCTCACCGGATATAACTTCTTAAAAACTATGTATAAACGATTGTATAGCTTGATGATAAGTTCGTTGAAAAGAGTCTCTTCGCTGAATCACCTCTTGTTTTGATTTCCTAATGTTTTCTACTTCACTCTCCAAGTCGAATGATTCACTCAGTAGGCTTTCTTTGCTTTCATAACCTGTAACAGCCTGTGTTAGGATATGAGTGTACCTTTATCCTAACTACAAATCTGTTTCATTGTGTCAAAGTATCCTTGTGTGTCTGTGCGCGCATGTGCGCATGAGAGATCAAAGTTTTTTTTCAGGATGACTTATGCGAATAACTTATGCACATTTTTGTTGTTGTTGTTGACAGAATTATCATTAAAACATCTAAAGTTGAATTAATGAATATCACATAAGTACACTACTAATCTGTCCGATTTATCAACTTTCACATCGGTATAAACATCCATGAGAAAGAGAGGAAATAATTTGGGAAGAAACATTACCAATAAAGTTAGATTTAAAGAAAAACTGCCCATCCTGAAAAGCAGTAATTCAATGGCTGGTGACTAGTGATAGAATCCATGATACGAATTTCGTCCTGTTTGGGACTCATCAACCAGTTGGATGTATCTGCATTCTCCAGTTAGTGAGCGTGTGGTGGTGTGTTCCCGTTTAGGCTCGAACCCAGCAACCCATCGATTTAAATGCCGAAGCGTTAATCAGAAGTCCATTTGGGTCACGAATCACCATCCATCGAATTACTTTGTGGTGAGAGCTGTCTACTAGCCAAATTGGTAGACAGTAATTTGACGTCAATATTTACGTTCCCAAGATTTATCGTGAGAAAATGTGAACAAAGATTGATTCAAAATTGACCACAGCAGACTTTGCGTAGGCGGATGCAGTTAACATATATAGATGATTTGACATTCAAGAAACAGTCACAAATAGATGAAAGATTAACTTTACGTGAGAAACAACCAATCGGAAGACTGTGTTTGTTTGTTTAAATATCCATAGTAATGTACATGAAAATATATAAATATGCTTTGATTTCCTTAATAAATGATCTGTTGCCTGGCCCTTGTCTTCTGTCGTTACAACTTCATGTTCATCCTTAGATAGTGTCGAAGCATCCATACACGGAGCTGACACAGCCTGTCAATAGAGGCCGAACACGTCGGTCTAATCAACCCACGTAGGACTTGAAAGTGAATTAAAATTAAACAAATAACACCATGTTTTGAAATGACTGGATAAGAATCTTTGTGGTGCTACGTTGTCATGGGTCAGTAAAACGTTTGAGATGTAAGCAAAGACAGACTAAAGGGGCTTGCATAACGGTCATATCGACTCCGCACTTTTGATGTCATTATTACTGACATATGGAATATTTTGTGGCTGCGCGTGTCTCAATGAAGGTTCGGCCAGCTATACGATGGAACGCAAAGACCGTTTAACTGTGTTCAGACAAAAACGAGTCATTTTTCGTTTCTTCAGACACCACCTGATGAAAATCAAAATAACTTACCGTTTAATCTCTGCCAGTTGTGCTTTCTGCTGCAATAGTTTAATATCAACATGACTTGTCCTATCTCCAGTTGTTGTCTGTGAATCCCCAGTTTGATTGCCAGTTCTTCCTGATGGATTACCTCTTACTTCACCGTTACTTCTAAATGATTTCTGTGAAGCCAAAGTATTTCCAACTCTATTTCGTATACTTCTGTAGCATAAAAAACAAAAAATGTCAATTTTTTAAAATAGCCCCCAAAAGATTTCAAAAATAATTATTTTAACTGACCAGGTGGTATCTCGATTTGTTCGCACAGGGGTCAGCAAGTTCTTTTTACAGTGTAATGTAACCTTTGCTTTTATAATTTGTTAACTCTTGTATCTTATCTATTGCGATTTACTGCTCCCCGTTAGTCTTTCCTGGTCTGCTGAAAAAGGACTATGTTATTTTGAGAAAGGTATTAGAGGTTGTCAGCAGGGCAGGTGGTGTACAGTTTAGTCAGCTTTGTACTACACTAGTTGATGGACATCTGAACTCATGCGAGAAATGGTCTAAATGCACATCGTCCGGCCCTCAACACCCCTTCTATTCTTAATTCTCCCCTTGTATCTCGTCTGGAAGAACCAGAAGTCAGTCGAAAAGATTATGTGCTCGTACTAACAAGAATAGGAACTCAACGATAACGAATATCCTCTCAGTGACACATGAGCATCGGAGCCAACCAAACCTTGACTCATGGGACAAAATGCCGGCCGACGCGCCACTACCCACAGCATGAGACACTGCTTGAGTATGGCCTCGGCTAACAACATGCACCACATTGCGCCTCGCGGTTTGGATTACCATCTCTCACAGCCACTCGCTAGCCAGTTGTTATTAGCCCTAGTCCTCTCATCAAGAATCCTGCAGATCTATTGGCCCCGCCGATGCCTCGCACACCACATAAAGCCGAAGAGCGACACAGCTGCTTCATCAAGACTGAGTAACTAGACGCGGGTGTTGTCTTATGCAAGTGACAGGTCTTAGCTGAGGCACGGTTTCCGGCCGGTAAGCCCACCCAGCGGTCGCCACGTGGAGGCGACTGCCACATTTAACCATAACCCTCGCCTAGCCATTCCCCATGCTCGGTTGAGTTTCTTCACGTTGACACTCAGAGCACTGGACTGAACTTCGTAGCCAAATGTAGACTTAACAAGAGGAGCCAATATTGGAAAACACACGGTGGTCTTAGGATTTCAGTCCTCACATCGCATGTAGGGCCCCTCCCGATGAGCCTAACATTGATTAGATGACGAGGCACTTGGATACCTTAAGAGAGTCATAGTTACCCCCGCCCAAAGGCAACAGAGGCCGTGTTAAGCGAGACACTTATGAATTACTACATTGTTAACAAAATAATTGGCTCTTTTATTATCTCCTATTTGTAATCTATGTTGACACTATCTTAACTGCTGACGTCATTATTAGCATTTACAAATTTTTTGTGCACATATGACTTCACTGTCACTACAAATGCCAAATAAGAACTGCGCTTAACAATCCTGTAATATTATTTTTATAACTGTTATTCAATAAAATTCGATACAATATTGCACCAAATGTTAAAAATTCCACACTGTAACATTAGTACTGTCTTGGAATAAGGCAAATTACTATTATTATTATCAGTACATAAATGGACCTTTGCAGACACTTTTAATGACTGGGTTGTACAAATGCGTTTGTTTTAATTCTAATTTGGAGTCAAAAGTCTAATGCAGATAGGTTTTTTTAGCTGAGATGGATGCTTTTTGGTGTAATTATGTTCTCTGAGCTTGATGGTGTACTCATGAAGCCTTCACTGCCTTTCTAGACAAGGGCTTCACCGTTCATAAGCGCACATGGTTCAATTGTACAATTCTGAGTGAGGCTAGCAAACCAACCCGTAGAAAAACTAGCATTGTATTCAACTCGGAATGTAGTGGGACATTTTTTAATTTGGTGACATTTCGAGTGGAATCACCAAGAGTGATTATAGCAATTTTGTGATTGAGAAAATTCTACGACAAATACAATCATATTAATGACAAAAAGATTTTAAAATCCAACGGATGAAACTAGTGTTTGATTGGATGGAGGATTTCATCATGAGCTGACATCAGTTAGAGAACCACTGGAAAACCAGTCACAGGAAGCACTGGAAAGCTGTTTCGTCCTAGTCTCTTAGGACCATTCAGCAGTACGCACCCATCAGGGTTTGATCCCAGAAACTCCTAGTCACAAGGCGAGCTAGCTCGTAGAGCATTCACCCACTGAGACCCGATTCAATGGCCAGCCCATGAATTCTAACTCCTGCCAATTCATGACATAGCGTGACCATAGCGCGTTACTGCCTCATCTTCAACCTGCCCTATTCAGGCAGTGACCTGGGACTCTGGTGGGAAGCCGTGACCAGTAAGGTACAGCAGGTTGAATATGAGGCAATAACTCATCAAAGAAGACATTGCGAAATGGTCACGCTATGTCATGAATTGGCAGAAGTTAGAATTCATGGGCTAGCCATTGGATCGGGTCTCAGTGGGTCGATGGTCTACGAGCTAGCTCGCCTTGTAACCAGAAGGTCCTGGGTTTGAATCGTGGAAGTGGGGGCATACTGCTGAATGGTCCTAAGAGGCTAGGATGAAACAGCTGTCCAGTGCTCTCAGGTTTTCCAGTGGTTCTCTAATTGATGTCAGCTCATGATGAAATCCTCCATCCAATCAAACAAAATCCCGACAAAACCAATACTTGATATTATTGTTGTCAAGTGGGATGTTGTAAACGTGTAGCGTTCACGTCATCTTAAATTCAGCGCTGAAGACGTCTCCTTGAAAAGCAATGAGAGCTTCACAGTTAAGGCTTTTCACTGCTGTAACATTACAGAACTTGGCGGCTGATGACTTTCTGTAATTTTAGAATATTATTGTAAGAGGTTAAGAAGCGCCAAATTATATACTTTTGGTATTTGTCAACAAGACTTCTTTACAAAATGCGAGAAACGCATCAGTCCCACTTTACTCGGGCTAGAGTCACAGGATTCACTCCCTAAGCTGCTTGTGTTCCTGAAAGCAGAAACAGAAACCTTCCATACTCTATTTCCTCGACGATCAAGAAAATATGCACTGAGGAATCAACTGACGATGAGTCGGGAAATCTCCTGGGAGCCTTGATAGAAAATGGTTTTGAATCTAGATTCATAGACAAGAATCTAAAACAACAGAAGAGGTCTGAACAGATCCAAGTCGTCTCCAGATTAATTCTAATGCTTAATCTCAAATTAAAAAGTGATACTGTAGGAGAAGTTCTCTGGAAACGGCTTTCCAAAATCTCTCAGTAAAACATACGTTACCGCCAGTCTACAAGGGATGTTTTCATGAAATACTATCTGTCGCATTGGACAACTTCAACATGCATTGCATATGCCATTTCACTTGCTTGTGTGGAGCTAAGTACTTCTACCGTAGCATGCGTTTGCTCGTTAAACGCCCACAGGAACACTATCCAGTCTGGTTGGCTAGCAAAGGGAGGACGCAAGTGTGTATTTAGCTCAGTGAACTCAGGATATTCAGCTCCTTTCGATGAAAAGTCCTTCAGAATCATATATAAGATGCAATCAAATCTCTGAAGGGTAGTGAAATCAAGGCATCTGGCTGGGCATAGCTGAGGTACTAGCAATCCAAAAGTTCAAACCCACGCTGTGTATGTATTCAAAAGAAATATGTCCAGTAGCTGTCTCTACCATGGCCATCACAAAAAGTCAATTCTCTGAATAGTGACTATCCTAATACCTTCCTTAAAACGATATTCTCGTTTATTTCTTTTACATTTACGTTTTGTAATCCCTATTCGCACTAATATATCCCTAAGTGCACAAAAAGTCGACTTTCTCAGTAATAATGATACTACTATGTTTTTTATCCGATCTACCTGATTATTACACTTTGCAGTCCTAATAATCTGATCCTTGACCGGAATTAATACTTGGACTTTCTCACCCACTTACTATAAATACACTAATGTACAGCTATTTGGTTGATGACTTCATCGAAAATAAAATTTTCCTCACTCTAACCACCATTTTTTAAATGACCCTCCAAAGAATGCAATCATGATGGCTAGATTTTAGTTAGTAATAAAGTTTAATTGGTGGATGGTGACTAGCAGTGGAATCCAGAATAACCCACATTTCGACTGCCCTATTTGAGACTCGTCAACCGCTGGATGTACATGTATTCCCCAGTGAGTGATGATGTTCCCACCAGCGAGGCTCGAACCCAGAGCTCATAGTTTCAAACGCCAAAGCGTTATGCACTTGGACCACGACAGCCACCTCTTGTGCAGTGGGTCATATTAATTTTAACTGAATTTTAGGTACATCCAGATGATGAGTCCTAAGTAGGACGAAATGCGCATTATCCTGGATTCCACTGCTAGTCACCATCCACCAATTAACTTCTAATTACATGCCCAGACATCGTAGAAGCATCTGTACAAGAAGCAGACATGTCAACCTGAGACCGAGCACTTCAGTCCAATCAATCGACGGGAAAATCTAAAAATTCAATTTAAAAGTAATAAAGTTTATTTATGACATAAAATGTCTAATCAAGAGATTCAGATGTAACGGAGTATTACTGTTTTTGTTGGTTGTCGTCTCATTTGACTACAATACGCCTCCAAATACAACACTATAGTCAGCTGATTAATTGAAAATACTCCTCCCACACTGAGGTAGACAGAAAAGTCATATTTAGCTCCTACAATCACGACAATAACTTTGTTATCCGAAATACATTTGGTGAATATATCGTTTGCACTTCCACAGAAGTTTGGGACCATAAACAGAAAATTAATATCTTACTGATTGCATGATCCTGAAGATCCTACAAAATAAATCAGGTTAATATGTCGCTGGATGCATCAATCATAACCTCACAACTAACAAAGATATTAAGTCCGTCCCAACACCTCACATTTTAATTAATTCAGTCTACCTGAATATACTTCTCATGTCTGCGTAACCTCTACGATCTTCGTGGCTGTTTCTCTGCATAGGATGTCCATGCCGGTATCATCAAACCTCGTTTCTTTGTGTGGTTTGTATTGTCTAGGCCACAGCAATCCTATGACCTTCACTCTGTGTGCCACGGAATCCCATTTTTTCTCTTCAATTACTCCCATTGCCTATTTAAGTGTAGCAGTTCGAAGATCACTAACCCAAACAGATACATCTACGGAAAAGTGTCTTAGTTCTACCGCATGACGTTTACTGTGTTGTTCTTCCACCTTCTTAACTCTCGCAATTTCCCTTTAATGTCTTGGACGTAAATCATCCAGCAAAATACAATTCGCCAAGTGACATTTCGTAGCTACCCCATGGATTCGGTATTGGTTGATAATCCGAAAGGAACGTCTGAAGTACTTGTTCTAACATCCCTTCCTCCCTCCCTTTCAAGGTGGTTCTTTTCAGTGTGGCGATGAAACGTTCTGTTTGACCCTTCCTCTATGGATGATATTTTAGACATCAGACATACTGAATGCTATTTTTCCGACACTATTGCTTCCTAATGCCGATTACAACTATACCAGGTAATCCGAAAATGCCAGAATACGCAATAATTATATTATTAGGTTTAACGCCTTATTAAACGGTTGAATGTACACCGATGAGGAGCCCTGACAGTCGATAACAAAACACATATGCAAGGCTTCTTAGTTTCCTTTTGCTATTTCCTAACTGATGTGAACTGATGAAAAATCTGGTGAAAACTGACAGGAGATGTCTCAGAGAGTAAATATCACGCCAGTTTTATTAAAAACAGTGGAAACCTCCACAGCATCTTACCTTCTTTCTAGCCGAATTTGATGTTGTGTTGACAGAAGGGATCTAGTCCCAGCAGTTGAAGTCTTCTCACTTGTCAATAAACGTGTTTTATTCGATTCACTTAATTGTAAAACAGAAAACAGAAAAAGAAAGTGTAATTTAAGATTGATTTAGAGAATAAAATTATTTTTTTTTGAATATTGCATATTAGTTTATTTATTAGATGTATCACACAGTGATGAAACAGTATTATTTACTGGATGACAAGGTTTCGAACACAATTTATTGTTCATAATCATATCTATCAATTATAATCACACGACTTTGAAATTTGAGTTTTATGGTTTTCTTTGTTCTCTCCTGTTTGTCGTCATTGGGGTAGTAGAATTTCCCAGATATCCAGATAGTAATTGCATACAAGAAAGGAACCTCGGAAACCACCTTACGGAGAATTCGTAACAAGGCTGGAATAAAAGTGGCTGGTATTCAAACCAACAAACTCAATTAGAAACAAGCTTTGTCGGTTAAAGGATCAATCCTGTGGGGTCAATTAAACAAAACAATTTAGTTTATCTAAACCCCGCCTGCAATGATTGTCAGGTCAAATACACAGGTCAAAGTAGTAGAACAGGGTTAGTCAGACTAGCCGAGCATAACAACCTAGCAAAATCCAGATTAGTTAACCTGAATAAGATAAGAAATCTACAGAATAGTTCAGCTGCAGCACTCGCTACATGCAATTACACACAACAGAGCCATGAAATGGGATGGGATAAGATGACAGTTTTAAAATCTAATGTGACAGGGTGAATGGAAGGAGAGATTAATTACAGAACCTGTTTTTGTCGAAGCAACTGCAAATACGTGTAATAGGAATGATTCAAACCTGTCCAGTCGGATATCTGGAAAATTCTACTACTCCAACGACGACAAATAGGCGAGATCAAAGAAAACTATAAAACTCAAGTTTCGAAGTCGTGTGATTTCAATTTATATGATTATGAACAATAAATTTTGTTCGAAACCTTGTCATCCAGTAAATAATACTGTTTCACTGTGTGATACATCTAATAAACTAACGAATATGTAATTAATTACTACCACACTGCCCAAGTTTTACACATATACTTTTAAATGGTTGGAGGATTTCACCATGAACTGACATCAGTTAGAAAACCATTGAAGACCAACAGCTGTTTCATCCTCGTTTGCGACTCTGCATTAGTAGGCACCCACCGACGTGGTTCGAACCCAGGACCTTCCGGTTACAAGGCGCGCTAGCTCGTATACCATTCAGTCACTGGGACTCGATTCAGTGACCACCCATGAAATCAAACTTTTGCCAATTCACAACATTTAATATTCCTAATTATTTTTCATTTGTTTATACACATAAATAACCAGAATAAACTGTCCCTTTAGAAAATGTTATTCATTTGAAAGGGTCAAAGATCAAGTCAAGAAAACAATCAACACACAAAATCAACCAAAGAGTCAGGTTCAAGGTCACCACCAGGAGAGATGGCTAATAAACTTGTGGAGAGGTGTAAAAGCTCACTTCAATTCAAAGTGAAGTATGCGCCGAGGATGTTGCTCAGTAGGGGGCAATGAAAGCTTTGCAAATGAACCACCATCCAGGCCAGAGAACATAACCACATGAAAATCACCCACCTTAGCTACAAATCTTCTCCATTATACCTAGAATTCTGTCTACAGACAACAAAGGTGGCACAGTGGTTAGGACTCTTGCCGACCATGCACATGGTCCGGGGTTCGATCCCCTGCCGGCGCACACCCGATATCTATGGTCAGCCTGAATTTGGGCTACCGATATCCATGCTGAAAATTCCACACTTGTACTGAAAATATGGTGTGGAATCAAGCTGTAAATCAAAATCAAAATCAAAATATAAAAATATAAATATGTGACACTAGTTATGAACTTATGTTCAACCAGAGTTAGTCCAATATATTTAAGATCATCATTTAAAAACTTTATTCAGTTATATGATGTCAAAAATTCAGCACAGTAGATTTTATATTGATATAGTTTCTGACTGTCAACCTCTTCCCTTCGAAAGTGACATCTTTAAAGTGACATCAGTATCCTAGCATCAGTCATATGTCCTGTCAAGAGGAAAATCAATCTTTCAAGACTAATATAAAAAGAATTTGTTCAACAATTTCAATAAATTACTTACTTAAGAAGATAAATAATTGCACGAAATTTTTCTTCACCATGTAATCCATGAACTTTTCTTTTTATCGCTCTTAATGTCTCCACATTTGTTTGATTGTTCAACATTTCTTTAGCTAGTTTATTATTACTACTACTAATTGTAGTAGTAGTATACAGTGGGTTAAGTTTCAATTGGTTTTGTTCTGCATTGTGTTGAGCCGACTTGGTCATTGTAGCCAGCATTTCTTCAATGGCTTCATCTTCAACTTCTTCAAGCGCAGAAATTGCCGCGAATTGTCGCATAAAACTGTCACGAATTTTTGGCATTAAAAAGTCGGAGACAAGTCGTGTCAGTTGGATCATTTGTGGACGATTTCTACAAGAAGAAATTGATAAAAAATAACACGGAAGTGATGTTTAAAGATGAGAACTTTACTAGGGAGAGGGAGATAGAGGTGGAGGAGGTCTCTTCAGCTGGAATAATTAAAGAAATTTAAACAGTTAAATTGAGACAAGTATTACTTTTTGCTTTCCCCAGTTGCATTAAACTCTTATCACCTCTGGAAACATTTATTTCCCAACATGAATGTAAAACAAGCAATCAAGGTTAATAAAGCAGGGTTTAATGAATTCATCAAATTGCGGTAGAACTCTTCACCCACTGAATACTCGTACGTACAAGGATATACATATATACATATATATATATATATCGAGCACATTTACCGGCTTGGTTCAGCGGGGGGGGGGGGGAAGTTAAGTGCATAAAATCTCGATCCTGTCACACTTGGCTGATACTGGACATAACATCGACGTCAACACAGCCTTCAGGGTTATATGCCAAATTCTGAAGTCGTTATCACGTACAGTCCGCTTACATCTCCTATACATAGCTGAAGCTGTTGCAATAAGATCGACTAAACAGGAACTTTGTGTCCAAAGAGAACACGTCCAGACACTGTTCCTACCGTGGCCAAACTTGGACTAATGACTCCTCTTCTCACCAAGAGAGCTTCTTCCGCTTAACCCTCTTGGTTTTTTTCCTTCTTTGCTTATTATTATTACAATTATTATCTTTATTATTCGTTATAATTTTGTACGCTTCATGCAAACATTCTATAAATACTATCGAATTTTCCATTTATACTATCCGGACTGATTATTAGTGATATTATCTCCTTTCCCATTATAAATGCCTTCGCCTGTTTCATTTCACACATTGGTTACTTCATGATAAACCTCTTATTGCAGTCTTACTATCTCCTCTTTAGTACAGACTACTTTGTACTAGCCACTCCCTCATCTGACGCCTTTTATAACCTTGAACTGACTTGTCAATTTTCCTACCCCACACTCTACAAATCTATTATGATTAATCATCATTGTCTCCCGTTTTACAATATTTTGTAATCGATTTCAGCCTAGCAAGACGTTTGTCACACCAATACTACTATTTATTTTGACACCCTATAACTAATCTTTTATTCTACGTTAAAAAAGCATTCGCTGCACAACAGGCTATCATTACTGTAACGACAACAAATATCATATTTTATAATTGTAAGAACCTGAAGAGGGGAAATTATTGAAATTATTGAATATTCTTTGTTCAGATTGACTTTTAATTCAAGATGTGGAAATATTTCACACTCTTAAGTCATATATTCTATTCGAAATGCATTGGGAGATATAAGACTGATAAGCAAATAAACTACACTGAATTAATCATGCAAGACGAAAAGCCCAGACGTTTTCTGGTCATGTTCTAATAGATAAGTGGGGAGGGAAGTATGAGGGATTATAAAGCACTACGATTCAGTTACATCACTTCAATAAACAAGTAGCCATTAGAGAAAGAACTTATCAGTATCAATATCAATAATTGCGAAATGAGTATTATTAATAGTGATAGTTATAATAATATTATTAATAATAATAATGTTGAAGCGAGTTAAGATAATGCTACTGATAAAGGATATTTTTAAATGAATCAGGAATCATAATAATAAGTAGAATAAAGTATTAATAACAGTAATAACAGTTAATAAGTAAAACGTATTACCGTGGTAGTAACAGAGTGACGACCATCTCCTTGTATACACAGATACCTGGTTTATAAACTCGGATTGTACAAGCCTCTGCAATTGTAAGCATCTTCCTGTTTCATTGTCTGCTGACAACAGTGAATGACTCCACAGCGTTGATACCATGTCCATAGTCCACAATATGTTTTGTTATTGAGCTTTTCGGCACTTTGAATTCATCTGTTTTCAACCCTGTTTTGGCGAATCCTCCATCATGTGAGTAGACAATCGTCTTTCTGTACGACTTATGTATTTACTTCCTCCCATAAGCACACTCCGATTGCATATACGCGGTTTGAAGTGTCGAGTCAAGTCATTCACAGTTGTCAGCAGACAGGGAAACAGGAAGTCACTTTTAACTGACGAGGCTTGTACAATGCGAGTTTATAAACCAGGTCTTCGTGTACAAAAGGAAATGGTGGTCACTCTGAAACTATCATGGTATTATGTTTTACTTATTCTTCCTTCACGTTCCCAGTGGAACATAGGGCTTCAAGCTAGTGGCTTGGAGTTTCTGTAGCAGTGTTTATTTTACAGGATGGGGTTGCTAGCCTCATGCCCAACCTTTCCTCTTCACCAGCATTATTTCTGGCTCAGCGAGGTAAAGGAGTGCGTCCGTGGCCGGGGATCGAACCCCGGACCATGTGCATGGTCGGCGAGCGTCCTAGCCGCCATGCCACCGACGCACAATGTTTTACTTATTACCCGTTATTATTATTAATATCATTAATACTGATGAAAGATACTTTTAAACGAAGCAATATTAATAAGATTAATAAGATTATAGGTTTCCAGGCCGTGCGTGTTACGAACTTCCTGGAATAATTTGAGCGCCGAGTCAAATTGATTCATTATAAATTATTTAAATTAATCCCAGCGTGTTAAGAAAATCAAAACAAGATCTGTTTTCTGAACGTTTCGCTGTGTAAGCCACAGGTTCTTTAGCAGATTTATTCGGATTTTTATTAGTCATCAAAATATATAGTCAAAATATTTTTACATAAATTGAAGTCAGTTTATTTGAAGGTCATTTGTCCATGACATTATTCATTACAAATATATCTGATGACTGCTTGCATATTTCTATTGGTACAAATGTCCATGGACAAATGAAATTCAAATAAACTGACTTCAATTTATGTAAAAATATTTTTGACTATATATTTTGATGATTAAAAAAATCCGAATAAATCTGCTGAAGAAGCTGTGGCTTACACAGCGAAACGTTCAGAAAACAGATCTTGTTTTGATTTTCTTAACACTCTGGGATTAATTTAAATAATTTATAATGAATCAGTCTGACTCGGTGCTCAAATTATTCCAGGAAGTTCGCAACACTTACGGCCTGGAAACCTATAATCTTATTAATACCTTATTCTACCTCTTATTATTATTGTTATTCTTGCTTCGTTTAAAAGTATTGGTTTGGTAGGGATTTTGTTTAATTGTATGGAGGATTTCATCATGAGCTGACATCAGTAAGAGAACCACTGGAAAACCTGGGAGTACTGGACAGCTGTTTCGTCCTAGTTTGGAACTCTTCAGCAGTACGCGCCCACCGGGATTCGAACACAGGACCTTCTGGTTACAAGGCGAGCTCGTAGACCATTGAGCCACTGGGACCCGATCCAATGGTTCTTGAATTCTAACTTCTGCCAATTCACGACATAGCGCGACCATTTCGCAATGTCTTCTTAGATGAGTTACTGTCACATCTTCAACCTGCTGTACCCTACTGGTCACGGCTTTCCACTAGAACCCCAGGTTAACTACCTGAATAGGGCCAGTCACTAGTGAGCATTAGATTAATTTTCAAGTATTGGTTTTGTAGGGATTTTGTTTAATTGTATGAAGGATTTCATCATTTCATCGTTTAAAAGTATCTTTTATCATTAGCATTATTATTATTATTATTATAACTATCACTGCTAATAATACTCAGTTCACAATTCTTGACAGATTTAAGTTCATTCTCTAATGGCTACTTGTTTATATAAGTGATGTAATTGTACTACCATCTGTTACTCTTTGTATTTTGCAGTCAAACATAGTCAGTTCCCCGATTTCATTCTCTATTTCCATAGTGAATTTTGTTGAATCGACATGACTAATATGAACAAATGGAAAGAAAGACATTTAACAGAATCTATATTCACTAAGATCACACCGAATACATGTTATAACGGTGACTGAGCAGCACAAGTGTCAACAACTTGGAACATAATTCTGAATACACAAAAATGAATGAACAAAAAATGAACTATGTATATACGAGTTCAAATCATAAATGTGTGAATTAAAATAAACAAAACAATCCGAACAGGTGGTGTGAACACAGGCAGTAATTTTGCTCGAAATATTACCAAAACACAAAAAGAACTTATCATTGTGTGTAAACTATTGAAATATGTAATTATACTTTATTTGATCTATTCCACAATGCCCAAACGTTTTTTACTTACATTAATCCAGCTTTATTAATCTTGTACGTCTTTTTACGGACACACTAATCTTCGAATGAATATCATCAGGTATTAGTTAGCAGTTTTCAGTGTAATGCTTCTAACTTAAAGACACTTACCCTCATTATTGATCATAGTGACTCTAAATATCGATTATCTGGGTGGGTTGGGGGCGGGGGGTAATTCTACATCTATGATGTCAACTGAAAAGAACAAGACTTACGGAAATTTTTCAAATACACGTAAACGCATCGGTAGCTTCTGTTGTGTTTCAGCGCTAATCTCCCTCAATTTAAGCTGTACACCAATAAAATAAAACAAAAAATAAATAATGAATAAGAAAGTGTGAATTAGGGGGAGAGACAACCGTTAAGCCATTAATAAAGGCGGCATCGAGAATCGACTGCTGAGAGTAGCTAGCAGGAGGCATCATCTATTACTAAAGTATTTTATTTTTACGAGTTGATCACGGATTGATATCAGTTAGAGAATCATTGAAAACAAGCTGTTTCATCCTAGTTTAGGGATCATCATCAGTATGCACCCACCACTAGGGTTCCAACCCAGGACCTTCCGCTTACAAGTCAAGGTGGCTTGCATACCATTCAGCCACTGGGACCCGATTCAATGGCTCATGGATCGGAACTTCTACCAATTCGTGATTTTAGCGCAAACGCCAGTGAGTGCGTACTACCGATGATTCCCAAACTAAGATGAAACAGCTTGCTGTCCAATACTTCCTGCTTGATTTCAGTGGTTCTCTAACTGATATTAATCCGTGAGCAACTCGTAAAAATAAAACTAATTCTTACAAGCCAACTATAGAGTATTTTATACTTATTATTGTAAAAATGAGAAATCCCAGTCCACCTTAATGAGGAACTGTGTTGTGCTAGTTTCACTAGCATGGATTACTCACAACCTTGATTAACAATTCATATAAATCACAGTGGGATTCGAAATACACTCGTTATTGTCCGTAGCTAAATTTTGTGGGTTAAATCAGTCCACATGATCAAAAACACGATATGTTAATCAGTCATTAACGAGTGATCAATGACAAGTGACTGGATTTTGGTCTTGGTACTCATACAGTTCTTCCACTGAAGTTCGTGGTGTGTTCGTCTAGCTAGGTGACTTGACATCGTGGTAAACTTTGAACTTATGCTAACAGTTGGAGAGATGGAATCCCATGACCCATCAATACTAACTTTTGTCAGTTCACGACAGATAGCGTCACCACTTACTACTGCCCACTGGCGATTGCTCAAAACATGAGACTGCCTAAAGTTCTGATGGGAAGTTGTGACCAGCTATGTACACCAAATTGAGTGTGAGAACAGTTATTTGCCGATGACATTTCCTTGCGGTGGTGGTATCTGTCGCGAATAGACGGAAGTTAGAATTGATGGACCAGTGAAATGACAATGTCATTTAGGGAAGAAAAAAAGCAATGCTGAAGCTCTCTTGTCCGTGAACTTTGTTTAAAGCATCACCAAAAATAACTTCTAGTCTAGCAAACATTGAAAGGATTTCGTCATGAACTGACATCGGTTAGAGAACCACTGGAAACCTTGGAGTGGTGGACAGATGTTTCGTCAGCCTAGTTTGGAACTATTCAGCAGTACGCACCCACTGGGGTTCGAACCCTGGACCTTCTAGTGACCTGGGGTTTTAGTGGGAAGCAGTGACCAGTAAGGTATAACAGGCTGAAGGCTAGGCAGTAACTCATCGAATAAGACATTGCGAAATGGTCACACTATGTCGTGAATTGGCATAAGTTAGAATTCATGGGCTAGCCACTGGGTCGGGTCTCAGTGGTTCAATGGTCTAATAGCTAGCCTTGTAACCAGAAGGTCCTGGGTTAGAACCATATCGGTGGGTGCCTGCTGATGAAGAGTCCCAAGCTAGGACGGGGGAAACAGCTGTCCAGTACTCCTAGGTTTTCCAGTGGTTCTTTAACTTATGTCAGCTCATGATAAAATGCTCCATCGAATCAAACAGAATCCCTACAAAACCAATACTTGAAAATTCACGATATAATGCGACCACTAACGAATGTCATCACTGGCGAGTATTTGTCCCCACATACGACCTGCTGTACCCTACTGGTCACGACTTTCCACTAGAACCCAGGTAACTACCTACCTGATTACGGCTAGTCACTAGTGAGCATTTGATGGGTATACAAGTGCTGATTCACAGGGGGATTTGATTATCTTCAGGTTTTCCAATGGTTCTTTAACCAATGTCGGCTCATGATTAAATCCTGAAACCAATCAAATCCTTGCAAACCACCACTTGAATAGCATTGAAAGATCTACTGGCAGAATCCAAACGCCGGAAGAAAACACCTCCCAAATATTCATAACTTCAAATACGCTGTATATGAGTGATGGGAAAATTTTTTACCTTCAATGTGGGAAATATAAAAATGATTCATGTGGTATTTAAGGCAAATAGCTTATTTGACCACATAGATAGAAACAAATTAAGCTAAGGTTCACATATTTACAGAAAAATTCGAATTTTTCTGCTGTGTGATGCATGTGTATATATACATCTGTTGACTGAGTTGAATTTCAATTCTAGCGGAGAACCACACAAAAAATAATGACATTAGCAGTTGTGGGAATACCACTTGTCCAAGTAATAAATACTTTAGGAAATAGGAAAGTTTTTTTTGAAAAAAGTGGATAAGATAGAGAGAGGCATTGATGTGTCTGGGAAACTGCAAATCATCTTATCCTAAGTGATTTCAGTTTAAACTATACAACCTTCGATTTATTTTATTGCCCAACAGGACGAAGTCGGTATTCCCATACTTTAGTAGATGATTAACAATGGCAATTTGATTGCTTTTATGGACTAATTGTGAGTCTAGATTTTGCTGAAAAAGCCTGTATTACCTAGAGACTAGAATCTGAGAAATAGAGTGTTACCAGGAGTGGCTAACGTATCAGTGGAAATCATAAAGTGAGAGCTTCATAGGAGACTGGTCTGTACAGCCTACGAGTGTGCATGCTCTAATATTATGCCCCATTAGAAATCGTTCAAACTCTAGACTAGCTAATTCATATGAGATGTAAAAGAAACTAAATGAAATTCAACTAGAGAATGATGAGACAATGGTTAGTTTTGATATAACTAGTCTTTATATTAATATGGCAGCCTTAGAAGCAGTTGAAAAAGAACTAACTGCAGATCCTGAACTCACTCGTAGGACGAAGTTGCCCACTGAGGAAATTATTTTAGGAATTCAGTTATGCAAAATATATTAACAAACAGATGGTGTTGCGATGGGATCACAAATATCTCCTATATTAGAAGACATCTTTATGGACAGCCGGGAAAATATGGATCTAAATACATTTAATCCTACTCCAAAAATATGGTGAAGAAATGTGGATGACACTTTCACAGTGTTGCAAACAGAACATATCTCTAGCTTCTTGACACATATAAACTCACTGGTAGAGGGAATAAAATTCACATTTGATTCAGAAAATAAACAAGGAGAATTAGCTGTGTTAGACTGTAAAATAAAACGAATAGAAGAAGGTGAACTGTACACTAGAGTTGATAAAAAACCAACGCATTCTGTTAATAGATATTTAGACTTTAATTCATCTCATCCGTTGTCTTTTAAGGCAGGCTTAGTTAGGTGTCTAACAAACCGAGCAATTGCACTAAATAGTACAACAAAAAACCTAAACGATGAGATGAAACACATAGAAGAGACGTTGGTGTCAAATAAATATCCTACAAAACTCATTAGGAATATAAGAAAATGTCAAAAGCAAAATAAAAATAATGCGGAGACTAATAATGATAACATTAATCAGAGGCAATATAAGGCATCTACAGTGGTTCTACCATATAAGGAGGGGACATCTGAGACCCTACGTAGGATTCTTAACAAAGCAGGAATGAGAGTGGCATTTAAACCAACAAAATCTCTTAGGGAAGGCAAGCTCTGTAGGTTAAAGCACCCTGTAGGTTGACGTAATAAGACAAAATAATATAATTTAAAAAATGCCTCGTAATGACTGTAAGCGAGGTTAACTGCATAGCTCAAAATAGTAGGTTGCGGGTAGTCAGATTGTCAGAACATAAGAATTTTATCTAAGATAACAATGGTTGGCCCCATTCGCGAAGATAAGTAATTTAGAGAAAAGCTAAGCAACTGTAATGTATGCGGCAGCGGAAAAAGTGTTCCAGGTGAGCATAGAGAAGACGGAGGTGATGATGATAACCAACCACTACCAACAGCCACAACAACTAGCACCAATCACCATCAACGGGAGAGATTTAAGAGAGGTTGCCTCCTTCACTTATCTGGGAAGCATCGTTTCAACCACAAACAACAGCATGGACGAAGATGTCAAAGTTAGCTAGAATCGGAAAGGCAAGATAGGCCCTCATCAACCTGAAACCAGTTTGGAAATCTTCTATTGTCACCCAACTTAAGGAACAAGGTTTGCATTTCCGACACCAATGTCAGGTTGGTCAATTCTTCTATATGGGTCGGAAATTTGGCGTTTCACTTAAAGGATTTCCAAAAGCCAGTTGCAGACTTTCATCAACAGCTGCTCACCTCCCTGGCTCCTTAATGAAGATCAGATGGCACGCCTGAAAGAATTAGCAACAAGAGACCCTACAGTGGAACAAACCAACAGGCGAGAACCGATTGCTCAACGAACATGTAGGAGAAAGTGGAGATCGATCGGGCATACATACATTGAGGAGGCCACCGAATGACATCGAGTGGAATCCCGTTAGGAAGCGATGAGTGGGTCATCCTAGGGCGACATGAAGGAGATAGCGTTGGGCGGAGGAGCTGAGAGAGTTCGGTCAATCGTGGACCCAATTGAAGAGGAGAGCAGAAAACAGAACAAAGTGGAGATGTTTTGTTGAAGCCCTATGTTCCACTCGGAACCCAAGGGAGTAATACTAATAATAGTACTTGGAAAGTGAACACTTACTTACCTGTTTCAACTTTTTAATGTCTTCATCCAATTCTAAATTATCCAGAATGACAGCGACAAAAAGGCTGAGTACAATCTATAGACAAATGGATAGAAACAAAAGAGAAAACATATTTTAACCGATGAGTATTCAAGGAAGCTATCTAACATCCAACGCAGATAATTATCATCAGAAGTCAATAACAATAAAAATTCATGGTAAAGCCTTCTTGTTCATCATAATCAAAGGCCTTATAGTTTATGGATACATTCATTAGCCTAAAAGTAGCATATCAACCAATAAAGTTTGGAAGCTACTTACCAAAAGCAGTAAACGTTAGTCGTACTCAGTGTTTGCTATCTGTGAACGTAGCATCGGAAATCTAACCTCACGTTTAAACAGGGGAGAATAAAGATCCCCCTTCAGCCGTGTTCTCAAAACACGTGATCGGTTCTGAACAGTAAGAAACCTGACAAATCGACTTCAGGATCAGGAAATCTGTACACAGTAGACGTTTATCCAGTCCCTTTGGTTCCGAGTAATACAGATACGGATTCAACAACATATTTCCACTTTGGTCCATTCGCTGCCGTCCTCTTCAATCGCTTAGCACCACGATTGCCCATAATCTCTCATCTCCTCCTTCTCACACGATCTCCTCCCTGTCATCCCCGCACCAACAACCCACTCGTCAATTCCCATTGGGATTCCATTCAAGCGTTGGCCTGCATTGAGCGCCAGCCTGTTTACTCAACGTTTGCTTGATCAGTCCATCTCCATTTCCTCTTACATATTTATTGAACAATCGGCTATCGCCTGTCTGTTTGTTCCGAGTCAGAGTTTCTTGTTGCTAATTCTGTCTGACCAGCTGGCTGTCCATTTGATCTTAATTATGGAGCCAGCGAATGGGACAGCTGTTCATAAGTCTGTGACCTGTTGGAAATCCTTTTCGTGACACTCAGTACAAGTTTTGGACTCGCACAGAAGCATTGAATGAGCGACTTCACATTTGTGTTGAACAGAATTCGAATTTTGTTCTTTATGCTGGCTGAAAGACAGAAGAAGGTTTGCAAACTGGTTTCAGGTTGATAAAGGCGTGTGCATCTTGCCTATCCGATTCTGGCTTTCTGGCTGGCTTTGACATTATTCGTTCTAACTGCCTGTGGCTCAAAGTGTGCTTCCTAGACAAGTGAAGGAAGTAACCTCTTTGAAATCCCTCACATTGATGGTGACTGGTGATAGTCACTGTTGCTGTTGGTTAGTTGGTTGGTTTTCTTCATCACCTCCGTCTTATCTATTTTCACCTGCAATCTGTCCTATCTTCACCGCCTGCTCCTTCAGCCAGTTTGTTGGTTTTCACCTGCACGTCTTCGAGTTTATGTGACGTTAAACACAAAGCATCCATACGGGAGTCTTCTTATTGCTCGTCCAGAGTATTTGTGACTCCTTGCCTCCAACAGTCTGACGCATACTCCAGTCCACCACAATTAAGAATATCATCGGTGATAATGGAGAGATTGTCTCCCTCCTCAACAGTGAACATATAGTGAACTTAGTTTGTCTCAACACTTCATATGTAACTTTTCTTAACCCTAAATTTTAATTTTCTTTCCAGTTTCATTGTTCTTCCCTCGGAATAACTACATTTCCGCACCAAAAGAAACTGGTTTTTACCTGACCCTCTTTGAATTTTAGCTGAGCCATGCTCAATCCCTTCACCGATTTCATTTTTTAAATTTCACTGTCGTCTCTCCCCAATTAATTTTTTCTGCATTATGCAATAAGTGCGTTGGTGGCACAGCGGTAGAAGGCTCTCCAATCACGCATGTGGTTCGGGGTTCGATCCCCGGCGGACGCACTCCTTTACCTTGCTAAGACTGGTAAAGAGGGAAGGTCGGGCATCAGGCTAGCAATCCCATCCCTTAAAAATAAACAGCACTGCAATCGAAACTTCAAGCTTCTAGCTTGATTTAGCCCTATGCTTCACTGGGAACGGAAAGGAGTAAAAAATGTAATATGCAACAGTCACTCTTTGCTGAACGCCTCTGCCTTTTATACGACTAAAAGCAAACTTTCAAGCCCCTGAGCGAAAAAATTATTGAAGTAAAACTAAGCCGCTGTCATATCGTCTTTGATTATGCATCAGCCAATCAAGTGGTGGAGTCAGTTAGTCACATCTGTTCGTCCACAGCACAAAGAATTGAAAATAAAAATGAGGAATGGATGCAAACACCAAGTAATGCAATGGACGAACAATATCTAAACGTATAAATCAACAAGAAGAACTACTGAAACTGTTGGAAATGGATAGAAAGCTGTCGACCGAGATTTTGTGCCTGCTGGCATTCAACAGTCGGCAAGGCGTGTTTGCGACCTTGAATAAAACTCATGTTCTATCTGAGATTTTAAGTCATTTCACCCAATAATGGAGTCGAGGAGATGTTACTACTGAGCTATTTGGACTTCCGATTGACCTCCTTTAAAGCTGTGTTAAATACTTTCATTGGGCACTAACTAGTGCCATGCATCGTGTCCCTTATTTGGTGCAGACTGAATTCTATCAGCCAAGTTAACCAGCACAAACCCTAAGTTCAAGGTTTCCTGCCAGTTACTTCCAACCATCTAATAGGAATAATTCGGCAGTAATCTGCCTGGCGCTTTGGTGATTCAGTGGCAGAGCACTCACCAACTACGAACTCAGTTTGGGGTTCCGATTCTTGGCGCCTAACGCAATGCAAAACCTCGCTGAACGAGTAGTAAATCCACCATTAAAGATGAAGAGTTGAGAGTGAGGCTACCAACCCCACCTCATAGAAAAAAATCCCTGCTACTGAGACTTCGGTGATCGAGGCTTTAGGCTCGATCTTTTGCTCGGAATGCTTAGAAATGAAAAAGAAGGCATGCTTAGGATTCTGTAGTAAAATTAACATTTTAAGGCAAAAAATAACCGCACAGATAATCAGAAACCACTCCTGTGAATGACATCGCCCTGTTTAATAGTTCATTAGTTTAAATGCTGATCCCGAGCCCGGAAAAGGAGAGACGACTGTGTGCGGGGCTAGCATTCCTACCCCGATAAATCAATCCAATAGCCGTAGAAAACTCAAACCACAAAAAAGAAAAGAAAACAAGCCTATTCTCCTCTGAAATCAGATAGGCAAAATGACGTGGGTTGGTGAAAGTCATCCGGAAGTCAATATCTGATTTCACAGGGAATGGGACGGAGACCTACAGGTAAAAACTAACAAACCGGCTATAGAAGTAGCAAGCACAGGACTTCAGGTGAACATAGAGAAATAACGGCTGATGAAGAAAACCAACCAGTCACTATCAAAAAGAGAGAAACTTCCTTCATTTATCTAGACAACATTGCCTCGACTACAGGCATTCGGAACGGATGAAGATGTCCAACCCAGCATTGTAAGGGTAAGGTAAACCATCACTAATCTGAAATCAGCTTAGATATCTGATGAACTCCGTCGGAGCATAAACAGAGAAATCCCGATTTTCAACACTAATGCCAACTCTATAGCAGTTCGTCAACAGAAGCACTTCCAACGGACAACTGCAGACTTTTATCAAAAGCTGCCCAGTCTGTTGGCCCCATACTGAAGATTAAATGACTGGTCAGCAAGAATTAGCAACAAGTAACTCTAGGAAGGGATCAACGAGCAAAAGACCTATCGCTCCACAAATACGTGAGAGGAAATCGATATGGATTGTAGACACGACACTGAAGAGACCATCTGGAAAACGAAGAAATACGATGGAATCCTACGATGATATGGAGGAGGTCATGTGTGTCGGAGGAGATAACAGACTGTGGGTGATCATGTTTTCAAATGGAACGGCCCTCAAGGAATAGAATCATAATAATAATTTCCACGAAAATCTACTTTGACATCTGTTTGACAGAAATGAGAAGAAATAGTATCAAGCATAGAAAAGCTGGCATACACTGTTCTTAACTTACAAATATCCCACAATGTAAATCAGAAAAATGCTAATGAGCATAGTCGAAATACTAGTTACTATTACTACAGTCAACTATTCTTATATTCTAGAGGGAAAAGGACTTTGGAATAAAGACATAAAACAACTACAATGACAATAACAGCACCAACACCACCAACAACACCACCATCAGAAGGACTGATTTCATTCCATCTTAATGGTGTGACTGTCAAATGTAATTTAGCAACGTCCACTAAAAAACATAAATCAGTTAGTGAGGGGAAGAAACACATCGATTAACGGAAGTCAATAACAAAGTGACGTCATTTCAAAATAATGTCCATAGACAGCAACAGGGGGAAGAGGAGAGGAAGGAGACATGAAGATGCGCAAATAGAAGAAGAGTGGAAAAGAGATGTCTTTCAATGTGTTTTCTTACATGAAAAATGAAGGTATGCTGTCTGGAACTAATCGATAAAAATGAGCATTAAGGGGAAGAACAAAAAGGAATATCAATGATTAAAATAAAGAACGAATTATGGGAAAAAGGTAAAACTACTGTTGTAACAGAAAAAATTGTTTACAAGACTGCTCCTCAACAATTCTGACCCATATCGAAAACCTGACTGACTAACTTAACTACTATACTTGCACACATACAGCCAGTTGAGGGCTTACGGCGAGCTGTCATCTGAAGTGGAGACGACTGGTGGCGTCTGTCAAGGATGCCAATTATCCCCATTCCTATTCAACTTCATCATACACGTACTAATGGACTTAACCCTAACTCACTTCAGAGACTCAAGAATTGACTTGCTACCACGGAATAATCTCGTTGACTTCGAATATGCAGACGATATAGTCCTTCTAGGCGAGGACGTTGACAAAATGCAGAGTCTTCTGAACACCTTGAGCAACAATCTTCGTATGTTTGCATGCGATTCGCCCCTACAAAATGTAAGATGATGCTGCGGGATTGGACTACACCGACGCCTAGATTAGAAATAGGAAGTGAAGTGATAGAGCACGCTGACCGCTTCACTTACTTGGGAAGTACCATCAGCCCCAACGGGTTGATCTCCGACGAAATCTTAGCACGAATACAGAAGGCTAGTTTCGCATATGCCAGTTTACGCCGTCTC